CACGCATATGCCCATAGGCGTGTTGGTACATCGACTCTGTGTGTGTGTGTGTCGTTCCCATGGGCGAAGAACACGAAGGTAACCGGCCGTGTCGACGTTGTGCGTATATTCCAAATGTATTTGGTTAATAATTTTAATTGCAACGGTTTTTCGTTTTAACCGAAATACTACTAGACCCCGGGCAAATCGAAATTATCATTATTATTGTTCGACTCCCCATAAAGCTTAGCTGTAGACCGTCTACAACGGGAGTTAAATTTTTTTCAATTTAAGTTGCCAACAACTGTCTCTGTGTAAACGTCATGCATTCGAATTTCTTATAAAAATACATATACACAAACAATGCGGACCCTTTTATGCTATACACTGCGTACAACTCGTTTCGAGACGCCTACGAGTCCAACAGTAATAATATACATACTTACCTATACATAAAATTATTACTGTCGAACCCCCTATAAAACCGTGTACTGTATTGTACAGGTGTGTCTGTTTGGCGGAAATACACGGACTCGTCATCTCGTGTTCCATATGTATACGTACATTGTACACACGACGATATATTATTATTATATTATAGTGGCAAAATGCGATTTGTCAGTGTTTTTTTTTTTGTTACACCGTCTGTTAGTCAGGTTATCCGTCGCCCCCTATCCGGCCACCTGCTCGCGTGAATAAGGCGCACGAATCGATTCGTATATGTATATAAATAACGTCCAAACATCTTCTACTTGTTTCCTTTGGCAGTGGGAGCTAAGACATTATACAGGGTGACACCATAACGTATACAACCGTCTAGTTTGGCCGAATACCGACTTTAAAAAAAAAACGAAAATAGTATCAGTTTTTAATAATCAAACGTTGACACCACGTTACCTACCTTTATATCACTTCGAAATCAGCCATATCGCTATGCAAGTACTACTACACCTAAACCGAATGTTCCTGTGCTCGGTTCACTACAATCATGATCATAATGATAATATTTCTGCCGCAATTTACTACCCCATAACGATAGGTGATAAAATTTACTACGCAGTTTAACCACCGTTGCCCGATGCAGTAAAATATTCTCAATATGAGTCCGTCGTGACTCTTAAATAGTTGTCTATACCAAAGCCGCTCACCGCGGTCGCGAATCAGCTTATTTATTTTTAACTTGAAACAGCAATCTTGATCAATTTTAACCAGTATGATTTGAGACATGCCTTATAACGTACAAGCCTGTTATAATATTTACATAAAAGTATGTGTATCGTGTACGAACACATAACAACAGCAACGAATGAAAAATATTATAGTATAGAAAATATTGCCAGGTCATTGGTTTTAACGTGGTTCGTACTTCATTTTGTCTAGCACTCGTCTGTGTGTTTTATTCGCTTTACGAGTTCGGTTTCCTTTCGGGTCATGAAGTTCTGCCGTCGTTATAATTACATTAAAATAGTAATGGGCCGGCTAAAATAATAACAACAACAATAATATATAATAATAAAAAATAATATCAGCGCGGTATACAGAGCGTGTACGCGCCATTAAAATGATATGCGTGCCCCCGATTTCTATCGTGAATTTTCGTGCAGACCGATAAGGAGGAAAATAATTCTAAGTATACGATGAGTTCGAACGACCGCTGCCAATTACGCAGTGTGCATGTAGCATATAGTTTTTAATTTTATTTAAAAGGTGTTCAAAAATATATACTTGGCATTCTGACAAACTCCACCGAGGAGTTGACATGGCAGTTTTTCCAATACGTTGATCAAAATGTTTAAATTTGTTTTTCCTTTTCAATAATATAATATTTTTCTAGCAAATCCAGATTTTAGATTACCATTTTGTTTCGCAAATCAATTGGTTACTGTGGTAGGAGCGAACATTTAAAAAATGTTGTATAATATGTACAATAGTCAATATGCCAATTTTACAAGCAAGCAAAAATGTTTTTTTTCTTTTACATTTATTTAAAATGCTTCACACATTTTTTTACATTTTGTTGTAGTTGAAATATGGACTATTTACAGACATGTAAACACATTTTAAACAATAAATATATTACAACATTTTTTATTTGTACCGTCGAAATATAAGTATAAATGTATAAAATTGAATTAAAACATCGGGTTGAGAGTTGGATAAACTTGTAATGATATAGTACTCTGAACAAGACCTTAAAAATGTTAATTTTTGCAAAAAATATGTTATTCTAGTGATCTAGTCATTGGCCATAATATGTCTTAATAAGTCTTAAAAATTGCTCATTTCAGCTACAATTTGTCGATATGTATCTAAATTTAAAAAAAAAAATCAAAACTGAATAAAATAATCCGTAAAATTATAAAAGTTGAAATTATTGGACTTTTTGAATTTTATATATTTTTTTTCAGTATTGTTTTTAAACATATTTTTTGATATTTTTCAAAAACTATAGCAATTAAGTAAATAATTATTATCGACTATTCAATACATTTATTTAGATATCTGTCTATTATTGTTATATTTTTTCAAAAAAAAAATAGTCAAACTCGTAATACATGTATCTCTTATTCGCATGTTAAGTGGAATTGGTAAACATAGTTTTACAGTACCATAATAATTGGGCGTTATTATCGCTGACCGGTCATTGGTATTTTATAATAACTACTACATAACACCTAGCTTTCTATGTAAAGCGGTTTCACAAAATTTCTTTTAGATATAAACGTACCTATTATCTATTATTTTTCGAGTGTTTATTCAACACATCTTCAAAACAAAACACATACATGACTTTTCACATTTAGACCTTTACATAGGTCGAGTTGTGGTAGAAAACAACTCGAAACAGTGTTTGTATTACAGAGATTTGTTCGCCATTTAAATATGTAAGAAACTAGTTTACCAACAGGTTCGAAGTACATACAAATACTCGATCAAAATTCTTTCAAACTCGTTAGTAAAAACAGCTTTGACAAACATGTCTCACCTTGTACCTATACAAAAACTTTAATAATTCTCCTCAGCGGAATACGATAAATACTTAAATACGTTATTTTTCTTTTATGTAATCTTTATTTTTTTTTTTATTGTAATTGTACATCAATTTTCTCACTAAATAAAAAAAACATTTCTACTCTGTTCCGCTTCGAAGCTCGCCCTTTTTTCTATAGTAGAATTACACTTACACGAGGTATAATGTGCATATTATGTTTTTTTTTGTTTAATTTATGTTGTGAAGTAGTAGTTTTAATAGTTGCAGTCGCCTTATAAAGTGGTCTTACTATAACAAACGAACGAAAACATATATTTACATTTTTACAGTAAATAAATGCAAATGTGTAGTCACTTTTTGCCTATCCTTACTCGCCTACGCGCAACCATGAATTTGTTATTAAATAAACATAAACAGTATAGTATGCCAAAATAAAAAACTGAAATGTTTTTACGAAATTAATCGGTTCACAGTTGTAATTGATTATAATTGACCGTGGTCATTAATAAACTATCGATATGCTTTCAAGTAGGTAGAAATATAATAAGACTGTCCCGTTTACATGTTACAACAATAACAAACATAATAAAATATTATTAGGTTCTTACCTATTTCGTTCATATTCTAGTGATGTTTTAGTAGGTAACTAGTAGGTACTGTTGTATACTGTGCACACGATAATAATATAATAGCATAGAAGTAAGCCATTAGACTTGCATTGTTATTACAAAACCTATAATTTAAAATAAATCGTTGCCTTAAAAAAAAAAATGCGTACACAATAAATAACAATAATTTCTACATGGGAAAAACTTGTATCGGATGTATAAAAAAAAATTATTGTATCTAAATTATTAATTACCATTATGGAGTATTTATTATTATTATTTTAGGTCGAACGGTAAACGCGTTTATCTACAAGATGCGTTTATGTAGTTTTTTAGTTATAAATATATAGTACTGTGGGAAGATAGGCGCCATGAGTATTATAAGAAACTGACTAAGTAAATAAATCACTCGGTAGACGTAGAGCGGAAACTAATTTTAATATCCATTCTGAATCTCTTACCGGAAGGTTGTCTCAGGGCGGTCTATATATTTTTACTCTAGTTTAATTATGCTCTATGTTTTTTTTCTTCCTTGGAAGATGCATATGTCTGCGTTTTTTAAACTCTGCTTGCGCCTAGCATAAATATATTTAACAATAATATTGTAAAAATACTTATACAAATTATTATTGTCAACACTTAATATACTGTGCGTTGAGTTTGGGCGTCCATAGATGTGACAAGTAGATTAGCCATAAATCCATTATTATTATTTTTTATATTTTGTTCAGCCTCGGCTATACTGGTCATTGCCTACACATAATTGAAAAACATTAACATCCTTTTGTATGAGTTTACGTCATGTTATTACGCAAGTTAGTGGTCTTCGGAAATTCAATTATTTTTTGGCTAGCTTCTCTGAGAGGTTCGGTCCGAATAACGTGCTTAGAACCAATCAATACATTTTACAGTGCCAAATGAAAACAACATTTTTATCAATGTGTTTTACTACCTATAGCATAGGTTTCACACTTATTGTACAACTGTAAAATGCCATTAGAAAATACTAGAAATTGGTATAATTCTTAAAATATGTTTAGATTTACACTATTTACATAATTTGCGGCTACTCCCACTTGAACACGTTGACTGGTTTGCCAACGTTTCGGAATAAGTACTTGCACATTCCATCTTCAGAGCTGTGGTTCGATGTTGTTCGTACTGTGTTTGCCTGTATGTTTAGATTGTTTCATAGCTTGTTATTCCGACACTGAAAAAGTGGTTAATATCACGTTATTTGAACCGAACCTTCAATAACCTTCAATAACCTTTAATAAATATTCAGTATTTACAATAAAACACGTTAGCTATTAATCATAGTAAAAAAACTTGAAAGAAGATTTTATTCAAATGTGTACTAATAATTATTTGTAGTTTTCAAAGTGTTAAATTTGATATTAATTATATGTTAATTTGTATAGGATCAGATATGAGATTGTTCAAAAGGCGGTGTTCCGATCCTAGCCCACAGCTTGTCAGTTTATCACCGATCGAACATCAGGACCAGAAAGAAGCGACTTCCGGTTATACAACTCCGAAGGGATGCATTACGCCCGAAAACGGTTCACCTAAACCGCATAAAAAATGTACTTGTATATTTTTTTTAATAAAAATAAAATAACATCCCTTTGTAAATGACATCAAAGTATGATTATGTGTTTAGTCTTTAAACACGTTTTTCACCATCGTGGTCTGTATAATGAACTATAATTGATAGATTTGTTGAGGTCAATCGATTATCGATAAATATGAATTAATTACACTTAACGCGTTTCAGGTTTAGCGACATGGGGTAAAAAAGTCGGGCGCAAGTGGGACCAATTGAAGAGGAGCGAATCTTCCGAGCTGCTTCAAGTGTCGCCGATCCGCAAAAGACAGTGGTCGCCCCTGTCCAAAGCCAACATGGCTGACCAAGAGCCTGACGTGCACCAGCGCTACATGGAAAAGTTGCAGACCAGACGGTTGTCGAGAATCGAGAACATTCGGAACGCGGTCAGTCCCGAATTATTATTGTCGACGGAAACCCAAGACGCCGACTGGTTGAAGACTAAATGTCAAAAGGGCTTGGAAGACCTGTACGCCATGGAGCGGCCACCGGACGTTAGGAACGTTTCGCCGGGCCGTAACGTGAAAATGCGAAGAACCCGGTTGCCGGCGGGCATCGTGGAAAACCCTCTGGAAGAACAGTGCATCTTGGAATATCTGTTAGCCAACAAACGAGCGCTGGGGTTGGACCGGAAGGCGGCCGTCGATTTGCAAAACCTTAGCTACGAGGATCTGTTGAAAGTGTTCAACCGGGTGACCGCCGCCGATCAGAATAGCAGTAACGCCACTCTGAAAAACCGCAGACGAAGGCACACGACTTTCGGCGAAGCTTTGATGTTTAGCAAACCGCACGAGACCGTCGGCGGCGGCGGCGGCGGCGGAATAGTGTTGAAAGCAGACGAGAGCGGCTATGAGAGCGACTCGACCAGAAACGGCGGAGATTCTCCCCGCGGATCGATCAAGTCGCAGTCTTCCAACGACAACGACAACGAGTTCAGGAAGAACGTTCGCATAGGCCTGAACAGGGGCGACGTTAAGGAATTGCAGCTGCACACCAGCATGGAAAAATTATCGTTGGCGTGCGACGAATGCAAGAAGCCGGCGGATCAAAACATCAGCCTGTACCAGAGGTTTTTAATGAAAAAAGGCAGTTGTCTGGGTCCGAACAACAACAGGTACCATCATGCGGCTGCGGAAATTAAAACCGTGCGGATTAACAAACGGTACGGGGAAGACGTCGGAGTTAAAATCGAATTTCGCGATTCTGGAACTTCCCGATCGGGCATGTACTTCATCACGGCACTATCCGGCCCCGCGGCAAGGTAACAAGAACAATATACAACCCATTGGAATATATTAACCACGACTTTTGGTACTATTTAAATACAGAAATTGCATTGGCGGTTAAGAATTGGAGTGAACATAGATTTTTGAAGTATTAGGATTTAAATCAGTTTGATGGATTATCCAGAATTTCGGATAATTCTGATTGGAATACATGGTTAAAATCCAGGCTTTTAAAACGCATGTTATAAAATTTGATTATGCAATATACATAGTTTATTTAAAATAATAATTTTATCGTTAAACTCGAATAAAACAAAATTGCACTTTAAAAAACTGGATAATCCGTCAAATCTATATTTCTAAATATATGTTAAGGTTGTTCTTGATTTAACTTTTTTTTATTTCTCGGCCCCTCAATATATGTCTTTATAACTATTTAATTAAAGGGGTTTTCGAATTTCGAAGGAAAGAAACGATTAAAACGTTAGCTTTCGAAACAACTAATTATATTGTTCAATAAGCCATGTGACAATAAAAAAAAGTAGTTGATATTCAATCAACATTTAATTTATTGAGACTAAAATAAAATAGAAAAATTGGCTTCTTCAAATTCGTGGTTTAAATAGAATTATAGGATAAAACTATGAAACTCAAAAGTATAAAAAAACAATTTTCATTTTTATTTTATAGTTTAAAATTAAAGTTTAACGAATCATATGAGCCGGTGAAAATAAAAGTGGCGTAAGTCACATTTATGTTGTTATGAGAAATCGAAGGGTTTACGTTTTGTATTACACACATTAACAACGAAATTTTAGTTGGCGCTCTCTCGCGGACAAAGGCTCAACTTGACTTAATCTACTGACTAAATGACTCTTTTAGAGTAATTTACCCTAGCGATATTACGGATTTTTTTTTTAAATTTGACTTACATCAATTTTTATTCTCACCGGCTCACGATTTTAAACCCCAATTCATTTTAAGTAATTTAAAATCCATTAAAATATCTGTATCCAGTGTTGGACATACCGCTAACGCCTGGGCTACTTTAATGTGCTGATGGATTTTTTGTTGAACTTTATTTTTAGAGACGGTAGGTTGTGCATTGACGACGAGATAGTCAAAGTGAACGGTACTCGGGTGCGGGGCATGAAACAGCAAGACGTCGAATCTTTACTGCGGCCTACCAAGTACAACATAGAGTTTGTCGTGTCTAGATGCAAGAGTCAACTACCCCCCAAGTCTACCGACGCTGCCGAAACGACCGTTAAAGTAGTACAGAAACCCCCAACAGCTCCCAAGCACCACACCTCGGTCAAACCCGAAGACCCACACGAACCTGTCTGGAGCGCATCCAGACAGTCGTCGTTGCCAGAGATCAAGCTCGAGGAGAAACCGAAAATAACCGGCATGCGAAAGTTTTCAATCCACAACGTGGACCAAACTAGACCCCCCAGAAAAGCACAGTTTCCCCAGTTGCCCAGGCCCAGGTCGCTGTCCGTGTCGCTGACCACGGTCGTGTTCTACAAAGGACCCGGTCACAAGTCTCTAGGGTTCAGCATCGTCGGGGGCATTGATTCTCCTAAAGGCAGTATGGGCATTTTTGTCAAGACAATTTTTCCCAGCGGTCAGGCGGCCGAATCGAAACGGCTGAAAGAAGGTTAGTGCACCAGGTTAACCGGAATAATATTAGCCTTTCAATACGTTATTAACGCTTGCATGTCCAACTCTGATTATAGGCGATGAAATCATAAGCGTAAACGGCAAAAACTTGGAAGGGTTCAGACATTCGCAAGCCATAGCTCTATTCAAAGAAATCAAATCCGGCCAAATTACCATGCAGGTCGGACGAAGAGATTTGTCGAGGAGGTATATTATAACAATATGTACTAACTAAATTATTATTATCGTTGAAAATCCTAGTAAATCTCTAACTACATATTATACTTTTTCAGGAACAGTAAGTCTAAGTCTTGCGATGAATTAGACAAATTCTGAAAATCCGTCGAAATCGTTTAAACGGAATATTATATTTTCCTGTGATACAAGACTTACATTTGTTTACTAATGATAGTCAGATTAATATTAATATTTATTATTTGTATTATTATTATTATTTATTAGTTATTTTTAATTGCATACATTTTGTCTGTAACGGATATCGTGAAAAATAACATTGTTGTACAATATAGTATATTGCGTTAGAGCCTAATGACTCCAAAAATAAAATATCTAGATGTATAATTATTATTATAGGTTTTTAATGTGATTGCGTTTTGATGTTAACTTTTCTTTTCCTTTGAATAAACCATTTATGCAGTTTGGAAATTACTTTGAAATAATTGCTGTCCTCTACTATAATATAAAACCCCAAACGAATCGAAATCGCAGTACAGCACACCACTCGTAGCGGATCAGTCGGCCCGCGCAAACCGTACAAGCAAGTCGATTCGTTTTCATTCAGTTAAGGTATGATTAAAGTCTTTCGTTTATTTTATCTTTGTCCAAAGTATTACAACTTGATAATTATTGCGTTTAGATGGCTCGTCAAGGGATTCTTATAGCCGCCGTCGTTTTGACGTTTATTTGGCAAACGAGTTTGGCAAAAACCGTTCCAGCACTTGATCCGTCCTTAGAAATTAACCACGACGAAGACATGCAGACAGAAGAAACAGGAGGTTTCCTGATGAACATGTTGTTTGGCGGTTTTCCTTGGCCTGGTAAATCAATATATTTTGCTTTGTCTAGACGGCAAAATATTTGTACTGATCGTCAAACACAATTGCTTTTTTGAGCTGGCTAGCGTTGACGGAAATCAAATAGGCATTAGAGATTCGGAGTTTATCATTACACTGTAAATCGGATTTGTTTGTGACCATTTTTTTGATTATATATTTTAACAAATCTAATAGTGTAGGTATTTTTTACAGCACTAACTTCAAGTTAGGTAAGGTTAGGTTTTCATTATCACAAGTCTCTTTTACATTTCCGTCAATTCTGGCTGACAGCGTTTTGTAATGGAAAATGATCAAAACTACCTTTTTAACTCACTTCAATTTATTTTTTTTTTTTAAGGACCGTGGGGACCTGGAGGCGCACCGTGGGACGGACCTTGGGGCGGACCGTTTTACGGATGAACGCTGACAGAGCAAACAATGTGTGTACTTCAATACTTGTACTTGCTACATAATATATTCAAAATAAATGGTGTATATTTTTTTCAAAATCGTCATCGTCGTCTAGTTCTAACCTGTTGATTACGTCCATAAGTTCATCCACGTCGATCCTCCTAACGGTTTTTGAATCCTCCATCGGGCATGTGACCTTATCGTCGTATACAACGCCATCGTTGAGTAAGTCGCCTATCCGGTCCAAAAAAGGAAATTGAATCTTAATTACCTCGCCTAGCCGAAATCCCTCGGACAATTCCAACTTGTTTACCGGACACAAGTGCATGGCCAAATGAGGCGTACCGTTTTTAACCATGTTTTCCACGTTTGTCTTGGTCCCGGAATCAATAACCCTTTTATACGTGTCCAAGTCGAAAGCCGCGTGGTCCAACAAAGGTCTTGAACCTATTAGAGCCTCTCTGATCGAGTCGTTCTCGACCCGGGGACACTCTAAACGCACTTCGTTCACCTCGTCGATTTCAATGCGATCGGCGTCGCTGAAACTCCATTCCGAGGGCAGAGTCGGCTCTTTGTCTTCCAGCGGAGGTGGGAGAGGAGAATGCCGCTGGACATTGCCTTGAAATGTTGTTTTAGCGTGGCTACATAGTTAGAGCACACCACCAGCAGTGTGTCGGAATCCCAGTTTTCTCTGAAAATCGACAAACGCTCTGTTCTTAATTGGTGGTTCGCATGGTTTGCCTCAGAAATGCTAACGTTACTTACACGGGCACGTAGTCGCTTGAAGACACGTTGGTTATGTTACTGACGTCGATGGATTTCAGAGAGGCCTGTTGTTCTTCGGGCGGTTGTTTGACGACAGGCCCCGGATAAAAAATTTTACCGCTAAACTCCACGGCTTTACCCAGCACGTTGTAAACGGGAAAGTCGAACTGAACCGTTTGCAAACAATCGTAACTGCCCATGCTCCACACTTTGACTATCTGCGAGTGAGAAAAACATACGGGTTTTACTGTCTTAACGGTGCAGGTAGTATTAAAATATAAAAATATAAGGACATTGGCGTGGTGTAAATAGTCTTGGGAATGCTGCGGCCTCCACACTTTCTAAACCACCTATCCTTATCTCACAAAAGTTTGATCATAAACGTCATTTGATTCTAATGACATAGTGTTTATGAGTGAAGTTGCTATTGTAAAATTATTTCTATAATCTTTTCTATTTTCTAAAATTGTTTTAGCTTCGGGTCTAAGCTGAAAGAATATTAGTTTTAAATAAATGATAATTACAATTAATGTTTTTTTCGAAAAACTTTGGTAAATTAACTTGGTTATAAATAACAATATTGAGAAAGTACATATATGAGCTATATTTTATGAACAAATAAAAAAATCTTAAATTGAAGTGTTGTTTATTTCTACGACAAACAGACAAAATAATGTTAGAATCTATCGATTAGAGTATATTAAAAAAAAAATTAAATATAGAAAACATACAGAGGGTATTGTATTACAATTAAGAGTAGTAATGAGAATCCGAAAATCCGGATTTTTCAAAAAAAAACGCTATTTAAGCCACTTGAAAATTTATAAGTACTAAATACTATTACAATATAAAATTTGTACTTAAGTAAAATTTGTTGATAACAAATTTTGTTTTATTTTTACATATTTATAAAAAGAATTTTACTTAGGTGTACTTATATTGTAAAATGATTTAACACTTATATGTTTTTTAAGTAGCTTAAATAGCGTTTTTTTGTGAAAATCCGTATTTTCGGATTCCCATCACTAATTAAGAGTATGACCTATGACCACTGTCGAGTCATGTATTTTCATTTTTATATTAGTAAGGTTCAACAATATTATTATCATTAATATGCAAAGTGTCAGGTAATCAATTCAACATAAGACACTCATTTTCTCTTAAATTAATTGTAATTCTTCTTGTGAAAATGTTTGTTTTATTAAATAACAATACTATATATTATACTACACTCCATCTTGTCTCCTACTGTAAGTTTTAAACTTTAAAAATAGAGGGAACCTGTGAGATATTTGCTATGTGCTTGTGGGGTGGAGCAGTCCCCCAGAATTCCAACAATGTGTGCTATAGTCTGTACTAATAAGCTAAAATATTTAAGTATGTACAGAAATATGAATATACTTCGTCTTTGGATATGCTGATCGCTACGTTGGAATGCTCCAGAATTCTCACGTCTACTACCGCCTTCTTGTGTCCGTTCAATTTGGCCAAGTACAATTTTGTCACTACCGGATTCCAAACGTAAACCGTTGTAGAACATCCGGTGATCAATAATTTTGACTTTTCGCTGTAATGGAAACACCGCACTCCCTGCAATAATTTGTTATGGTTTTTGTGATATGATATTATTGTTATTTTCAGTATTATTCGTGTGAGCATCGAGCGCATTATACGCAATAAATAAATTACACGTCTTATGTTGAATATATAAGGATTCCATCGGTCACGGATTTGTTTGATGACCAGCGATTTCTTCGAGCTCTGGCAGCAACTGAGAGTGGTGTTGTCCGATTGACAGTAAGTGATGTGTATTATACCGTCTGGGTGGATCTGCTGAGCGCTCGTGTGGATTTTTACCCACTCCTGTTGGAATTCCAAATCCTTCGAAAAGAAACAAATATTATAATATATCCGGTGTACCGATACGGAAATTGGCAACTCTTGCATTTTCATCACACTGACTTTCAGCAAATACGTGTCCACTTTATTCGTCGGATCCCGTTTGAACAACGACCTCTTTGGTTGCCTGAACTCCATGTGAGTGATACATCCTTTATCGTCACCGATGAACAATAGTGATGTATTACCGGGGCAGTATTCCAGACAAGTGGGTGTGTTCTTTAAACCTATTCGAGCAGATTTTAATATAAAGAACACGTTTGGTTAGAGACGCCATCTTAGATTGGCTTAAGTACCACCATAAGTGAACACAACAAGAGCTAGTTGGAAAATCTATAGGGGGCTTTTATAGATTATTCGAGGAGCTAAAATTCCCTCTTTATCTAGTTGTGCCACTGTAATTTTGAAACATTTATGATTTTACTTCACAGACCTATTTTATTGTTAGGTATAAAATCCTTTTACCATTCTTAAAATTTAATTAAATCTGAAAATTCTGATCAGTATAGATAATCTGTTGGCTAGAGATTTTATGTGGCTGGCCTCGCTATTTTGACGAGGTTCACTCGTTAAGAATAAGAATAAAATATATAAATATATTACGTATGTTATATGATTATATGTGCGTCATTTTAGTTATTTTAATTTGATTTTCGCCTATATCAAGTCATTATGTTTAACATAAATTAGGTATGTAATTATCACCGAACACAATACATAATGTAGGTTCTTGGATTAGGTGTACAAATTATTCTGGTAATTACCATTAATAGTTATTACTCTTGAGTAGATATTTAACATTAATTGTTGTAGTTTATAATGATAACTTTATAAGGGGTCCACGGGGTTTGGTAAAGCTTACCAAAAAGGAAAAATTACAGAGAGGTAGGAGTAAAGTTTAAAACATGAGTATGGTGAGTGATACTATAGATATAATATAATGTTTTAACAAATTTACATCAGTTCTGCGTTATGTGAAAACCCAGTAAAATGTAAATTTAGGTGTCTCCAAAGTTAAGTACTCGTTAAAAAATAATTATGGTAATATACAAAAATTATACCAATCAAAAATTAACCTAAGCGATTAAAAAATCACGGATTTATATATTAACTGTACATAGAGAGAGCGATTAAACACTACAAACCCATAATGGAAAACGTGGGCACGTGCACGAGGCAAACGGTGTCGATAAAATGAAGAGTTCCATCAGACGCTGCAACGGCTATGAACTGGGCATCGGACATGTAAACGGCATCGTTGATCCAAGTGTTGCGACGTCGACGGGTAGTCCTGGCCGAATCTTCTGGACATTGCGAAAGTTGTAGCACATATTCCCTGAGCAATTTCAGCCGACCGTCGTAGATGCCCACCTGACCGAATTGCGAAAAAATCGTATAGCAAAAGAACTCCTCCGTTTCTATGCTCAGCACTTTGACCACGGGCTCGTGCTGCGGGACAAGCAGTTTTTTTTATGAAAGTCAAAAATTGTCATTGTAGTAAAACACAATTATTAAAAAACAAAACCTGTCAAGCCAACCAAAGTAGGTACATACTATTTGCATCACTGCAGCATGCGCCTTAGCAATGCTAAGTTAGCATTCAATTGGCACATTTGAAATCCGCATTTAATGAAAACCATAAACTCGGTTGTATACTGTTTAAAAGTTGACTTTTTCTGTATAAGTTACCACCTTAGTTACTTAGGATAGCTTCAGTATCTTAATATTAAAATATTTTCGACTATCGGGTTATTGAAATCCTTAAAAATGGAATTTTGTAACTTTCCTAAAGTGTATGTATACATTTTGGGATGTACCTAAGACAACCCCCCTTTTAGAACCTACCAGCCTGCTGGGATCTAAGATTTTATGTGAATTTCGGAGTAACCATCATTTTGTGCACACTTTGTTAATCTCTCTCTCTATGTTGTGTATGTAAAATCTTCTTACTCTACAATGCAACATCAAGTGCATCGATATGTGGCTTTCGTCCGTGGAAAAGACTTCGATGGCATCTCGAGGAAACGACGTGCTGCGGCGAATCTCGTCTAATATTTGTTTCCACGTCAACACATCTCCTTTGGATTTCTCATCTTCGACGCATACTTTTTCGAAAAATTTCTCTGCTTCGACGACGAGTAATTCGTTGCCTAATATAATTATTGTAGAAGAATGAGAGTAAAATAATAAATTATTGACCGATAGAGGGATTTGAGGTTATGTTAACTCCATATCAATAGTAAAATATTTAATTATTAATTGGTGAAAGCAGGGGAGTTTTAAGTGGGCAATATTTAAGAAAAAAGGGTTTTAACACATTTTTACCGTATTCATTTATTTCCAGATTAATTTTAATCAGGGTGTAATTTTTAACTTGTACAATTATTTCTACATTTTTTTTTTACCGGTTATTGAACAAACGGCTGCGACAAAATCGTTTTTGTTTAGCGCGTGTCCTTTCCTGCAATCGTCATCGAAGAAGAAGTATTTTTTCAATTCTTTTATGTGCGATGCTTCCAGTGTATCGATTAGCGTGAGCCGTTTGTTAACTTTAAGACCACTAAAAACGTTATTAGGCTTTATGTTGATTCTTAAATTATATTTATAATGTATAAAATGTATATCTTACTCGCAGGAATCCGGTATCGACGATAATTCCTCTGTAGTAACCGAATATCTGTCCAAAGGATCTAAACAGCTACTATTTGATGAATTCATAGTACTACGCTTGTACACCTACTACAAATATAATTTTTTTTAAAACGATTCAACAACAACCAAAGTAAAATAATAAAAACATTGAATGAATGAATATTATCGTTTGAAATAGTGTAGCGAACGACGTACTTACCTTTTGTTTAATCAATAATATACAATAATGCAAACTGTACATTGTACAAGTGTGTAAGTAATGAGCGACTGCAGAAGGTATACTACATGCACAGCGTAGTAGGTAATGCATGCATTACTATATTATGGGTAATATTGTTTCCAGTATTTTTCGTTTAAAATAATTTCTATAATTTCTAGTAAAAATTAATATCTCACTGGAGTTTTTTGTCTTAACTATTTTGGAAGCAGACTGTTATAATTGGTTTTTTTTTAAACTGAAAATTAAGATTTATACACTAGTTAATTTTAATGGGTATTTTTTTTTTAAGAATTTAATAACAGTAACTTTTTTTTTTATAAAATAAACATGTAAAGCATTTTTATTTATTCTTAAAATGTTGCTTCACAGCTGTTTAATGTAAACTTTTTAAATACAACAATTTGTACCATTTGTTTTTTAACAAGAAGTTATGTTATAGAGAATTTCTGTGGAACTTAAAGTTTAATTTTAAAACATTTATAAAAACTTGTTTTAATAACTTTTGGAGTTTTTGTATAAAAATATTAAATAACTGTTAAAATTTAACTTTATGAAAAAGTCTTACGAGTTACGACTACTTCAAGCCCTAGTTAAGCCTACTATGGAAAATCATATAGTAACAAATCACAAGTAAATCATTTCCTAAATGATTAGTATTTTTAACCTGTATAGAATATACATTATCATATTATTGTATAACGATAATTAATCGTTAAAACTTAGATTTATTTATTAATGCGGTTATTATAATTTATAATCAATCATATTGGTAGCTTGATTTAGTAGGTAGTGCATACCAGACCCTATTTATTATGTCATAATAATTACTTAATAAAATATGTAAAATAATAAATATTCTCAATGTAACCGTTATTATCAAAGGTGCCTAATAGTTAACCTTAATGGTTGTACACCAGTAAAAATCATGAATTATTTGCATAGCTTATATTTGACAATAATTCTATCCATAAGAAAAACGTTTGTTTTTATTTATTTATTAACAAGTACATTTAAATCATAAAACAGTCTATTAAATTTATTTTCTATTAAAATTAAAAAATCTAATATTCAATCAACATTTTTCTACGTGACACTTGAAAATTGTAATTCACATTTTACAATAGCTTTTCATTTATAAATAAACAAAAAACATTTTGGCATGAATTTCATTTTATGATACGATTAAATTGTATATCTGAAACTTATCAGTTAAAGGTTCTAATTTTAGATAGTTTAATAATTTCAAAAACAAAAAAAATGCTAAAAACAACAGCTATTTTAAAGATTTAGATTATTTTTAAATTTTAGGAGTATAGACTAAAAATGTTATCCATAGACAGTAAAATATACACTTAATAGTATGTACGTAGATTTTGGTCATATAATTTATTTTAATGATTTTACTTTGAAATATATTTTTTCGTTTACATTCGGTCTGTTTTTAAGGAGTATTGTATAGGCAATATTTAAACAAAAATAGGTTTTAATCAATTTCGACCATGGCCGGTAATTTACCGATTAATTTGTATGAGCCTTAAGGTATTATTTTTAATTTAAATACAATTTTCTACGAGTAAAAGCCGTTTTGGTTTATTTGTAGATCTCTTTATAGTAAACTACTACTACTTTCCAGACCGATTTACGTTTTCTTAAGTAAGTATTTTTTGAGCACATACACCAAAAAAAATATAAGAAATAAGTGATATATTTTTCTAAAAATGTTATTAACAAAAATACTTAAATAACTAAAATTTAACTAAAATAAATGCTTAATTTATAAACGACGAGAAACAAAACGTGTACAATAAGGCTAAAAGGTTAAAACTACTTTAGCGCCTAAAAAAATAGTTAGGCAACTTAACGTACACAAAAATAAATAATCCGTGCACAACTTGGAAACTATACTTATTAACTAAAATCTGTTACTGATTGATATCAGCTGGGCACGTGTAGACCTTGACAGCCACGCAACAACTATAGGTGGTCTTACATAGCCCGAGTGTCATCAGTTTAGTCGTAATTCGCTCATAATGGCCAGAAGTCCACGAAAAATAAGATACAAACCGGGAAGAAAAATAGCCACAATAGCATATTAAATCTTCAAATTTGCTCGAATCTGGAAATAACCATATATTTAGATTAGATTAAAACGTTTTGGCCGAATGATTGATAAAAAAAATGAGCTAATAATTACAGCAGCAGCAGAAGACATGTCGACCGACTTAGTTTTAGTTAATTAAACGTCGATTTAAATATAATACCGCAATTAACAATCGCAGAAAAAAAATTAAAAAGATGGTTTCAATATAATACCACTATGACAAAAAAAAAAAATACAAAAAATGTTATTTAATTACATTCAAAATTATACTCGAATGTACAAAAATTGGGACATTTAGATATATTAGCAATGCCTTAATTGAGTGAAGGGGGTGGGAGTGTCCTATAGGTTCGACCACAAGGAGCTGACATTAATTGATATTTTTCACCTTAAATTTCTATGTATAGAATATATATGTATTTTAATTTTTGCTTTTTGAACACGAAAAGGTACAACAAAAGGGTTTTCTTATTTTGTACTAAACAAATACCATACGAACAATATCACTATAAACGTACTTACAGACTGGTCGAAAATGGCTTTTTGACTTTTTCAAAAAATTTAAACGCATATTTAGGTATTGTTTAGTCCATAAATGTAGATTTTAGTGCATAGTAGGTACATTATATGAGCAACTACAAAACATTTGTACATTTTCTATTAAATATATTTTATTAAGAGCACAATACTTCAGTTACAAAAAGAATGCACGTGGGAATATTACAATGTTCCATAGTTTTTTTTTTTTTTTTTAGTAAGCAAAAAGTAAAAATAAATTTGTAAAATAGAAACATTGATACTATTAAATGTATTGTATAATGGACTAGGGACATGGTAAGTGCAAGAAGTAAGTCAAAATTGTTGTTTTACATATAGAATAAATAAATAATAGTACAAAAAGTAATAGAATTTATATATAATAATATAGGAATTATTCTATGTCAATATTGTTATCAGTCACAACCGTAGAACTCGAGGCATTAAATATGAATATTAAATCTATTTAATAGTTTAAAAAAAAACAAATATGTTGTAAAAACAAATAATTATGTTAATAATAAAATTTAAAAAAATTAAACATTTTAATAAAAATTAGTTTATTTTATGTTACTCGTAGATAATTATAAATAGGAATATTATATATTTAGTAACTAATGTAGTAAGCAGTATTAGTAAAGTATACACATTTTTATAAAAAATTAACATTTAAGTACTGTGAAATGTAGTTTGGAACTAATAGAAATAAACATATTTTGTTTTATATACCTCATCTTAGATAATATACAACCTAAATAATTAGATCTTTGGCACAAACATAAAAATAACAAGAAAAGTAAAATAGAAGATGAGAAAATCATACAAAATTATAATATGAAAAATAACAGAAGACAAATAATTACATCGATACTCATTTAAAAGGTCTAAAAAATAAGAAAATTATTAAAAAGAAAAATAGATGATATAAAAATCTGGTGACTAGAGTAAAGTATAATGAAAGTAAATAGTAGCGTAGTATTGAATACACACAAAATTTGCAAACAGTATACATAATGAGGAGATTATCGTTTGTCAATTACTATAAATTACTATAACAATTTTCCTATGATTAGTTGATTAGAGTGTTAAACTTTACAATAACCTTCTATTGGTGTTTATTTTTTACTATCAAAAACTTAATATTGTTCATTCGCCATGGATGTATCGAAACTAATTCTAGTTCAGTCATACTGTAGTTCCTAATGTACCGAATACAACGCGTGTAGATTCTGAATCTAAACTTAGATCTTCTGGTGACGCCAACTCTACGCGTATTGCTCCAGTTTGTTCAGCTCGTAACATCCAATCGTCACGTTGCCAATTGTAAGGATTGACAATTTGTTCTTCGGGCTCGATACTGGCCGACGTTAGTGAACTATGAGATTCTGTGCTATCAAAACTACTGGCCGGAATGTATTCGGCTAGAGTATGATCAGCAGATCGTTCTTCTAAGGCTCTAATTTAAAATAATAACAAATAGTTTTAATTTGATCAAATTACAATAATTGTAATATATATACATATATTAGTATAAACCAGTGATTCACTAAAAAGATTTACACTTTCCAGTTTCTGTTATATTATAAAATAACCAGCACGTTTGTGTTAATTTTTTATGAAACACGTCTACGGTTTTACAAAAAATAAACATGTCTAATTTAAGTCAAAGTTTAATTTTAAGAAAATTTTTGGTTTATTTTTCTATGTGAACGAACGAGTTAAAATGTTCTTTCCAAACACTAGTTTATTCTAGTTGTTTATACAAGCAGATGTCACAAACCCTAATTAATAAAATTAATTTCCATATAGTCAATTTTTCGCTAAATCATAATTTAATCATAACAGTAATGATAATTTTTTGTTTATGGTTAATTTGTTCATCAAAATATCAGACTAATAGAGCCTTTAAAAATAATGTTTGCTAAAAAAATAAAACCTCTATAAATGACCAACACTGTTTTACAAAAAAATTCAAATGAATAACTCATTACCGTAGAATTGAAATGCAGTTTTCTGACTCTAAGGAAATGGGATTTTCTGAATCCCTGTTGTAAATTATCAGTGCTATATGAGCAGGATGAGGTACAGGTAGCGGTATGCATAGTTTATCCGCCATATAAGATTGATGAATTCGTTTCCACGGCCGATATGGCTTTGTTTTGTGCGAGCCTGTAGAATTCGAATTTGAAAATGATTTGCGTTTGTGAGCATTTGATTTGAAACGTCCACCTAACAACATTGTATAAGAAATGCTATTCCTGAAAAAAAAAAAATGTTTATTTAATTAAAAGCAAATAAATAAAATAAGAACCGTCAAGACTTACCGAGTATTGTCTAATTTCTTAAATTTACAATGCAATAATTTTGAGCGAGGATTAAACACGGTGACTTCCAAATATGGTGATTGTATTTGTATGTTCCCTCGTGTAGAATACAATGGTCCCAGCATATCCGAATTATGATCATGAATATCAGTATTACGAATTGCATTAGAAAATCGTGATAGATCTACATTATGATCAGTCTAATTGACAAAATTGATAAAATCACAAATTTTTTAATTTAAATACAGTAATTATTCATGCTTAAAATTAGTAATTATTACTTCTAATTTAAATTTAGTGTCTGCGTCGTCCAAAGGTGTGAAAAAATCTAAACTAAATATATCAGTAAAGAATACAATGGCGAGTGATGACCAGTCATTTATAGACAGTCCTTTAGATTCCCAAAACTCTTCCTCGCTTATCGATAATTTGTTAATCACATGTTGTGGATACCAGCCTTCTAACATTTTCGATGCTAGTGCAATAGTTACCTGTGAATAAATACCAATATAAATGTTACAATAAATAGTTGCAGTTTTTTCCAAGTAGTACTTTAAGATCCATTGATGTGAGTCTAATTTTTGATTTCAAGTTAGCTGATAGGCCAGTCTGAAGCTCGCGCAATCGTCTTTCTAATTTATCTTGAAGAGTCATGGATAAATCTTGAGATTCTTTTTCTAACAACCGGTAAGCTCCGTTTTTAGCTAAATGTGCACTAAATGGTCCAAAACATACTTCAACAAATCGTGCAAAGTCTTTTTGTGGTTGATGAATTTTTTGCTCCATGAGATGCTGATAGACATTCAACTCGTCCAACTCCATTTTCGCTTCTAACGCGGCCAATGCTTGTTCAGGGCGAATTTGAAAATAATAATTGGTAGCCATACCAGGGCCGGCAACACGCTTAACAATAAAGCTGTCACATGCAGGCACTCTGCCACGTTTTTTAATCACTAGATGAAAAATTACACTGTCCCAACCCAAACGGAACCAATATCTCAAAAGAGCTCCTAAAGACAAAATAAATGTAACATATAATTAACACCGTTTTGAACATTTTAAGAGGAACAGGATGATCACACGGAAAGCTTAATAGCATGTAAGCAAGCTGGGTGCTGGCTAACTAAATAATCTCAAAGAAAATTTACCTATAAACAAAACAATTGTAGTAACTGGACAAAATACAAATGCAATAGCACAAGCTAACAATGGTTGAACGACACCCTGTAAAGCTATATTCCAAACCAATGCTTCGGCTATAACAAAATATCTGTTTTTCCATTCAGCCGGAGAGTCTAAATCATAAATTAAGCCATTGAATACGTGTAACAACAATGTTACTAGCGGCATCCTGCAAGTGCATTTTTTTACAGTTAGTAAATAATTTATAGAATGGTTTAATATTATAATAGCTGTTTTACCATATTGGACCTGTCAAAGCGACTATTAAACTCATAAAACTCGATAAAAGGCAGGCTAACGGAAAAAATATCATCATAGCCAGTGTGCCAAATATTCCTTTGATTATATAGTTCCAAAAACGATTCATATGTCTAGTCATCCCTTTACCAATAAATCCTAAAAAAATCATTTAATTAAATGTTAGCAAATGTTGGTATTTTTGACATTTAATATTTATTAAAATTTACCTGTATCAGGTTTGGTTTCAAAATGGGTACGACTTTTGGATATATGTCTCCACAGAGAATTTAATCTTGATAAAAGTGTTGGAGTAAGTGATGATTTTCTAGGAAATAACGTACCATTGATTTGGGAGAGCTCTAAATCTGGAAAAAATGCTTCGGAACAAAATAAAGACCGCACACTAACAGGACTACACCACGGTATAACCACCTGTAGAGAAATGTGTAAATCAAATTTATAGTAACTTATTATTGTATTAATAAGCCATTTATAGAAATATAATAAAATAACTCTTACGCCAAAAAAAAACATTGCGTTCCATGTCCATGTCCAAGTGCGATAAAAATAATTGATAACTCTCCAGAACGGCCATCTAGTTGTTGTAGTTCTTGTGATTTCCTTTTCCACCAAAAACACGGCCTAAAACAATACAATTTGGTTTTAGTCTTAACGGAACTAATAAAAAAAGCCAGCTTGGAGGTCACAAGCCTATGGGAATTATTATTTTAACTGAAAGTGATTCCCTGTATTCGTAACAAAAACATTAAGTATCAACAAAATCACAATAAGTAAATATCAATCAATTTTATAAGAACTATGGTTTTGTAATTGTTTTTTCAGTTTTTGTTTTTTAAGTCCAAAAACTACACCTAAAAAAGCCAAATAAAGAAAGTATCCAACCATTCTAAAGGAAAAGATTTTGTCAATGTGTACTTAAAGAACATTTTTAACATACAAATTAAAACTTATTAGACTATTTTTCAAAAACTTATAGTATGCTGTAATTTTAAGTTGAAAGATATATCAATTTTTTCTCAGTTTAAAAGACGACCCTTTACCTTTTTTTCCTTTTCCTAGACATCTTTTTTGACTGAGATGTACATTTTTCGCTGTGGAGGCGAAAAAATAAATTATTGACCTAGTCTAATATATTATCATGGGCGCGGGCATTGTAAAATAATAACTTTTATGCTGGCCATCAAAAATAGTATAGAACAATATATTTTTACTTGCTGACTTACTTGATTAGGATTAGATCGAGGTGTTGTAATTGCTGTAGCCGTCAAACTCAGAACAGTTGGTATGACTTCGGATTGTCCCTGAAATGATCTAGTAACAATCCAGTTAGTTGGATGCCAAATTTGTGTTAACCAATGAAATGTTCTAGTTGGTATTTTTACAGCTCTTAGTTCTTTAACCAACACGGGTTCTCTCTATAGTACATTCAAATGAGTACTAAACATATTATTTTATGCATAAATTGTAATTAATTACCTCTCTCATAAAAGTCAAATCTCTTTGTAAAAAGTAAATTGCCTGATCTAAATTATATTCTTTGCAAAGCATTAAAGCTTCTTCATGTGCACTCCACTGACATTCATGAATAAATCTCTCCTGAACAATATTAAATAAAATTAAGAAATAAATATCTAACAAAAACATTTTTATTTTATACTACCTCTGCTTTTCTTTGCTTATCTCTCATCCATGGTCCTATACGTGATAGAACTGGATAGGTATACTGCATTCGTTGACTCAATGTATTTTTTTGCTTCATAATTTTTCGTTGTACGTTTTCAACGGCTCTAGAAAAACAAATGTTTTGGTTTTCTTTAAAACTTCTTAGAGCCAAATTAAAATTTTTGTTGTAATATAAATTTTAAATTTTACCTATGCATCAAAACAATACTCTGTGCCTGATTAATGAGAAGTTTTGGAATATTACCGCCCAGCTTTTGTAGTTCATTATTATTAATTATACTTTTATAAACACGATGCAAATATTCTTTCATCACAGCTTCATTGACTGACTGGAAAAAAAAACCAATAAGTAATGTTCCATTACACATATTATACTATATTATTACTGAGTCTTAAATATATATAATCCTAAATATTAAACTCACTTTTACAATTGTATATCTATTCTAATTACTAATTATAGCTAAAATTGAAAATTCATACTTTTTTATTTTATATCTGTATAACATAATGTTATATCTTACTTTTTCAATTTCTTCATCTGATAATTTTTGAGTCTTTAGTTCGTAAATAAGTTTTTCTCGAAAATGTAAAAACCAGCCACGTGTTTCACGTTCTAACACAGCCATCAATATTGGTAACGCCTTTTTCATTATGTCCCGATTGAAAAGACTTAAATCAATTTCTTCACGCTTTAAAAAAAAAAAATTTAGGCCATGTTTCATAGACTTGATAATAAAAATAAATATTACTAGCATAAATTAGTTACATATAATATTTGTGCATGTCACGTAAAGTCAGTACGTTTAATTTGTGTCAAAAAAAAGCAACACGTAAGCCTTTTTTTAATTAGGTGTTACCCACCCATTTATTCCATAATAAAAGTAAATTAAAGGCAATTTTTCTCAAATTTTTTAATTTAGGGCTTAAACTTAGTGTATTTATAATAATGAGGCTTCTTTATAGGATATTAATTGTTTTGTCAAATTATCACAGGCAATTCTATAGAAAAAAATTCATTTTTTTTTATAGAGTTTTGCATGAATCAATTCTAAAGTACCTTGAAATTGTCGTTAAAATAATCAAATGTTCACAGTAAATAGAGAAAAGTTTTCTTTTTTTTTTAATTTTTATTAATTCTATTCACTAATTTAAAAAATTATTAAAAAATACTAAAAATATTCTAAATTTTAAAAATTATTTAATCTATCAAAATATTGTACACCTGTATTCATAGTAGGGGAGGAAAAGTGATATAGAGAGTAAGGCGACATTTAGAGCAATCTGTCTTTCTTTCAACACTCAACCACGCATTTCTTTTTTATGATAATTTTTAGAACCGGCATAAATATGTATAAGCAATGCTCAAATATTGATTGAACAGTGAAGACTAATTTATTAGTAATGATTTTTAAGACATTAAGCTTACTTTTGGTGTTAAAAACTTATAGGGAATAGGAATTTGGGGACACATTGCTTCTTTTGATGGTTCAAATTTTTCAGTTGCTGCTCGGCGCAATTGTTTTTGAACAAAATTGATTATGTGATCCAAAGCATCTTCTAGTTCAGGCTAAATAACAAAAAAATTGTTTTAAAAATATTATAATATTTCAATAATGATATATGATGTGTATTAATTAAATCTTACACGACACATTAGTTCAGCTACAAGATATCGGCAACGTTCTTCTCTTATTTTTTCTGGCAAATTATGAGCTTGAAGAGAAGGTACGCCAAACACGACATCTAAAAACAGAAGATTAGAAATTAATTATTGCTTATAAAAATGAATGAAATTGTTTTTTTTTTTTATTACCTATAAGTTTGATGACACCATTGAAAATAGCTTTGAAAGATTCTGTAACGCTGAAGAAATGCGAACTTAGCCTCGCTTTAGCTGTCACCAAAACAAATCTTAAGGCTAATGCTAAATCATCGAGTAGCGTTTCACGATTTCTCTCTGTGCCTTTTTGTAACCATTCGGTTAATCTCCATTTGTGTGATTGACCAGCAAAATTTATACTAGCTACTTCAAACTCACTACAAATATTATTATTTTATTACTATTAATCCATCAACAAAAAAAAAAAATTTTAACTTTACGCTAAATAAAAACCAACTTTCAACTCAACGTATATCATTCTACAGTTAAAACATATATTTGATGCAAATAAAAAATAAAAAAAAATTAAAAGAACAACTAGAAATCAAATCCCAAATAATTTTCCCTGACCCAACATACCCCAATTTACGTATAGTATCCAATTGTTTTGCATTTAACATCTTTGGTTTTCCGTGTACATCCTTGTCCAGACTTAATAATAACATATTGTTTTACTCCGTTTTAATATTATAAAATTAATGTCATTAATGTATGCTTACCCTTGTTCACGAAGTGATTCTAACTGCTTGTTATTTAAGTGCTTTGTTTCTCCTTTACTATTAACAGCCACTGCATCTAACTCATCAAATGAAGGCGGTATAAATAAGTCACGGCAATTGATCGAACGATATGAAGCAACACTGCGTCTAGCTAGAGTACAACATGAATTAAAGCCTACATTAATTATTTAGTTATGATTGAATTATTTTAAACTTAGGCATATAAAATAACTTACCAGTTCCATACGAAGAGTCGTTTACGTTTGTTTGACATTTAGTTGTGATGGCTGTTGGTGGCAAGACAATTGGAAATGTTTTCCAATGATATAAAAACTGTTCACCAACCTGTAAAAAACCAATTAATTTATCCGTAACTGGTACTCTGATCAGCATAAGAAGTCTCCTAAGATTTACATTGATTTGCAGTTTGTAACTTTGCACCGTGCTAATTACAGGTTAAGAAACAAATTTACTTTACCAGGCACTCTTTTTTTGAAAATTTCTTTATGTCGATTAAAAGGCTTTTTACCCAGATTTTAAATATGAAATTGGAAATCCGCAGACTCTTTCAGTAAGTTGTAGCTACTTGAACTTTGGGAATTATCTTTGCAAGAATACATAAATATATGCTAGTTGGCTTTGGCGCCCTGCGTCACCAGTCACAGGCGTCTTTATTCACTAATCGTTTGTAGTTTATTTATGTACTTGCCAAACAATAACTCCCAAAGTAATTTTTTAATTACAGGAGTCGGCAGAATTCTGACTTCAGCTTCGTAATCAGCATAAAAAAACCACTATAATTTGGCAAAAAAAAAGATTCCTGGTAAAGAGAATTCAACTCAAAATTGGTGTTTCCTCACAAAATTCTATACAAGTAGAACTGGCCACTACAACTGTGACTACTCAACTGTTTCACTCTGTACTTTACGTCCTCATACAACTGAATTCTTTATCAGATGACAGCTATCTTCAATATAGCATTGATACAATTTACTCACAAACTTTTTTTTTATAATAGTTGTACGTAATAAAAACGATATTTCTTGTTAAAATACAAAATTGTTATTTATTAACATACTTGTTTTATGTTATCCACTAAATGCACAATTTCTTCAGGAGCACCGCAAAGGTTCACATCAAATTTCAGGGATTCTTTCTAAGGTTGTTAATAAATTTAAACATTATTAATTTGTAAGATACAAAAAGACAAATATTAATAATAATATTATAATTACTTCTGGCAAAATAGACATGTTAATCAATTAACTATTTTACAGTTCAGACGAGTTGAGAGATTTATTGGGTACATAGAGCTTCATCTGAACTTGGCGTTATCTTCGTCATATCCCATACTGTAGTGTATTGTACTGTGTAGGAAATAACCGGTTTTACAGTATTAAAATTCACGGTTCAAGAATCCCACATATTATATTACAATTTAACCCTGAATTAAACCAAAGAAAGCAGAGAAGTGCGTGCATTTTGTAGGAATACTAAAGAAAAAAGGGTGAGTTATATTTTGTATCCACTAACAGGATGTGCATAACAAAGCCACTTACCACACAGGGAGTCAAATATTTTCAAACGAATAGACGATTTTTAAATCGAATAAAAATCGAACTCCAACAAGCTGACTTTTGTTTTAATTCCATAATGTAAAAAATGTGTTTACAGCTTGGTGAATATTTCTGGTAACAAAAAAACGAGCACGAATCACGTAAGTTTATTGAAAATCTTACAAAGTTTGTTGACACCAAATTTATTTATGATAACAGTTGTTGATAACAATAACAATCGATTGTAATTGCTGAACTAAAGGTGCGTTTTCACGAATCGAGTTTAATTAGCCGATTATAGTTGATCAATTGAATTATCACTTGAACGATAAAGTTTGACTGGGTCCGACTTTTCTTGATCGACTAAAAAGTTTATCAACTCCATTGAAACAAGGCCTCTTCCTATAGATTTCATTCAACTTTTGTTGATTAACTATAATCGGTCAATTAAACTTGATTCGTGAGAACGGGCCTTAGAAAATCAACTTGATAATAGATAATTAGCTTGATAACATGCACACCTACCTATTATTTATTATTTTAACGAGAAGATAATAGTATGAACTTTTTTTCTCAGAAATATCTTCTATAGACTATAGTGATAAAATATGTATTATTAATGTATATAATCAAATCGAGTACTTACAAATACTACTAACTAATACTCTAGCTTTATTATTACTAATGTAGACATCTTTCCGTATTATGCATGATGGAACTTTCAAACGCCCGTAGAACTTCGAAAAAGGGTGAGAAATAACAACTTTTTTTCTTTGACCCAACATCTATACTTTTATAGATGACTATTATCTTAATTTTTTTGAATACCTGTACATACAAAATTTCAATATGCATAATAACCTCTATAAATATTTTATACAAAACATTCTTTTGTAATTTAAGTTTCCTAACATTTTTTTGTATGTTTTGCTTTTGTCTGTTAATATCTTAGAAAAAATGTCTTTTTCTGTGCGATTCAATGCGGAAGATGAAGAGGTAGAAGGGCTGTATTCTAAACCTACATTATTGCGATCAACAGGTACTCATCACTGGCATGGAGATTATCTATTTTATTAATAAACAAAATAATTTAGAATTATTGAATAAAACAAAAATTTTTATAATAATAGATTTTTTTAACAATATATATATATATATATCATATATTTTATAAATATTTGGTAAAACGAGAAAGTTTATTAATTTTATAATTTACTTAGGATCAATTGAAGAGTATCCAAGAACACCTGATCAGTCTTTGGGAAGTACACAATACTTGGGTCTTTTCGGATTAAAACGATCGTCGAGTTCTGATGCAGAACCATCTCCTTGCGATACGACTATTCGGCGTTTAGATAGTTTTTTATCAGATATCAAAGAAGGTCTGTGCAAGAGTGATAACATTGATCTTGGAATGTCAACTAAGTAATAATAATTTATATACTGCTCTATAATTTATACGTATAAAATTTATAAAAAAAAGAATGATAATTTTTTTTTAATTCATTTAACGATTACACTTTTTGTATTGATCATATACTAATATGCTTAGGAAGTATGATGATTCAGGCCAAGATGATGATTCCGTATCTTTAATATCAGACGAGATTGAGGAAATAAGAGATGAAAATGAAAAAATAAGTTCAAGTTTCGTTGACACTAATTGGTTTAGTATTCGCCGTAGACGTACCAATGTCATTGAAAGAGCTGGAGAATTCAGTGATGTTGAAAAGGCAAAAGACGCTCTAGAAGATTATAATACGAATATTTTAGAACCCATAGCTCATTGCAGTCCAGTGACGGCGCCTCCAAGAATAAGGGACAAAATAAAATACGCAATGTGGTTTTTATTTGGAATAACAGGATGCTTTTTAAGTTATAGATACATGTCATTATACATTGTAAGATTTAAAAGATAAAAATTTAGATTTAGTATATTTTTATTAAAATTATATATCGTGCTTTATTTTTAGAATACATTTTTTCTTGGAGGTTTTATTGCTTTCAAATGTAGATACTTTATAGAAATGATAACTACTGAAAGTTATAAAAAAAATCGGTTTTTACTCAATAAAAACAAATTTCCGGATAACGAAGATACTATCATCCAAACTTTAAAAGCATTATATCATATGGATCCACGTTTCATGTTGTATAAGGTATTTAGAAGGGGAAATCATTATCTTAAAAAAGTATACATATCTTTTGTGCATAACTGTTTGTATTTATTTTTTGTAGGGCTGGATGAATCAATTTTTGTATGAATATCGTCCAGAAACCTATAGACTTTCACTTACAATATCAGTGTATTCGAGACTAAAAGGATCGGTCTTAATTATGTCTTATCCTTATTACAAAGTTCCTAAAAGATCACTGTATAATCAAACAAAACCTAAATTGGTTTTCATAAAAGAATGTATGTATGATTTGTCACGGTGCAAAGTTGGATTACTGCCAAACAACTTAGTTAATAAAAGGTAAAAATTATTGTTTTTTTTTTTTTTTTTTTTAATTTTATTTTTATAATTATTTTTTTAGAAAATGGAGTAAAAAATATCCCATATGTATTGATTTAAATTCAGATTCTTTAATTGGTGTTCGTCGGTCCGTAAAGTCTAAACGATTTATTACAGATTCTGATGAATGGTTTCTTAAAGATTATACTACTAGATCAGAGCAAGCTGGTAAATAAGTACTTCATAATATTTTAGTTTATTTATAATTTGTTAATTTTATTACAGAAAAATTGTACAAGGAAATGTTTGAAGGTGAAGTCATAGACGTCAAGGACGATTATGATTTAAACGATGAAAGTTTTTACACTGAAAGTGAAAAAAGAGTTGTAAAAGCGGAAGTATGTCAACATTTTTTTTAATTAGTAGGAAAATTACATACAAATAAAAGTTGTGTTAAAAAACTAAAGTACATAATGTCATTTGAATCTCTTTGCTTGCATCCATAAAAAAATAGCCAAAAACATATAGCTGAATGACAAAACTTATTTTTATTTAATACTGTATCAAAAAGAAAATATATATTATTATATTGAATTTTATGCAACTTTGCTTTTAAGTACATAATAATTTTAAAACATATTTCATTGAACCTTTTTAGGTTGATTCTAAAAAAGAACATAGAAATTCTGAACCAGAACCTAGTACATCAAAGGGTCCTGAAAAATTGGAAAACTTGGAAGAAAATGATGTTGACAATGGATTGAAAACTGATTCAGATAAAATATACCTGTTTGCAAGAAACGACCCTGAAAAAGAACTTTGGTATCACCGTTTAAACCTTGCAGCTTCTATTAATATACCTAATGATGAGATGAGAAAAAAATTAGAACAACGTTTTAAGTTACACAAAGCTTATTTGGCTTACATACATAGAGCTCACGAGCTTTCCAATATACCAATAAAGATTGATAGTTCAAAGAATAAAACTGTGAGTTCAAGTTAAAATAGGTTTTAATCAATTATTGAAAAATATAATTAAAATTATTATTTATTAATGAATGTAAGGAAAATGAAACCGGCTAGTTTTTGTATAGTACAGTATCTTAGTACAATTTTCTATTTTTGTTGCTTACTAGAAATTACATAATATTCAACTCAATGATATACCAGGCGAGCAGCTATATTTATGGCTGAATATACTTATCGGTCGTGTGTGCTTTGATTATCTACAAAATCCTAAAGTGCTCGAAATGGTTGCTGATAAATTTCAAAGAAAGTTAAATGCCATCAGGGTATATTTTAATATTAAATGATAGATAATGTTTGGTGTTCAACTAAAAATATATTTCTTATTTATAGTTACCAAAAGTAATGGACATGATAGTTATTCGAAGCTTGTGCTTTGGCAAAGGAGAAATTCCGACTGTCCGCCGTGCTTCTAAGCCTTGGATTGACCATCGTGGAATATGGTTCGAGTTAGAAATTGTTTACAATGGAAGTTTTCAAGCATCCGTCGACACCAAACTGAATTTAATGAAATTAAAGAAAGAAGAAACTCAACAACAAAAAGAAGAAATGTACAATAAATAATATTTCAAATTATTTGCAACTTTTTATTTATTTATTTAAATTTTAAAGGAGGAAGGCTGTTTACGACTCCAATCAAGAAGATAGTGGTGAAACGTCTAACGACGAAGGCCAAGTACGAGAAGATGTTAATTTTGCTCAACGGCTATTTGAGCAACAAGCATTAAATGAACCTCCGCCTCTTCAAGGAAGTCGTATCAGTAGATTTGTTGAGAATATGTCGTCTAGTCTTTTTGAACTGAAATACGTGAAGAGAGTTTTAGAAAATGTCGCCAAGAAAGAACTCACACTTGTGATTGACGTAAAACAGTTAATAGGAACGCTCATAGTCAATTTACCACCACCACCAACTGACCGTATATGGTAATCAATATTTTCTATTAAAAACTGCATTAATGAATGATACCACTATTTCTTGTAGGGTTTCGTTTAGAGGATGTCCTCAAATTACTTTTGAAGCAAAACCTAAAGTAAACGATACAAATGTGCCACTTATCGATTTCTTAACAAAATGGTTGCACAATGTATTAATTAAAGAATTTGAGGTACGTTAATATTTATTAACTAAAATAAATACATTAATTCTTTAAATTGTAATTTTTTTTCCTTATAGAAAATTATAGTTCTACCAAATATGACGGATTTTTCGATACCAATGATGAATAGTGAATACTAATTAATTATAATTTTGCACAAAGAATTATTATTAGTTTTAAGTAAAATGTATTTTATTTTATATTAAGAATTGATTATTTGTTACCATTGAAAGAAAAAAAACAAATTTTTATTGGCTGTGATAATATTTTATGTACGCCAAATCATTATATGAATTGTTTTAATTTTAAAACTTAACGACTTCAGTTATAACTTAATAACGATTTAACAATGTTTGGCCACTATCACAGTATTGTTTAATATTTTAAATACTTTTTTAAAAGTTGTCCTATTAGTGGGGAAATTTGCACATTTGCCAAATAAACATTATATAAAGCATATTATATTTATATTTAAGAGGTAAATAAGTTTAAATTCCATGTTCCAAGGCTGTAATTTGTTCGAATTACTTATTTTATTGTTATATTCCTAATTGTATTTTTTTTTTTTATTTGATTTTTTTTTTTATGTTATCTTTTTCCTTTTTTTAGATATTTTAGTGTGGTCGTTAAAAATCAAAGTATTTTTTCGAGTGATTGATGTTTTTTTTCTTGTCCTCTGATCCTCATATTTTAACTCATTTGCAAGGTTATAAATTATAATAAACAATTTATATTTCATACTATTATGATTAAATATCTTGACTTTTTTTTTTTTTGTAATATAAATTTAATGTGTTAAAGAAGCAAGGAATAAATTATTATAATATAACAATGTATAAAAATATTTATTTAAAAAGAAATATTATAAGTAAGGAAGACATTATTTTAAAAATTATCAACCAATTGTACATAAAACATTAAATGTAAGATTGTAATTCATAGCTTAGTAATCACAAATTATATCCACTAGTAGATTGAAGTCTGCTGTTATGTTTTAGGAGGTACGTAAAACTTTTCTTAATACCGCCGACTGTTTTCTTTTTGCTAAGAGATATGAGACCTTGTTTGGCCTTGGCTCGCCAGCAATAATATTTCCATATTACGAAAATAGCTACGACCGACAAAACCGTAGCTAGTATTGTTAATGGAAAAAAAATTCCACCAAATAATCCATTGAATTCTTCTACTTCTTCAGGCACTATTTTTGAATTCCGTAAAAGCGATTGCAACCATTCCATTTCGTCTTCTTCATTAGTAATATCGCTTTTTAATTTTTGCGGTTTGTAATCATCACTGCAAAGTATAAGTGAATTAGGAAATTTATAACTATTATTTACTTTTCAAACTTTACCTATTTGCAGATATATTTAAATTCAGAGTTTTGGCAGGTTCAATTACAATACAAGAAGGAAGGGGTAACTTGATAATTCCTGTATGAGTTTTATTAATCACTTTAGAATGCCTGTAAAAAAAAAATGACATCAACAACCAATTGTAATGATTATGTCTTTCTGTCCTTACTTGTGTAATCCATTGTTTTCTAAGCGTTCCGGTTTTGCATACATCGATTCATTGCTAGAAATTTGAATGTTATCTTCAAGAAAAATGTGTGCTAATTTATCAGTGGAGATGTACTCCATAAAAGCATCCAACATCCAATAACAATCTATCGAAAATAACACATTATTATTAGGTTGGCAAATAACGTAATAACTAAAATGTATGAAAACATATTTTTTTTTAGATTGCTATATGGTTTTTTTTTATTAAAATTACATCAATAACAATCCAGTAAAATGGCTTCTTATCTAGTTTTAATTGAAACTTGATCGTATGCCTTAACATTAATATACAGATTTAAAAACATTATACCTATTTCCATATGACTATTATCAAGACAGTTTGAGTCACCATAAACAATAATATGTCCTGTTGTTTTATATAAACCTAAAATTGGTACCTTGACTTCTTGTTTAGACTTATCGCCGTCCAAAAATTCTTCGCCTATGTCAAATTATAACTATTATATAATTTATTTTAACATTGTTACAACTATAGCTAACCTTGATTCTTTAAAGTTTTTGCTATTACAATGCCTTTGCTTGGAAATGTCGTTAAATGAGAACCAGAAGAATAATGAATTTTTCTATCGCCCATATCGAACTCTCCGTTGTAGACGTTAGGGCCGAACGATATACCAAAGGGGTCTAGTAAATCATTGAGTGCTGGAATATTTGCCCCACCTGTTACGGGCATCCACCATTGTTTTGTATTCTCGTCAAAAAACTTGATCTAAACAATTTATATACCCTGATGTATGTGAATTAATCAATAATTTTGCTCTTCATTAATTACTTTTTTCATAACAGAAACATTATACCAATCGGCAAAAACTATTACTGACAAATTGTAATTGGCAACATCGTTTTTGATTTTGGCGATTTCTTCTGTAAAAAATTCTTCTTCAGGATCTACCACTAACAAAGCTCCATAATTTGATGCATCAAAACAAGTATACGGTTCACCTAAAACTTCTAAATAGTAACCAGAGCTTCGGAGGTGCTGATAAAGACCCTAAAATTAAATAACATTGTTAATAAAATTATTTCAATTTCCTGGTAATTGACAATCTTGCTTTGAAATTTGTATGAATATGATCTGCATTCCAATCCAACGGATCATTCTTTATGTTTAGATTATCTCCAGGAAAATACCCTGGAGGATATCTCAAATTATGGTATTGATCCCAAAGGATTCTTCTTATACTGGGCGGTGTAGGTATTACAGCTGCTCGTAAAGGTAATTTCACTGTACAATTAGCTCCTGCAGTTGGAGATTCAACAGTGAGCTCAATGTGACCTGCAGCAGTACCACTCCAGTTGTCTGGAGCTGTATTTGATACCGTTACAGCAACAGCCAACCAACCCGACCAAGGCCATAAGGTTTGAGAGTAACGAATTGTTACGTCCAAATAATGACCATTGTCCGGTACATATGGATGCCATATTGGAGTTTCAACAACACTGCCGAATACTGCCAAACCGTTCAGTATTGTAACGTTTACAACTATCGGCATTCCAGTATAATACAAGGGTTGTGTGCAATAAGGCCACATGTACTGGCACTCGGTCAAATCTATATAACTGTAATTATTAAGTACAATTAATACCACTTATTAAGTATCATGATACTTAAGAGGAAATATTAAAGGCATATAAAATAATAAGTTAATCTGTTTAAATAGATTATTACAACCCTTAGTTTAAGTCTAAAAAAAAAATAAACTTAAAGAACTATAGAACAAACAATTTCAATAACAGTAATCTGCTACTGCAATACATATACATCTTGATAGTTTTTTTGTGTTGTTATGTTCTTCCTACATCTACAGTCTCCCAAATCTGGTGGAATGGGCCAGAGGGCGATCGCTCATAGAGACACTTGAGCTCATTAGAACCATTAGTACTCTAAAATTAATCGAGAAGGGATGATTTAATTAGTGGCCCAAACTGTAGTCACTTGGGTAGGAATTTTACCCCAGTTCATCCCTGCTGTCTTTCCTCTAAAACTACCATTTGTAGAAAAGAAAACTAATGATACTTGACATAATATACTACTGTAAGTGGTTGAAAGCTCATCACCATAGCGGTCGTGATTGGTTATCTCTTACATGTTATTTTGTTATGACCTCATCTAACGTTTCTTTCAATCGCAAATATGTTTCATGTCTTACACGAACAATGTAGAGAAGTAGCATAGCACTTAAAAAAAAATTTGCTTAGCACCCAGCATAGTAGTATAAAATGTCTAATACATTATATTGTAATATTAGTGGTTATTTCGGTTTTAAGCACTAAATCAAACAATAATAAATATAACAGTGGCATATTATGGGGGCAGTATTATACTAAAGTGAGTATTACCTTCTTTATTATATTTTTTTTACTATTATTAAATATAATATCTATAATTATTTGTGTGTTGTAATCAGTGACATAATTGATTTTATAATATCCAGATAAAACTATCCTATTGTTAAAAATTGCAGCAACTAGCGTGCACTCGAGAAGGATAAATTAAGAAAACAGATGTACTTGCTCGCATGTCCACAAATACAGTTTTTAAATGCAAGTGTTTGCTGTTACTTTTAAGTTTTACAGATAAGATAACTTTTATCTTACAAAACTATCTGTGTGTTATACAATTCACTAGTGTAACAAAAATATTTGTTATTTAAATTAAATAAAAGTAGATAGACAGCCTTCTATACACTTCACCACTGGTAAAATTAATAGTAACATAAATATTTCTTTAGTGAATTAGAAAAAGTTCTAATCAGACTTTGTTTTAGCAAAATCGTCTTTTTTCTTTACACCTGGCTTTGTGTGTACTTAACTGTGTAGTTAAGTGAAATAAGATTGTGGGGTGTGACAGGTATATCACTCACATCAAGGGTCGGTGAACTTATTTTTTAGCTCATATAACTCTGAATTGTAATTTTCTTTTCAACAACATATTTTCAGGGAACTTTTTTTCTCAACAGCTATCTAATTTTTTTGTTTATAGTTATTTCACTAATTAAAATGTATGTACCTAGGACTGAAACTGACTTGTGGTTTGTAGCTAGATAAAATCTTAAATGCTTTTAAAAGATCTAATTTGCCGTGTCCTTGCTCAAACATGTTGATTCCGGGGAGCCTCTGGGAACTGGCCAGCAAAGCTTGTTTCATGCTGGCTGGATTTATATTTTTACCTTGGGCCAATACACCACTAAACAAAGTCAAGTAACATAATGTTATTTTCAGTACAACACTGCTTTGCAATATTTCTATTCTACCTAGCTAAAAGTGTCACGGCTCCAGCTACAACAGGTGAAGCAACACTGGTACCGGACAGTGTTCGGCAACCTCCACTAACACTAGATCCATAAACATCTGTACCATAGGTAACTATATCGGGTTTTAAACGGCCATAACTAAAATAAAATAACATAAGTGATTTGGAATAATTTAAATTTATTTTATCCCACCCCTGAGGCAATTCCCAAGTAGTCATTCCACGAGAGGAAAATTTTGCAATATGGTCTTCAAAACTAATTCCTCCTACTCCGATAACGTCCATTTGATCTGCTGGATTGTTTAAAGTGCTAAAAATAAGAATAAATTAATACTCCAGCATATTATCAATAATACGACATTTGAGTTTCCTTACCCATATAAAGGTCCATCGTTACCAATGGCTGATATCATGATTACACCATTGGCGGTTAGTTCCCAAACTTTGTCAACAAACGGCTGGTCCATAAAATCTGGTCCGCCGATACTCAAATTGAGTACATGAATTTTTCTCATAATAGCATAATTAAATGCATCTAAAAACCACGATGTATATGAAACCTACAGAAAAATTATGCAAGTTAATATTTAATATTTTGGGGAATTTGGTTTATCTTACTTGATTATTAGTGAACACTCTAAAGATATGTAAATCAGCGTCAGGAGCAAAACCCAAACATTCACTATTTGAAGCCACGAGTCCTGCCACAAATGTTCCATGGCCGAGACCATCGTCTAGATTGCCATCGCCGGTCCAATCGGTTCTTTCAGCCACTCTTTTAAAATGTGGATGAGATATACTTAAACCGGTATCAAAAATAGCCACTTTCACTCCTTTACCTAAACAAGTATATAAAAAAACAAATATTTTAAGTAACTTAGTAACAAATGGGACAAAACAGTAAAAATAAAATGAACCTGTTATGCCTAAGCGCCATAATATATCAGCTTTAAGAACTTTAGTTATTTGCTTGGGCACGGCGCGGAGTAAATGTCTCGTTTTGTGCCGTTTATTTAACTTTTGCCATAATTTGATGTCCTGAAATAAAAATAATTATTTTTAAATATATTTAAGTATAATTTATTATCATTCACAACTATTACTTGACCAAGGCTTCTCCTCCGTAAAGGTATTTCATTTTTTGTATCATTATTATAATAATTTAAACTTCTTTGTACTACTCTTTGGGGCGATACTTTTTTGATCATTGGGTGACCAGTTAATGCGTCTACTGCTTTTAAGGAATACCACTGGTCTATCTAAAAATAAATATATAACTTAAACGGGTTTTTAGAAATGATAAAATATAAAATATATTTACAAATAAAACATCAAAATCACTAGGATATTGACTCGCAGCATTTTTCCTATCTATGATTCTCCACTTATCAACATCAGCCGATGAAAGCGCTGCCGATATGTAATTATGCCTTGTCTTGTTTAAATAATAACCATTAAACGTAATTATATACTCTATTAAAACAAATACAATAAATACAATATTAGTACCTAAGTATAAAACAAAAATATTTTCAAATTTATTTCTTTTAAAAAAAAAAATTGTTCACAATAAAAAAATCAAATTTAAAAAATTATACATTTTATGAGAAAGAAAGGCTGCTGAATGATTCTACGGCCGTACAATATGTCTGATTCCCGGTCGAATTCAAATATGACAACCAAGAATATCAAACATATCTTACAGTCCTGTAGACATTATTTACCCTAGCAAAATTCCAAGTTTTTTTGTTTTAACAAACTATTTTCTGTTACCTTGATCTATTATGTGAGCATTGTACGTTGGCTCTGCGCATCCAATCCGCACAAATAACGCTAAGAGGTATAGCGTATACACCACTACTGACATTATGCATTTCTGAGAGGAGACAGACTCCGAGGGGAAAAAAATTGTTATTATTTTTATTATTGTTGTTGGTCGTAGTTATTTACTGCTTCCTTCTTCGCACCAACAAAGTGCTGAGGGTAGCAGTGTTTTGTGGGCAACGACGGTGCGGCTCGACGTACGACGACACGAGTCCGTGCCAGCAGAGCGTTTGAGGAAGACTGAGCCGGGCGTAATGGAATTAAAAGCGGGTGAGAGGCCCGTACAACACACTCACACACGGGGGGGAGCGGGAACGCGTATAATAATCGCACGGGCCGACCGATCAATAAGCTCGAGTTTGTCAAATGGGAAGCACTACGGGCCACAGCGGCGCCCACCCGTGAAACGGCGGCGCGTGGGGTGCGAGTGGAGTGACGACCCGTGCGTCCGGGGGAAAAACAACCGGGGACGAGGCGGGAGTGAGCGGTGAAGTCGGCGGCAATGGGGATGGAACTTTTGGGGCGCCGAGAAGATAAGGACCGGCGACACGAACGACGGCGGCGGCAGATGCTGCGAGCCAACGGGATTTCAGACTTTCAGTCGTCGTATTGGCGCCAGACTGGCCGGGCCCAGTGCGGATCAATCGCCGTCGTCGCAGTGTTGCCACTGCCGCCGGTCTACGGCTTTTCTTTGTTTTTTCCAATATTTGAATATCATCCGTTTCGCTAAACACGGCGAGTAAAACCAAAAATCTCGCGGTGTGATTGCCAAGGACTAGGGTCAAGCTCTAAGTTTTATTGAAAATGGCAAGCCACAAATCACGAACGACAACAACAAACAAACTTAACGTGAACATTATTTAAATAAAAACACCTTTAATAACAAAATAAACATTTTGTTTATATTTGAACGAATATACAAATAATAAGTTGAGATATTTATTTGAACAAATGTACCTATAAAACAAAAAAAAAGATTTATATGCATTTTTAATTTTAACTAAATAATTTTTAATTTAAATAAAAATGGAAGTAATAATTTAATCAACAGTATTTTTAAAATAGCAGAGGTCTTTGAAATAGTCAAATAAAAAAATTGAATCGGTCATTTCAAAAACGACATATCACCGATTTTCAAAAATTACTTTTTGTCAAATTTGATAATTATATACTTAGTTACGTATTCTGTGTGAAAACCAAATTTGTCAGACTCATATTTAATAAAAATGTTGAATACAAGAAATTAGAATCACTGCTAAGACTAGATATGAAGTTATGAAGTTTTTTGTGGCTAATGTAAAATTTCAATTTTGTGACTTGTGTCGTTTTTGAAATGACCGATTCAATTGTTGAAATTAAAAAAAATAAATTATTTTCAAATAACTTATTATGTGAAACAGTAAATAAAAATTTATTTGAAATAATGCATTATTTTTAAATTATTATTTGTGATTTGTTGTTTAAATAAAAATGCCCAAGTTTGAAACAAACCAATATCACTTACATTAATTTTACTAAATAAATGTATGGGTACGTTCAAAAGGCATCATACCACTTTTTATTTCAGCAAAAAACACGTTTTTGAAAATTACTGAAGAACTGAGTAGTCTTGTCGTAAAAAAAATGTATACAAATTTTATCATGGTCGATTTTTAATAAAATAATTGTGGTCAAAGTTATAAAACTTCTAACAAGTTTAATATTAGAATTCCTTACATCTCAGTTTCTGATAGCTTAATTAATCGCTCTAGTCAAAATCTAGATAAAGTCTCAATCACTAATTTTGTAGTACTACAAAATGTAGTAAAACTACTCAGTTTCTCAAAAAACTGTTTATACTTAACCTTTAGTAAGGATAATAATAGCTAAACGACTACTATGTAATATTTAAAAACTAATATTAATTATTAATATAAATTCATTTTTGCTACGCCTAAGTTATAACATGACTTTAAAAAAAAGATTAATGTATATACATTTTTATAAAAAAATGTCCTACATTTTACTCCTTAAAAAGTACCAAGTGATGCGACTTTTGACGTTCTCTTAATAATTGGAAATGATGAAATTACAAAAATAAAACACCTAAATCATAAACGAGTTTATACTTAGTCTCTACTCGTGTTTGGTATTTTCAACATGTTCTCTATATAGGCATCTGAATAAATTTCCAACATATTTATTTTAAATAGAGTTTTTTATTTAGGTAATTTTTTTTTATGCTTAACTGGTCAGGCTTATAATTTATAATTTCTAGTTTTTTTTAATATACAAAATAAAAATGTTCTGATTTTTTTTCTGAAAGTTATGTAGGAAATAAATAAAAATTATTTTAAAGTATAGCTAGGTAATTGTTTGTTCGTTTTCTCGTTCCTTTCTACGTAGGTTTTTTTCTGACTCAAACTTTTTCCGCCTGTACCAATCATGCAGGAAGCCGTCTGGCGCCTACATTTGTTGCAACACCAACCAAAGAGATTTTTTTTTAATCTAAGGAACAAAAAAATGTACATATGAATTATATTTTTGGTATTTAAACAGTATTATTTTACATTATATAAAAAAGTTGTAAACAAATTTAAATAAATCTCTAAATGGCTGTATATAGCAATTAGACAACTATTTTTTTCGTTACAAAAATCTGAATTTTTTTTTTAATTTTGCTAATTAGTATTTTTAATATTTATAAACTATACAAATAATTATCATAACTATCTCAACGATTCAATTTTCCAAAATAATATTGTTTTTAATTCAAATCAGTACCCGTTAATTGCTATAAGGCAGGCCCTATTTTTATGTGCACCACGACACACAATGTGCACCACGAATGTACAAGTGTGCACTACGATTTGAACGTGTGTGCACTACGGTCTACCTTTAGTTGGAGGCTGGGAAGAATTAATCACTAAAGAAATAATTACTGAAAATAAACCAAACTCAAATAAAACAATTATAAAATTAAAAGACATTGAGTTATTTGATAAATCAAATTTGGGAAGACAGAAAAAGAACCGTAATCTTTATGTTTCGGAAGATAGTTCATTTTCAGTAGTTCGGAATGATATTATTGAACACCTTTTAAATTATGTTAGTAAGCGTTTAGACATTATGGAATGGAATTTCTTAAAACCACTTGCAACTATAAGTGAACATACTACAGATGAATAATTAAGTAAAAGTCATGGTTTAATATGCTCAGATTTTGAATTAGTTGAATTTGTAACTTTTTACAGAGAAGCATCATGTGTTCAGAAATTTAAAAATAAAAAAATATCTAAGGATATGTTGAAAATGTTGTTAAGTAATGAATGTTGGAAATCTTTAAGTACTGCTGTGGCACGAATTATAGCTGCCAAGCCACATTCAGCTGATGTTGAACGTATGATATCATATTATAACGTATTGAAAACTTGTAAGAGATCTTCTTTATCTCCAGAAACTATCAAAATTTCAATGTATAAAAAAATAAATATGCCTGTTGTAGCTGAATTCGATCCACAACCTGCAGTATTAAAATGGTTAAATAGTAAAAAAAAAGCATTCAAAAATTTATCCACTGGGTAGACAACAGGAATGGTACGAACGTGTCTTCCCTGAAGCCAAATTAAAGGGTGATGAACCGTCGTTGTTCAGCAATAAAGTTTCGTTTTAACTACATATTTTATAAAAAATATGCATTTAGCATTGTTATGATTTTAATTATTAGAAAGTTAAGTTCAAGTTTTTATTATAACATTCTATTTAATTTCGTTGATTTTGATTAAAAGATAATATTTTGTTGTTTTATTTAATTGCATTGTTAAATTATTATATATATATATATATATGATACATTCCTTTTTCTAAGGCAGTAGCGAGAATAAAATTAAGTGTGTAGTCCGAAATTTTACAAATAATAGAGCCTGCAGTATAAGGATAGAACTTGGCTAGTTGGGAGAGGCACTTTTAAAAATGTTTATCCCTTAAAATTAAGAAAAACACCTTAAAAATAGACATATTTATCAAATTATTATTATAACAATAATAACAATAGTGTCATTTACACATTTTTTTAGGGTATTCTTATAAGATATAGGACTACAGATTACAGTTAAAAATCTAAACAATTTTCCCGAAAAGTGGTGAACACTTTTTATTTTAACTCACTTTTTTAGGATCTAGAATTGAGCTGTTTATTAAAACATTTATTGTCTATTTACAGTGATTTATATTGTAATAATATTAAAAAAAATTTCACCATCTTTGTAGATTCGCATCGTAGCGTATTTTTAAGTGATTTTGTTACTCTCTGTTACAAAAGTTGCTAGAGAATTAAGTATAAAATATATATATATATAGTGAAAATAATTTCACTCGACAAAAAAGGACTTAACGAATGTGTGTTAATTATTGCTGTTTTTATATGTGATAAAAATTATTTTATATCAAGTATCTTATTCTTTTAAAAATATTTTTAAGTATAATATCATTAAGTATATTTTTTCTAGTTATAGGTACTTACTTTGACTACTACTCGGACCACTATTTTTTGCGGTCTGGGAATGCTATTCAATATATCTCGACATTCACCCCATAACCTTTTGAAGGAGGTTACTATAAGTGAGGAAGTAAACTTACCTCTTATGATGTTGGGATGACTCTGCATAAAATGTATAAGGACGTCCTTCTACTGTCCTGTGACGTGAGCTTTTTTAAATTTGGACATGATGACAAAAACAAAGGCGAGAAAAACATGTCTTTAAACCACTGCTAAAATGCTAATGATTAGTAGCCATAGATATTTGGCTTTTAAAATAGCAAATGCTCCTAAATGTAAATATTAAGTAAAGAATTATTCTGTAAATCGCCTATATTATGCTACATTTTTTTTTTCTAATTGTGGTTTAAATATTTTCTATGTTATTTAGTTTATATAAATAAAGTTCTAAGCTTGTTATTTATAAATATAATATAAAATAAAAACTTATGAATTTTAAAATGAGGTTTACCATTAAAAGTTCGATAGTTTTTTTTAACCTTATCAGACCCCCGGGTACTCTATAGTGTACCGACTTTAAATAAATAAATAAATTTATTAATCCATAGTAACATCCATTTAGACCTAGGGTACACTATAGTGTACTAGCAAGAATGTTACAAGATAATTGTAAAATTGTTTTAAACATATTTTGTACGTTTTATATAGATAACAATAAAACATAAAATTGAAGAAAAAAAAATGTTTTTAACAAAAAATGTTGCTGGGTCTGATAAGGTTAAAATAATAAACAGAAAATGTAATTAAAATAATACATTTTAAAATTAAGTTTATTCGATTACATAATCAATTTGGGAGAAAATTCCTTTTTATAATTTCAAATTGTTTTAATCCACTATTATTAAAATAGTTATAGAATAAAAAGTAAGCCTCGATGCAAATCTCTTAAGGTAAAAAATCTTAAATATTTATCAATAAAAACACTATAAATGCAATATTTTATTTATATTTGTGTGGTTAGTTCAATAAAACAAAATTAAGCATAATAGTCTAGTTGCCTTCATCTAACTTACAAGCCTTATCACAAAACTTAAAAGTTTTGTTTTTTGTTATAGGTACTTAATTTTATAAATCGGCTGTTGTACATAGAAGGAGTACAAGTTTTGAACTATATCTTACAAGTTTTCGAAATACTACAAAAAAATAAGTAATATTTGAATAAAAAAAATTATTAATTCCTAAAAATTAATTACGATTTCCATATTTTTTTAACGCTAAAAAAAATCCTTCTACATTTCGTACAATTATTCTGAGGAAGTTTAAATTCGACAGAAAAAATTCTTTCAAAATTCATATTTTCAAATGTTCGGATTCGTTAAAAAAAAAAGGTAAATAAGTTGTATACACATATTAAACTCATTTGGAATCAAAATAACTGTTTTCGATTACTTTACAATACTTTGTACCCGTTTATCGTGCACACTAAAATTTCATAATTATTACATAATATATGGTGACAAAAACAATAGTTCTGTTAATAAATTCTGGTCCATTTGAACGAGTATTCTCATACTCAGTTCCAAAAATCAATACTGAATACATGACGTTCAAAAACTCATATAATAAATTCACCCTATTGTATCTTCAACGACATCCTGGCGCCCGACGTGTAACTATCGATCGCCAACCAAAGAGGTTAGAAAATTTCGTTTTTATCGTCAATTTCGCATATGTGCCTAACCTCAAAATAGTAATTACCCATGTTATCGTTATTATTTACAATTATTCAAAAACGACTAAAAAAAAAGTAAAAGTAATTTGCATTTCAAATATTTACAGGATTAAATAAGATTTATTTAAAGATTATAAAACAACTTCATATCACATTAAGAAGTTAAATATGGTGGAGGCTCATAGTATTAATGCTGAGCACAAGGATTTAATACATGATGTCGCATTCGATTATTATGGCGAGCGAATGGCTACTTGTTCTACTGACCAGTTTGTTAAGGTAAAATTAATATATTCTTAGCTTTAACGTTTCTCTTTTTTACAAACCAAAGTTTTTTTTAGGTATGGGATCAAGATGAGCAGGGTAATTGGAATTTAACAGCTAGCTGGAAGGCCCATAGCGGATCAGTCTGGAAGGTAACATGGGCTCATCCAGAATTCGGTCAAGTCTTAGCAACTTGTTCTTTTGATCGAACTGCAGCTATTTGGGAGGAAATAAGTTAGTTTCTATTTTATATTATGGCTTTGTTTTTAATGGAAATATTTTGGTATTTTTTTTAAACAATTTTTTCATTATATTTGTGTTTTTATACTATAATCTTTTGAACAAGAAAATACTTGCACTTAATCCATAAATTGCTGCTCCCACCTGCATTTGCTTGTGTTTTTAATTTACGAATGTATTTTTGTGCTAATTACTAACTCGAAAAACTTTAGTGCCGCGATTGATTTGGTTTTATAATTCGAAACATTTAAAGTTTATTATTATTATTAGTTTATTATTGATAAAATGCATGTGTAAAAATGATACTGTTTTACCCGCCTACCTACTGTTAAATAATTTTTTTATTTTATTAACTAACCACTTTTAATAGATATTGTAGTAGCTTAAGCTGTTTATAAATTCAGAGTTATGATATTAAAGATTTTGAAATTTCAACATCAAAATAAGCTTATTGTCATTAAGGTGAAATTTTGGGATTTTAGCCTAAACAGTATTAGATGATAACTTTAAATATCTTTTAGAGCAACGCTTATCTTTTTGCATGTTTGTAAATATGTATTGTACATCTACATATGGGTAGAAGGATTTTGTCTTCTTATCTCTTAAATATTAAGAAACTAAATTTGAAATTTTGATAGTAATATCTCATATAATTGTTATTTTATTTTATTCTTGTTCTGTTATATTTTTTAGTCGGTGAAAGTAATGAAGGAGGTACATTATTAAGGCATTGGGTACGAAGAGCTAATTTGGTAGACTCTCGTACATCTGTTACTGATGTAAAGTTTGGTCCAAAATCGTTTGGATTAATATTAGCAACTTGTTCAGCTGATGGAGTGATGCGAATTTACGAAGCTCCAGATGCGATGAATCTAGCTCAATGGCCTTTACAACACGAGGTATCGCTTAAAATACCTAGCAGTTGTCTCACATGGAATCCTTTGCTTTCTAGGTAGAAAATTATTTACTTAAAATATTAACTACAAATTTGTATTAATTTACAATGTATACTTTTTAGTTTTAAAATGCCAAATGCAATGATAGCAGTTGGTAGTGATGAAAACTCCAATACTACAAACAGCAAAGTTTTCATTTGTGAATACAATGAAGTCTCTCGTCGATGGGCTAAGACGGAGTCAGTCTCAAGTGTCACTCACCCAGTTCATGACATGATATTTGCTCCAAATTTAGGACGATCATATCATCTCTTAGCAATAGCTACCAACAATGTCCGCATTTTAAAGCTCAAACCTATTGCGTATGTAGTGAATATTTGTTTATTTTTCAACTATATTTAAGCATTTGATTTAATTACAGAGATGCAACCAGTGGATTTCCTTATACAATTCAAACCGCAATGCAATGTGATGACCATTATTGTACAGTTTGGCGTGTCGCATGGAATATTACCGGTACTGTTTTAGCGTCATCTGGAGATGATGGATGTGTTAGACTATGGAAATGTAAGTTCTATAAGTTTGTTTTTACAATTTATTAGCTGAAGTCTAGGAAGCCTATAAACAGATTTAGTAAATTTTATATTTATATATATTTTTTTTTTTAGCCACAGTTGGTGATTGGAAATGTGTAGGAATTTTAAAGCGTGATGGCAAGTTACCTCAGTTGCAGTCAAATGCAGCAAAGTCGACTACTCAAAATAATTTGACTAGATTCTTTAAATTAGGTCAAATAACTCATCCTAGCGAAGTCCACTGGCATTAAGTAATTTGTACTAAGCGACTTTGTTTTTATTTATTTATTCAGTTTTTTTATTAACTATACCTGCGGCTGCAAAGACGAGGTATGTCTATAAAAATTAGTTTTTTTTTTTTTATGTATACATTCAATACCTACAATGAGGTTATAACTTTATATTGTCTTTAAGTGTAAATATTTATTTCTAGTTAAAAAAAAACATTGTTTTATTTTTTGGAGTATTGTTACATTTTGTATCTGTTAGTATTAATTGTATAATATAATTAAAATGGTAGTATATTTTCTTATACCTAACTAGTCTTTTTACTTTCTTTCTTAATTGTAAGTATTTATTGACTAGGACTAATGAAAAAGAACTGCTGACCCTTCTCTGATGATAGTTTAAAAAAACCTTTTTCGAAGGGTGAGTTTATTAATTAAAAAACATGCTCCTTCTAGAAAGCTGTGATGACCCTTAAAAGGTTTCTAGAGATTTGAACTTGCTAACGTGTACATTTGTATGGGTGTTTTTCAAATCTACCAAAATGAATTTAGTAATCTATTCACCAATTATTAAGTACCTTTAATAGGACTAAAAAGTAAAAATAAATTTTAAAAAAAACTTTTTGAAAAATAGTAAATCAGTGAACTTATCTGTCGAATACTTACTTTTTAGTTAACTTTTTTACTATTTTTTTTAAAAAAGTTTTTTTTTAAATTAATTAATTAAATTTTTTACTTTTTAGTCTTATTAAAGGTACTTAATAATTGGTGAATAGATTACTAAATTCATTTTGGTAGATTTAAAAAAAAAAACATGAAATTTTAGGGGAATGACCATATATATGTAGGGCGACCTAGATGCCCGAGTCCCATATTATTACAAGATATTGTATTGTCATCCGAGATAAAACTAAACTGTTTAATATTATAATGGGTGCTTTTACTCTAAAACCAAAATTAAGCGAGTTATTTTCAGTCTGCTTAAACATGTAGAGATGAAAAAACATTTTTAAATCGCTTTAAAGGATGCTATGATAGTCCAAAAAATAAATTAACTACCAAAATAGAGTTCTAGTTATTGAACTAATAATTATACATCACAGTTTAACCTTTAAATTAAGATTTTGTAAAAAATTGCCTATACTTTACTCCTTAAAAATTAGCGGTGAGACGCCCTCTTAATAATTACAATTTTTGTTTTTATCTATTCTATATAGTGATAAATCTTGTTATCAATTTATGATGTTATCATTGTTCTAAAAACATACGATAATTTTTTTCACGAAAGCAAGACGAGACCTACAAATTATCACTATCGCGATTTGTTAATTTTCCGCACATATTATTTATTTCATTAAAGTTCAATAAAATATTTTGTAATAAATATATTTTGTAAACATGGCTGTGCGTATAGTGAACAGAATATTTCAACAATCTAAATATCTTGGACTTCATAAAGGTAATGTTGAATATTATATTATATTTTTTATTAGCAATGTTGATGCAATTCAAAATTGCCTTTGATAAACTTAAATCGGATGTGTTATTTAACTTTTACAAATTTATGTTATAAAAAACAAAACAAATATTTACTTTAATTTAGTTGCAACTCATACATTCGGGGTGCCAAATTATATTGCCGGTAAGGTTCGATTTCAAAGTACAGAAGCAGCAAAGGAAACTAAGCGTAAGAATTTTTTAATATCTATTTTAACTTTTTAATACTGTATTTATTTGTATATGTATACTATTATTAACACCATATTATAAATGAAATTAATGTCTATTAGTAACATAAATGATTAGATATTTTAAGTTGGGTACAAATAAATCAGTCTACAGGATCTTATGATGATATTATCAGGATATTGTGTTGTGTTACTAAAAAAAATAGGAGAGTCTGTGCGTTGGGTAACAGAGAAAATGAGGTTGATTTACAGGATTGTACAAATTCTTATAACTAAGTGATATAATCACTTAAATTAAACTCCGATGTAAATCTCTAAATGACAGATGGTAGAAATATTATGATAATATTATTTAGCAATATAATTGGTAAAAACTGTTGTAAAGACAATAATGTTTTTAAAATTGTATTTTTTATTATTATGGTATAATTTACTCATATATCTTAATTGTTATACATCATTGTTAAAACAATACCTTCTCCATTCTACATAAATACAAAAAAACACCATTAATGTAAAACCAGTACCTTTTCAGCTTCGCAAACTAAAATATACAGCGTGACTTACTAACTATGAACCAGTCAATATCTTAAAAGATATTAGAAAGGTTTGAATTAATATTTTTCACTCTCACTGTTATTAGATAGCCCAAAATGTGATGTACACATTTTTAAAAGAAATTTCATTGAAATAAAAAAAAAAACAATCATATTATTAGGGTGTTGTGATATTTTACTTTATGTTGGCGCCCTGTAAAATATTCACTTAACAATTTTGTTATTATTGTTTTTAGCAACTGTTCGACAAGTGAGTGAAGTAGTAAAACAAAATTTGGCAGAATTCGGTAAGTATGTTGCCGAATGTTTGCCAAAGTATGTTCAAAAAATACAAATAGCCACTGGAGATGAATTAGAAGTACTTATTGCGCCAGAAGGAGTTTTACCTGTATTGCAATTCTTAAAAGATCATCATAATTGCCAGTTTGCAAATTTGACTGACATTTGTGCCGTAGATATCCCATCGCGCACAAACAGATTTGAGGTAATTTCTGTTTACCCAACAATTCATATTTTACAAGCTCTTTTTACATATAATTCAAATTGAATAAAACAATTTTTACTAATAGCAAAAATAGCACGTTTGGTCTGCCGATTAAAAACAACATCCCAGCTCTTGTTTTAGCCAAGTTGATATTCTACTATTTGTTAGGAGCTTCAATTTGATATGAGATAAAAAGAATTTTGAGTTATTCAATTTCATATTATTATAAAAAAAATTTTTTAATCATAATTACATATATACTTACGCAGTAAAGAAACGCAAGTTTTAAAATTCAAACAAAAATATTGGGAGTTGGTAAAAAATAATCTAGGTTATTAAGTTATTATAACCAAAAATATGGGTTTTATTGGGTTCATGGATACCCAAAAAATCTAGCTGTACTTTTTATAGTAATTACTTTTTATGTTTAAACAGATTGTATACAATTTACTCTCCGTTCGTTTTAATGCGCGTATCCGAGTGAAAACATACACTGATGAGCTAACTCCAGTAGATTCAATCACAGCCATATATGAAGGGGCTAATTGGTATGAGCGTGAAATATGGGATATGTACGGCGTATTCTTCAGCAATCACCCGGATTTAAGGAGAATCCTGACAGATTATGGTTTTGAAGGTCATCCATTCCGTAAAGATTTTCCGCTGTCCGGTTATGTTGAGGTCTGCTGTTGGTACATACTATTTATTGGATTCAATATTTAAATATTTTCTTATTTCTAATTTTCAGGTGAGGTACGACGATGACAAAAAAAGAGTCGTTGTGGAACCGTTAGAAATGACTCAAGAATTCAGACGTTTTGAATTGTCGACTCCATGGGAACAATTTCCCAACTTTAGAAATGCTTCCCCATCCACTGAAGAGGTGCCGGTAGACAAAGAAAAGAAATAATATACTGATAAAAAGGTACAACGTACTAATGATGTTAATAATTCCACAAAACATTTATTATAACAGGTTTCTTAATAATATAAAATAATTTATATTTTAATAGGTATATTATTATATGAAGTTTCATATATATGCTCAACATAAGTATTATATAGGTGAATATTATAATTAATACTTTTAAAAGGAACAAATTTAATACTATACTATTATCAATATAAATATTATGTAACATTCAGTTATTTTTCACATTAATTCCTTCTTGCAAAAGTCAATGCAATAATACTTTAATTCGTGCTGAATATTATTTTTTCTATAAAATAACTGAAATCCAATATTTGTTAAATTTTGTTCAGCACGATTTGTTAAGTTGTGTTAAACAATTATGCATAGAATTAGTGTTAAAAATAATACTGACTTAGGCAAGAGATTCACTATATTATTAGTTCAGTGCATTTATAAGTTTCTGATGTGTTTGGCGCGCCTTGCTAAAAGGCAACATGAGTTTAAATTTACTCCGTCACACTTCAAAAGTTCAGAAATGTCAACTGATTGTAGAGAGATGTCGGATATTTTTTCATTTAAAACCTAAAATATAAAAATAAAAAGTTACAACATTTTGTTAGTTTTAGAAAAAATAAATTCTTTACCTTAAAAGATTTTGGTATTTCTTTCGCAGACCGATGAAGTAATGTTCCATTGATATACATAACATTAGCAGCTTCGTCTTCGGGCAATGTTAAAATTTGATAACTATAAGTCGCTTCTTGTTCTAATAGCTAACCAATGAGATTTATCAGTTTTAATGGCAAATAATAAAAAAAATTTTATAAATTAAAGAGTACAAAAATAAGGACTGTTTATGAGGACGTCATACTCCCTTTTAAAAAAGAGTTAGATATAATCAATTTTCATCATAACCTTAAATTAAAAGTAAAATTAAGTTTTAAGTACAGTAATAAGCACACTTCTTAGGTTCTGAATTATTTTTATTAGACTATGATAGCACCTAATATGAATGGTTTTTTGCTATTTTTATTCATTGGTATTTATTAGCTATAGGCTGCTCTATTTTGTCTGTAAAAAATAAAAATGTTACACAACAAAGAAGGTTTTTTTTTATTCTGTAATTTAAACACCTTTTTATTAATTAAAGTAATTAAAAGAGGAAAAAGTAAATTTAAAAAAAATAAAACTATTAGAGATGTTGCAAAAACTAGCATCATACAAGGTGTTCTAATATTATAATCGCATTTCATAAAATTCAAAACTCTAATGACTACTCAAAAAACAAGTATTACGGTTAAAGAAAGCTAGTTTCCATACCTAAAATTACACCTATGCGACACCAAACCTTTAAATGATCAATTTTGTAAAAATTGACATATTTTATTATTTGCCTTGTACTCTTCAATTATATAGATTTAGTAAATTGTAATTACTTTAAGAATATGTTTTGATTCTTCACTTGATCCAACACACATAACATCCGGTCCTGCCATGGAAACAATGGTTTTTAGATGTTTGTTTTCTTTGACCTTTAGAAAACAAAATACCATATGATAAATTGTATCCTCCTATATAATTTATGGAGTTTTTACCTTAATAGGAGCACATGGATATTCTGGAAAAGCAGACGCAACCGCTACTGCTCCAGATTCATTTGTCCATTTGGTTATTCCAATAAAGAATTCTCTGCCTAAAATATTTTTAAGTTTATTATTTTTACACTTAAAGAAATCATACAGCATTCGGTAACGTTTTAGTCATTATGTTATAAATTAATACTGACAGCATTAATAATGGTTATGGTTAGGTCAAAGTGATAAATTTATATTAGTTGTTATACTATAAATAGTGGGTTGAATGCTATCTCCATTAAAACCACTTTAAACAGTTAAAATGTATAACAACAGGATATGTTAAATTTAATCTATTCTTTGTTATAACGGTGGTTTGGTTTTTTGCTTAAGGACAATAATAGTTAAATTTTAACAAACAAATTTTCAAAAACACTACAAAGTATAGTAATAATAGTGAAAATAATTTTTATACATTTTTATTAAAGGTAATTAAAATAAACAAAATACCAGTAAATAATATATCGCTTCCATGTAATTTTGCAGATTTGTTAGAGACTTCAACAATAGGCAATCCAATTTCTTTCTTCAACACGGCACGAATAATATCAACCTGAAAATTGAAGCATTTTAATGTAATTATAGTTGAGGTACAATGTTTTTATATCAGTTGTTCAAATAATTAATTTGTTATTTCTTAACTACTCTTTTCAAAATAAATAGTTGTTAGTAAACAAATACTGCAAGTATCATTTCTACAATATTATATATTAGTATATTTAAGAGCGGTACTTTGGTTGTATTTAATTTTCAAGCTTTACAATCTAATGTTTGTCCTTATTAGAATTCTCATAATATACAAAACTTGACGTCTACGCTAATATATTATGTTTATTTGATTAATGGGTCTTCAACTTCGATCAACTTTGTACCTGTAATAAATTGTCAATCTGCCCACTTGTATGAATCCATAAGTTGCTGTTGACACTGTTTATTTAAAAAAATTAAGGACTGCTTACTTCTTTAGCTCGATCGGGTTCAGAAAGTTTAGTTATTATTGCGGTTCCGTTGCACACAAACGCTGTATCATCCACAAATACACTCCAAGGCGTATTCTCGTCTGGTGGCATTTCGATTACGTCCAGACCAATGTCTCGCAATATTCGGACATAATTTTCATGTTGTCGTTTGGCTTTATCGTAATCCAACGACGGATGATGTTCTCTAAGCGAATGCGGTATACGGCTAACCACAGCATGTGTATACCGAGAAGTTGACATTTTAATTATATTGCAAGGCAACGTGAATAACGTGAATGAACGTCTTTCCAACCGTATTCGTTTGAGCCTTACTACAGCTATTAGTCAATAGGGGCACTATTCACTATACGAACAATATTTTGTTTATATTATAAATGAAGACTGATAATATCTTTGACTTTTGACGTGCTGTGTTGGTGTATTGATATTAATGTGTATAATGTAGTGTTACCATAACAGCTACTTGAAATTACGGTGCACACGGTATTTCGAAGTGCTGTATATGAATACAGCCTAATACCAGTATATACCTAATGTATATATCTATATAGCAAATGAATTGTACATATTATTTATTAAGCACTATGAACAGAATCAAAATTCAAAGGAAAATCTTTGTCACCGGACATCAAGAAAATCCTAGTTAAAAAAACATTGTCATCACCATACTATAATAATGTTTCAAACTAATATCAGTTTAAAATTTTAAAAGTAATGTAAAAATCAATTTTAACTATCCAATAAAAAAAAAATATTTAAATAAGACGTTTGAAAATTACTTTTTTGCAGTAATTATCGCCTGTAAGTTAAAATACTTCATTATAATTTGACTAAAATAACTTAAAAAACGTAAGATAAAAGATGCATTTAAGTAAAATTGTTATAAATTAATGTATTTATTATATTGGATCTATTAGGTGTTTACTGCATTGGTAAGTCAATAAAAGAATAATTGGACGATTTTATGATTAGTTATTCTTCTAATCCCATTTCACAGTTGATAAAATAATATAACGGTTAATTATTTAAAATGAAATCGATTAAGTCATTAGGAATCAATATCTATTCACCATGACTCATCTGCACTTAAAAGAAAAACTAACATTTAAATTACATTATAAAAATGATAAATGATTGAGTTTAGAAGAATAGAAATCACTTCTCGGCAATTACTTATTAGTTATTAGATAAAGTTAATTTATTATATTCGTACAACCTAATAGTTAATTATTTTTTCATTTAAAAAAAATAAATTTTAATAAGTATTTTAGAGCAAGATTAAGCTTATTAGGTCTGTGTTAATTCATTGTAATCAATCTAGCCCTTAAATGTAAAAACAATTATTTATATTACTTTCACACACTTTAAAAAACTGCACAGATTAATTCATTCTAATTTATATTCAATATTAAGTTAATTAATGACCAATGTCCAAAATAATTCTAGTTTAGAATTAAGTAAATACTCGAATATGCTTCGTGTATTTTACGTGTGTCTTTGTAGTGATTTTTATTTTTTCGAAATTTACCATTTTACGATTTATAAATATAATTTTTTTATAAATTTATAGTCAGGTCAAAACTAATTTTTTTATGAAACTACTTGCTACGTTTTATGACTACGCTTAGGTGAACGCCACTGCACTAATTTTTAAGGAGTAAAGTATAGGCAATTTTTTGGTTAAACTGTGATGTGTAATTATTATTAGTCTAGTAATTAAGACTCTTTTTCGGCAATTCATTTACTTTTTGGACTATCGCAGCATTTTTGATAGCGATTTAAAAAAAATTGAATCTAACCAGAAGTACGCATATTATCTATTATCGACTTAAAAATAATAGTAGACAATTTTTTTTTACATATTTAAAATAATGAGAACTTTATCTAGGTTCTCTCATCGGGTTTTTTATATTATTATAACCAAACATTCACAATTTATATTTTTACTCTAAATCTTTTTTGCTTTTTTTAAGTGCTTTTATTTAATGTGAAATTTAAGTTTCTAAAATAACCGACGAAAGAATTCGCTTAGACCTACACTCTTATCCTCTGATCCATTAACGATTATTTTTAAAGGATATGACGTCCTTTTAAAAAGTACGATCGGATAATATTGGTTCCAGAGCCAACCCACGACAGAGATTCTCATTTCACATTTATATTATATTATATCGATTTTGGTTAGATCGAATGTGACCTTCATTGTTGAAAACGTGTCTATTATCCACTTTAATCTTTGTTAACAATGTTAGTGAAAATATTTTTACTTACTAAAAATAGTTATGAATATGTGTTTCATAACCCAGAGTTTTCATATTACTCATCTCAACTCAATAAGTTGCATTTCTCACATGTTTTCCTATTCATTTAGACTAATAATAATAATTTTCATTTGACAAAGCCAACACATTAAGATCTGAGACTGTCACAAAAGTTCTTGGGATATTGTTAAAGTTGAAATTAATCTAAAAAAATGCTTTAATCAGCAGAGTTGGGCCTTGATCGAATCATTTTTTATTTAGTCTCTAGATGTAGCGATAATTACAAAATGTAAATTGTAATCACGGTTATTCGATTGTTTATAACAAAAATATATTTGTTTCATTTTATTACAAACTATTGTTTGTTTACTATTCGCGAACACCATCATTTATTATTTACGAATATTTGACAAATATTTACAAATAATAATTTGTTTTTTTTAAATAAAAAGCTTATTAGGATTTTTTTTTTATTTTTAAATTAAAAATAAATGTTTTGTTATGTATGAAATGTATTTTAAATAAATTTAAAATTAGGGATAAACGAATTATTTATTGAGGTTTGAAGTTAAAAATCGTACTGTTAACGAATAAATAACAGATAATGTCCAATTCTGCTTGTACTCGCATGAAACTATTATACATTGTTTGAAGTAGAGACTCGGTTACGATACATTTTTGTAAATTAGTCTAAATAAGTCAACCGCCTTTTAAGTAGCTTTTGAAAAATTAACTTTAAATTGTCATTTCAATTTTTCGAACATTTTTTCATTTTTGTCGTAGGATGGCCATTTTTTACAAAAAATGTGTTTTAATTTACAGTTTAGTAGCTAATTAATTAATTTTTTGTCAATAATTAACATTGGCTCATTAACATAGAGGTTTTTCTTTTACTTTGTAAAAATAAAATACACACAAATCGATTGGAATCCATTAAAATATCATTTATTTAACAATCTCAATAATAATGTTAATAATATTTTTTAATTATGTATTGTCCTTATATCGCTTATATATTATATTATTTTAACCGGGGAATAAACGAATTATTTAATAAAACGTTTTTTGTATCATATTAATAATAATATGATGATGACAATGTGATCACGTATTTTATTGAGACACTTTTGTTTTACATCAGTGACCTGTATATTGTCATTTATAACGTCAATCATCGAAATACAGTCAGACATTTTCAGACATTTAAATATTTAATACAACAAAAATCGATAATTTCCGAAAATTCTTAATCCCAAAAACAAACTTGTAAAATTCATTAAAAAAAAATTACATACTGTACATGATTATACTAGTTATACACCTAAATAAAACAACGATTGAAGGTTTTAACACAAAGGATTAATAATAAAATATATTTAAATTCAACAAACCGTAAAAAGTATATAATATAAAAATTATGATTGTGGTTTTTCTTGTTTAATACAAATTGATAATATAATTGTTTTTTTTATGATAAACTTAGACAATATTATGTATGATGTCTGATGTTGAAATAATGTTTAAGTTATCCAATTCTGAATATAGAAGGAAGTAAGGAAGGTGCAGTGTTGATATTATGTTTTGTGCTAGAAAAACATTTTTTTTTTTTTTTAATTTTTGTTAAGGCCTTGTGGCCATGGCTTTCGATGAAGACTTATTCGTCAAGACAACAGGTGCGAACGATAACTTCGGCCACTCTGTAAGGGTCGCAGTTGGACGCAGGTCTGCGGTCTTCCAAGTAACCTTTTTTTTCTTCGGCACAACCTCGAGGAATTCGGATACTACATCCTCGGTTTGCTACGCCTAAAACACATTCCCCAGTAAGTTTATTACTAAGGCTGGTAATGTAATGCTCTATCTATACAATTTATTCAAAAATAAATGAAACGGATTTGTAACAAAGCGAGCATCGCAAAACTAGCTTTGGAAAATGATGCAAATTGCATAGAAATCCCAGCTCTAGTTAAAGTATATAACTATATGACTAAGGCCTAAATTAAACCCTTGTAATGGTACTCACCAGCCGAAAAATCGTGAATGGACGAAGTCTCATGTTTACCAGTCAGACGTCTCTCGTTGTCCCGTCCTTCGTTAGGGTCGTACGCCTTAATGTGTCTCATGTGTTGTTTAGACAGCTTATCGATAGCTTTTTCAATCTCGCTAAAAAAAAAAAAAAACACTACTCGTTAGTAGCCCCTATAAGAGCATTTTTTTTCTGGAACAATACAGGTGTCAATGTTAAAGAGGACTATTAAATGTTATAATGTACTTAAACTAAAACTCAAACAGTAGAGTATGTGAAAGATGTTCTGAGAGTGACGTGTTGAAATAAAGAGAGTGATTATAAAGAAAAAGAAGTTACAGGCAAAAAGTAAACCTAAGTGCCGCTATGGGACGTGAGTTCATGTCATGGAGTAGAAAGAAAAACGTAGAGAAGATACAGAGAATGGGGACTAGGGTAACACTTGTACGGGATATTAACAGAGTTGGCAAACCCTAAAAATCTGTTTTTATGGAGTTTATTTAAAAACTTGGCAAACTCTGTTAAGTATTTCAAAACTTGTACAAGATCCCAAACGTACATTATTCCGTTGTTTTCTCTCATGGCGACGGTGGAGAAGTTGCAGTGAGCACCAGCTCCGTTCCAATCTCCAGGCACTGGTTTGGGGTCGAGTGTCACTACAATGCCAAATTCCTCGGCAACGCGGTGCAGAATGAAACGAGCCATCCACAAATGGTCACCGATGCTGATGCCCTCGCAAGGACCAACTTGGAATTCCCACTGGAAGTAAAAAAAATTATATTTGTTATTCGTCGTGTACTTAAGTCGTAGGCCATTTAAAAAAATATTAACCCAATTTTTAATTCCAATTTCGGAATTTCATATGAGCTAATCGAACATATTTTAACATGTAATTGGTAGTTACCTGGGCTGGCATGACTTCGGCGTTCTCTCCCGATATGTTAATTCCGGCATACAAACATGCCTTGTAATGAGCTTCGACAATGTCTCGTCCGTATACTTTGTCGGCGCCAACACCACAATAGTATGGTCCCTGCGATGAGTATTTCAAATCCGAATATTTAACATTATAAATTTCAAATATCCATTTCAGACCAAAACACATACCTGTGGGCCGGGGAATCCAGTTTTGGGCCATCCGAAAGGTTTGCCGTCAGTGTCCAACAAGGAGTATTCTTGTTCAATACCGAACCACGGTATTTGGTCAGCGGCTTTGGTCATGGCGTCTAAAGCACCTTTGCGATGGTTAGTTTCTGGAATTGATTATATAAAAAACAATGAAAATTCTTTAATGCTAATATAATAATGCCGCTTTTGCGACTTGAAACGGCAATCAAAATATATACCAGTCGGGGTGTGGTCATGCTTGTAAGTTTCACACATAACGAGTTTGTTTGGCGACAGCCTGAATGGGTCGTTAAATATCGCCACTGGGTACAAAAACGTGTCAGAATTTTCACCTTGGGATTGGTAGGTAGAACTGCCGTCGTAGTTCCAAATTGGAAGATCTAAAATAAATAATAACTCATATAAAGTTGCTTTTTTTGTTGGCAAAAAAAAAAACCACTCAAAAAGCATAGCATAATTTGTATTTGCTTAGCAATTTTTTGGTACATATAAACCGTTAAATAAAGTTAAGTCTGTGATTTTACTTTTTTACTTAATGCTTCTTTTCAATGTATTCAATTTACATTCTCAGATTTAGGGACTGATTTTATACATTTTTTACAACTTTTTGCTGTACTTTTTTATTACTACAAGTTTCAACCATTTTCTAGTATTTAAAAATAATATATTATATTTTAGATAACATCAAAGCATAAATGTAAGTATGATCGCCTACTTAGTTATACATTTATTAACAACACGATACAATACTAAGTAAATGGCAAATGCGTATCATATTATATATATATATATATAATGCTTTCAATCATAGTGTCTTTTATGAGACGTCTACTTTATTGTTGTACTCTAATTTATACATAATAAATGCCTCAATTCAATAAAAAAAACTAGAACTTGTACAAAATCATAATAAGAACACTATTCACTCTAAATAAATGTCCATAGCAATAATGACATGACATGGTGGTACAATGATAGAACGCTTCCACGTAGTGTACCCCGGTTAACGTCTTTAGACGGCTAAAGTTCTATCACCCCTCTGGCAGTGCCATACGAATAAATAAAAATGACATGACATGATTTTTTTTTTCAAAGTTTAAACGTGTTTCTGTTAAAAATACAAAATCTGCAAAAAACAGTTTGCCGACAGTGAAAAACCAACTATAGTCCCAATTGTTTTCCCTATACAATGAGTCCTACCTCTTATCATTTTTTTAGCTATAACGTCCTAAAATTACGGCTAAAAAATACAAAAAACAAAAAACTTCCACCATTGGAGGAGAGAAATAGGTATAATTTTAACATGAAAATATTGCCGTAAAGGAGAACACCAAATAAACATTCCTTATAAGTTTCAACTCGATCCGACCATTTCTCTCGAAATTATAGCTAGTAAAAGTTAAAAATTGAAAACTCGTAATTTTTTTTTGGTTTTCCTAATTTTAAAATTGAAGCAGTTACGTCCATTGTAAATATATTTAAAAAAATAGTGTTGTCAACAATTATTTTTTTCTATCTTTGCCCAAACAATGCGTGTTGTTATTTATTATATTATTAAAATACATGACATGTTTATAGACCTTGACTACAAATTAGTTAGAATAGGGCGTATATATTAGGCATCAATTTATACTATAACGTCACGAACTATAAAGTACACATGTGGGTCATTGGGAAAGAACAAATTGTTTTCAAACTGACAGGATATCCTAATCCCGAGTGTGTGGCCGCCAGTAAAATTCCATGGCACACATTTTATTGATGAAAATAAATTTTAACAGATGTCGTTATTTTTTTAAACTACCTATTATTATACAACCACTACAATCCGTTGGACATTGAAAACATTATGAAACGTTTCATACAAATGTCACAATAGTAAATATTTTATGTTGTTGTAGTAACAAAAAAAAAGAGCCGTTTAGCCAGTTAAAATAATAAACATATGTGAGTAGTTAACCCAAAGGTAATTTTAAAATTTGTACTACAGAGAGCTATAGAGGTGATCAATAAAAAGCAAGACACTTCACTATTTTACCTTCTGGTTTAGTTGGCACGAAATCCAAAGTCCTGGACTTGGCTCGTAGACTTTCTCCAGTTCCGTCTATCCACACGTACATGACCTGCACTTTGTCCTTGGGCTGGGGCAGTTGCTGGAATCTTGCCGCAACATTCTTGTTGATGGCATAGTTGGGGGATGTTTCCAATAATCCGTTACCTGGCATGGTTAAACTGTATATAGGACATACAAAAAAAAAATTAATTACAAACTTATACGTGACCACTACTTTAACTAATATACTAGTAATTATAAGAAGAAAACCAAATTAATGTCTACAATTTATGAAATAGTGCGACTATAGCAGAGGGTCAAAGCAGAGTCGGTAGTAAATCGGTATATTTTAAAGCCCATCCCAGCTTAGTTTTTTTGGGTAAGTAATAAGACTAAAAAAGTGTTATTATTTTTAAATACAATTTGTAGACATGTATTTCAATTATAAATATTTGGGGAAAATATGTTAAAAAGTCAAAACTAAATGAGAACATTTTAAAACTAAAAAACATCGAATACTATGAATATTTTTTAATTCGTCGATTTTTCGTTCGGTATTGTTACTTAACATTTTTTATCTTTTATTTAAAAATGTGTTTATTTATCTGTATCATCAATAGGTAATTAAAAATCATAGCATCTTTCGGTTCCTTTTGTAAATTTTTGGACTTTTGATGTAGTCCCACCATATGCCTAAGGGTTAAGCTTAAGCCCAACAAAATCCATATTTTTAGTTAAATATCAAACATTTGCTCAAGCCTAACCTAACCTAAGTTTGGAGGTTTCGTTCTTTTCGCCCACTCTTGCCTAAAGTGAAATACATAAATCAGAGGCCACACATTCATAAGAACCCTGAAAGGAAAGGGCTCCTAACTTCTGTTTCACCCTTCATTCTTCCGCTCATCTCCTCTACTGCTATTTCATTCAAAAACTGTTTCAAATATATTTTATATATAATTTTTTCTTAAAAAAAAATCATAACGTTTAGAACTATTGTTCTTGGAGCAAAATAATTCATTTACAAAAAAAGAAAAAAATGTTTAGTTAACCCTGTTTTTTAAATTTCATTATAAACAATAATCGTTACTCGGTATTAGTTGAAAAATGCAAATGTGTTAACACATTCTATAACTTGTCTTTAGGCGCATTGATATTTAATACTGGGGAGTCGCTGGTAAGTTAGGACACTGGACACCCCCAAATTTATACATTCTCAACTTTCCCGCTCGTTGCACCAGTATGCAAGAGTTTAATAACTAATAAGGCCTTAGTAAAATAACATGTATGAAATGACGTGGCACAAACAGAGATATCCCCCACCAAAATCTCTCTTAACAACAAATAATCAGACTTAAAATACATTTAAGTATAATATTTTATAAACATTGTGCATACAAATGATAATCACTCCTTAACATTCGTTAGGCATTAGAATACTTCTCATACAGCAGAAAAAAACATGTTGTGTAAAACGATTTCAAACATTTTATGGCAAAGCTAATATATTTTTAAAATATTATTTTATCTATTTTCATTTGTCAACATAATATGATGTATAGTCCTTACTAAAATGTGTGTTAAATGCATAACACGGACAAGGTCATATTATCTTAACCGTTTATTATAGACGATGACCTAGAGACGATGTATTTTGTGTCGCTATTATAACTTATTTTGAACAGAAATCCCACACATATAATATTATAGTAACACATATATCTGTAATAAATATACATATAATTTGTATAATTGTGGGTATATCCATAAAATATTTATATATTTAATAAGTTTGACTGCAGACTAAATATAAAAATCTATATTTATGTATACGAGATCGTTATAGCATTGGACTGTGCGAGTGTGCGAGTACATAGTGTGTTGCAAAGATAATGACGACTTACCTATATCAAACAGACTGAATAGCTACTTACGCGAACCTACTCTATATTGTGCGACTGTTTTTGTAATAAACGAGACAGCTGTAACTACGGATAAATGTGCGCGAAACGTGTGTAATTATTGTAATGATAAAATTCACTTTGTGTCATAAAAAAAAATAATAAATTGCAACAAATTCTTAGGCTCAGCAAGCATTGCACAAGCACGAGATGTTTTGTGAGGGTGCAGGGTAGACTGAGACGCGAGAGAGATATGTATACAGCTGGTGGCGCCATTTATTGATTGCGAGCCACAGCGAAGTCCAAAACGTGGTGTCAGTAAGCAACGACAAACGAGGGTCAGCCTGGCCTTCTTTGTTAATGTACAAAACAACAATATTATACTATATACAACCACCCAAAGACCAAAGGTTTATAATATTACACGTAATATATTATCTTACCCTAGAAAAGATCTAGTCATTATTTTATTTTTAAGAGATTAAAATTAAAAAGGCATTGAAATTCAATAATGTATTCAGATATAAATGCGACTAGAGTTCGGCAAAATTTAAATAAGATAAAATAATAGATATGCAGTGAGACCCAAAAAGAATATAAGTGATCTATGATTTCTGTTCAATTTTATAGGATGGCAAAATAAATATTACCCATATCTACAATGTGTTCTTTTGTGCGATATTGATTATTTTCCATCAATACCTCTTTCAAAAAAACCTATTGTAAATATAAAACACAATTTATGAATATTTATTTACTTAAATAATCTCTCTCTTATTTTCTGGTTAAAATCTGATGAATAGTTAATTATAATACAAAATACACTTACACAACATTGTAAGCTTAATGGTTGATAAATCAGTACTTTCTGAACTTTGTAAAAAAAAAACAAAATATTTTAACAATAAAGTGAAATGTTTGTTATAAAACAAAAATCTAATTTTTATTAATGTACTTCGAAGTATAATTTACAAGGAACCAAAAGAGTCGTATTCACAAAATTTATAAATTACGTTTAAATTATAATTGTAATACAAAGCGATAAATTTCTAAATATTCGATAGCCTATCTCTAAATAATATTGTCGTATAAGTCAAAGTGGTCCATCCATTTGTAGGTTAAACGGATTTTGCTCATTTAAGGTTTATATAAATTAGTATTATAATTATTTCAGTAAGGTTAAAAATACACTTTTGCGTATTTTTTTCAATTATTCAAAATTTAAATAAAATTACAATTCATTTTAAAAAATACTAGTGAAATTATAACAGTGGTGTTTCTTGTTTACAAAACAAATTGTGTAAAAAAATATAGTATCGACTAGCATACAAATGTCGTACATAAGTAGCTTAGACTTAGTAAACTTCATTTGAAAATATAAACAAAAACTTCATGTTTCTCGCAATTTTTTATGTTTTAATGCATTTGTATTACATTCAATTAACGGCACTCTCGGGCAACGATCTTCCGAAGAAAACTTGAATTCATTATAGAATAATTACTTAATTGAAACCATTAGACAACAGTACGCGTGTAATAAATAATGTTGTTGTGTTTTTCAAAATAATTTGTTAAATAAAAATGACAGCAATGTCTACAAGAAAATAATTTGACAAGACCTATTTTCCATATTAAAACGTGACGCGGTAAATAAATTTAAAAAAAAACAAGTATACAATTATTATACACCGAACCGTTTAAATAAGTTATTATTAAACATACTTCCTATAGTTTTTGAACACAAAACTTGTAAACCGGTTTCGATTGTAACACAGTATCTATACTATGAATATGATAATATAAAAATAAAATAATTCTAGTCAAACGAGTCATGACCATATTATACACAATTACCCTTTGGGTAAAGACAATTAGGTAATAACATACCAATATGAAGTACTTCGAAAGAGTCAAGAGAAAGCTTCAGATGTAAATGTGATATTAAATCATTTTTATCGGTATTCTTATATAGTTCAATACCAGTAAGAGTTCACAAATAAGGCAATATTTTCTTTGCATGCTCGCACTGAATGAATCGAACAAGAAATTAAATATAAAATTACAACGGTATATAATTATTAACTGTTCATTACAGCTGATTGTATACATTTTTTTTAACCCGCAAAAATGGTTATATTCATTAAAAAATATTATAGAAATCCCATTAATTATATTTAATAGCGCACAACGTTTCTATAAAAAATGTACCTACTTGTAAAATATATAATGTGTTTATATTTTTCTGTTATCTCCGAGCATCATATTTTATTAACTCAGAATAAAAATGTTTGTTTATGAAAGAGAAAACTCGTTATTCAAAAAAACAAAATATCTAAGGTTAAAAAAAATAATTTATAATTATGAAACAAACATGTAAATGTTAACATGATATTACAATTAGTATAAACAAGTTAAATTCTAAATTAGCGGTTCATTATTATTAGTACAATACATCGGTAACCGACGGTTTTTAATGACTTATATTTATTTCAGTACAAAACACGTCTTTTGGTACGTCTACTACTACATTATTTGGTGAACTACTAATCCAACAACAGGTATAAATTACACCTAACGGCTATCCTATCTAATAGTTATTCTCTATAGTTCCACGCTCATAAGTCATAATTGTGTCGTTAAGCAGAATTTTTAAACTAGGTATTCACAATATTAAGCCAGCAGTTCTACCAAACGTGTCTTTTGTACGAACGATTAGAAAATGTATACAAAGTGTCGAGTCTGTCCAAAACTCTTTTTCTAAGCCTAAATCACAAAGTTTCGAAAGTTTATAAATACGTACTTGCAGTACAAAAAAAAAACAGCCACATAAGAATATTCCACACCACATATTAAAAATAGGCGACTGGCGATTCTTTATTAAAACTTTATATATTTAGCTAAAATTATATATACTTTATCTAGATTTTGACAAAGGTGATTTTTGATAAAGTTTTTAAAAACTAAATTATAAGACATTAAATTTAAAACAAACTAGAAGCTCTTTAACTTTGTCGAAATTATTTTATTTAAAATCGTCAATTTTAAAAATAAAGATAAAATCTCAACCTCTAATTTGTTATAAATTATTTTTATTAGAAAACTTCTGTTCTTTAGAAAAATGCGACAATGACTATTTTTATTTTACTTAAAAATGTACATAATATAGTGAGCAAATATTATCTCCAGACAGAGTATGTGTTTAGATGTTGCGAGTAATAACATCAATAACAATAATATGTTGTTAAATGTAACTGTCAAAACTGTTTACATGTTAAAAAACAATTGTTGTTTGTAGTAAATAGTAATTACATACCCGTATCAGTGTTTCAAAATATCATATTAAAATAATAATTATACGTTTGGAAGTTAAATCAGTAGGTAACGACTAACGAGCATAGTATTCCAAATAAATACTCAGTTCACCGAATACTAATTAGATATTACTATTTTTATTTATAGAAAAGAAAAGTTGTAAATATTATTCAAACAATTTTTACAATCATGTTTATTTGGCTATGACGTATACGTCACCATTATATTATTTTATAATATGTTATAAGATATGTATTTACCACACAACGTCGAGGTTGTTATTTAGGTGTTTACGACTAAAATGATAAAGCACATAAATGTTTTTTTTATTTGTGGAGATCTACTTAATTTATATCTAAGGTATTTACTTTTAGTGTCGAGCATTATATACATTGTTGATTAGCTGTCAGTTTTAAATTTATACAAATCTGCGATTATACAACTTTTTGTGTAGGAAGGTGTACTGACCAATCTACTCGGTTACTAATAACGAAAAAAAATCCAAAATTAATTATTTTCACCTTGAAAATGATCTTACGATAGTTAATCTAAATTATTTTTAACTACACCTAAACGTATTAGCTTATATACTTTATGGCTTTTAAAGTTGTATATATTCTAATAATTATATATTTAATTTACATACTAACATAGTGACATTTGTTAACAAGTCAGTTTTCCTGCAATTAAATAAATCGTTTTATAGTTTATTTAGGTTTACGTGGTAAACTATTGAAACGCTTAAAAATACATAAATAGTAAGTAAAGGTTTACATCTTTATCTAGTGATCGTAAGAACTACTTTATTGTAACAACTCATACAAGAAAAACAATTATATTTCTTATAATATTAAATTAAATAATATTATAAAACGAAACGAATGCGTAATTGGGTAATTCCAAATGGGTATATTTAGTTTGATTTTAACATAACTATTATAACCACCGTTGTTATAAAATCACATAACAAAGGTTTTATGAATTTGTTAAAAATACAATCTATTGTTGTAATTACTTACAATGCCTATTATATACGCAAACCATACACTTGCAAAGTCCATAATAGGCTACTAGCCGGTATGTCTAACATGAACATATTGCAAAAGAAAGAATAGTTTATATAATATTATATTGTCAATACTATAAAGATAGCTAAAGAAATAAAATAATAAAATATTTTTTAAAAAAACCGTAACAACAAAAAATAATTCACTCTAGCATCTACACTTTCGATATTGTATTTTCTTTTTGTGGTTAAGGTTGGTTTTAAATATTTCATTATTTTATTCCTTAACTATATATAACTACAATAGTTTTAGAGTTATTCTAGATTTAACGATAGACATATAGACTTAAGAGCGGTTTAAATACGACCCATTACCAGAATTAAAAAAAAGATGTTTTATGGTAATATTACCAAGTTTATTTTATTTTATGGGTACTTGCGTAAACGTTTTTTTTATCTACATCTATACAAAGACTAACTCTGATACCGACTATTATTCAAGTGCAATAATATAATAGTATAATATAGGTACTACATTTTTTAACGCTTATCTAAGGTGAATTTAGTGACATAATAATATAATAGCATGTATATGTATCTAGCAGTATCTAGTTTGTTTAATTTTAATCGTCGGTTTCAGGTCGAAGTTTAAAAGTTAAGTAGATTAAAAAAACACTGTTACTGCAATGATATGATGTGTCAACAAAACAATTATGATAGGTTCGATAAAGGATTATATAGAATTTTAATTTTGAATTTTTTTTTAAGTGTCACTAATGGGCGACTTCTTTATCAAATCTATCACATGTTTTGTATTATATTATCACGTATACTTCTTGTGCTTTAAATTGTACAGATTGATAATTTCTCAATAAAAAAAAAAAAAAAGATAAGGTAGAGATACTTGCTGTACAATTAAAATGTACCTAAACCAAAGGGCTAGACAAAATATAATGAAAGTTTAAAACAATAAGTTTAACACTAGCGAATTTAAAGTATATTATTTTTATGGTTTTGCTGATGAAGAGTTGATTTACAAATATTTAAGTAAAACACTTTAATTTCCCCAAGTTTTCAACTTAAAAAAATATATGAATAGGCGGTTTTTGGAAAATTTTCGGAAACCAGCCGAATCAAATATATTTCTTAATACTGCAATCACTTTAGTTGGAAAAAGCCATAACGCCGGTGAAGATGGTATAATATTTTTGACTGTAATTGTATAAAATGTTTTTGGCGGGGTGATAAGAATTGTGATGACTGATGTATACAACTATATAAGCAGGGCTTAAAATGGGAAAAAATTACAGGGGGGACTAATGTCTCCATGTAGCTTAAAGCGTTCCATATATAATTTTATGTATAATGTCTAATGCATATAGTATATGTAATATAGAAACAGTGATTGTGTAACATACTCATCCCACTTTTATCCCTGAATAATGTTCAAATATGTAATTTATTTCATAAAAAATTTAAATCACAAATGATACAACATTTTTAAGAATAACTCGTGTTTTATATAAATTTAACATTTTGAAAGAGAATATTTTTTCTAATAATATTAAGTTGTAAGTAGTGGTTGTCTTTTAAGAAAACTAAAAAAATCACCCAGACAAAAAATATATACATCAGTAGTGTTTTTAGTGCTTTAAATTGTACAAGAAAAAATTCAAATTCTACGCATGGTGGGGTGAGCATGCTTAAAAAATCACACATTCACACTTCACCTATTTATATATGTTATCATTTATTGGCTAATCGAATACCTATTTATCACAGTATAGCCATTTACAATAACTAAGAAAATCAATTAATTTTACACATATATTAGATAGTACATAATTTGTATTAAATACATTTGATAAAAGTAAAGTAACAATCGATAAAAAAATAAAAACCAACATTTAATCTCAACGGAATTCTGAATTATATTGACTAATGTTTAGTTATAATTGGAGCGGTACGGTGTACCTTACGAATAATTTGTTAAAGGGGACGCTTTTTAACCACCATTGGAGGTAAAGGGACTGAGTCCCCCTGCGCCCCCCCCCACCACTTTAACCCCTGTATATAAGTTAAATGAACAATAGGAGAATTAAATAATAATATTAATAAATAAGAAGTACAACGTAATAAGTACAAGAAATGCGTTGAATGGTTATTTTTTATATCGGTGTCCATGGAAACTGCAGTATAATTTATTGTTATACATTTTATTAAACACATATTTTTCTTACGTTAACGCATTTAAGCGTAAATTGATAAATACTTTCAATTTGGTTATGAACGATCGTGTTATCTTTATGGAACATTCACTTTTCACGTTATTATCTCTAAAACCCAGAGACTTTTAACATTGTATCTATGACGTAGGTATAACCACTTGTTATCGACTTTATTAGTAGACATTATAATATTAAAGTACAAGTTTCAACGCGTACCCGTATACGCCCTGTCGTTCTTATCTCTTGGGTCATTACTCGTTGGTCGTTATAACATACTAATTTCCATAGTAATCTAAAAAGTTCTATAGTGAACGCACAAAATGATATTCGGAATTTATTTGATAATAATCGATTAGCACATGAAAATAATTATAAAACCATCAGGCACCATCAATTCGTTGGGCACAAACATTGGAAGTATAGGTACCGGACGATAAAATTTGAATATTACCTAATATTGGCTATGCCATTTTGGTCAATTCAAACTTAAAAAGAAGTCATAACCGAAAATGATATATATTTTATTATTATGAACAATAATTAAACCAATAATTAGAATATATTTAACGGGTTTAAAATATATAAACTACAAATTATGCAGCGTTTTATTTCAGCGGTTGGACAGATTTTTTTTGTAGGACAAAGAATAATAAAAAAAAAAACAAATAACGTGCTCTTGAACTGATTTGGCCTCATGATAATGATAAATACAGAACTCGCGAGTGAGTGACTACAGACTACGTTCGCGATAAATAACTTTTGGTCAAACGCCAAGATAATATAAATCTATTTATACATTTAAAAAAAACTTTAAACAAAAAAACTATACAAACGAATATACGGTATATTATTCAATCATAAAATTAGCACTCGATATAACCGCCGGTGTTAATTTTAAAGGACTGATTTGATTGCAAAAAAAATCAAGTCGATTTTATACAAAAAAAGTAATTTAAAAAAATGTAATTTTTACTTAAATTTAAAAAAAAACTTGCAAAATAAAGTAGGAATTCGCACATAGTGACATAATAGTAACTAATAACAATGATAGTGTAATATGTAAGAGTACTCACAGTTGTTTGTTTGGAGATGTGCTGCTGTGAACGTCAAAACGCCGACTACCAGTTTGTTGTTAACAAGCAACAGCCGACTGCCGAGTCACGCCAAGAAAAAACCACTTGTAGATTACACACATTAAAGTGCAGGCGCAGTAGGAAAATATTACAATGGAACGTACATAGGATAGAACAATAATAGTTTTTATCCGTTTTATCATTAGACATTAATGCACATTATTTTGATTTGCGTACGATGGTTATACCGAGAAAACCTAAGCAAATTACATTTAAATAAAAAAATAATAATTTGCAAATAATAGGAGCTATTTGAAAATATTTTTATCTTATTTAAAAATTAAAAAATGGATTTTAAATATTTTTTATTTGAGTTCATTTAAAAAAAGTATTTATCTAAAATAATATGTCTTTGTATATAATAAAAAATATTTATTCTGAGTTTTTTTTTTAAATACATTTTTATTTTTTCATTACGATTTAAATAGTTATATTGTATTTTCTAGAAAATTCCTATTGGATATTTTTTCAATACAAAAATACTATAAATTATAATTTTATTATATGGTTAATGGTTTTGTTTTCGGTACTTTCTAGAAAGGTACTTCAAAGGTTTAATTCAAATTTTTATGCGCCATACGTTTTTATTATTATGATTATTACTGCATTAGTGTATCATTAAAATAATTGCGGATTAGAAGCAAACGAACAAGCGAAAACATCGACAAAGCAATTGAACGTGTGTTCCATAATTCATGTGATGCTACAAAAATGTAATTTTGTTTTTTTGTTGTACTGATTTGTAAGACTAACAATGTTAGTATCATAAAGAATATTATATTTATAAAAAAAAACAAAGCAATTTTAGAATTTTAGTAAGTACCTATGCGTAGTCTTGAAATTATGATTTTTTTTTTAAATCAAATATTTAAGGTGGCAAACGCATAGTTTACACAAGATTATTATTAATCTGTATTTATATACGATCCATTAGTATTTTAAGTTGAATAAACTTTAGTTCAATACAATTTTTTTGCTAAATCCGATTATGGTTTTAGAATTTCTCACGTCAATTTGTTTTATTAATCGGCATACCTTAAGGTTGTAAACAACTTTATTTTTTATAGATAAATACATTAATTTTGTGACCGTTAATATTACTTCTGGTAATGTATAAATACAGAAGACTTTGAAATTACCAAAAAAGGTTAAAAAAATAATTGTACTAGCAAGAATATTTCTAGCCAGATTAGGGTTCAGCTAAATATATTTTTATATAATGTTATTTATTGTTGGATAATACTGTATACAATTAGAGTCAATATACTAGAATACTTACTATTGTTATATTTAAAAACGCAAAAAATCGTAGGTATATAGAATACAAATATTTAAAATTACACCTTTGCTATTTTTTTTTATTTTGCATTTGGAAAGCATGCATTTTCCCAAAATTTGTTTTCCTACTGCATCCTAATCATTATTATTTATTTAGTTGGAAGCAAACACAATACAAACTTGATTGAATTGCAGATCACGTTACAATTGACAATGCAACATAATTGTGAAAGCACCCGATTTGAGTAGAGTGTTGTGTAATATATTATAATTTGTATGTGGTTTGATTCGCGATACATACTTAGTTAATGTAGTTGCCAAATTTCATACTTATGTTCTGAATACGTAACAGCTATTACATTAATTAATGTTACCTGCAACAGTACACGGTATATTAAAAATAGTCTTAAATATAACATAATACCCCCAGTTCGTTGAACTTTGGCTGCAATATAATGCTCAAAGACTACCAAATAAAATGATCAACAAATTAAGTGAATTAAAAATACTAAAAAACGTATCAGTAATAAATAAACGAAAATTCCAATAGGCAAATAAAGATTTTTGAAATAAATATTTCTGATCAAAATTAAACAAAATATGCCGAGATGGTTTAGGCATGTTATGAGGCGAAAGGAATGGGAAGCAGTAAGAATGGTAATGAAAATAAACGTAGGGGGGAAGATGCGAAGGGGAAGACAAAAAAAAGGTGCTTGGATGACATTGACAATAATATGAGGACTTCTGATTTGTGGGAGAGATCTTGTCGAGTGTAAGTTTAGGACGAGGGGGGCCTACCTCAAATAGTTGGGATAAAAGTAAAGAGAAGAAGACTGTATCCGAACTTTAGTTTATTAGCTTATCACTAGTACAGTAGTGTCATTAGTATATCCATTAAACGATTAACATAATGGTCCCCATTAAATACGTCATATTCTGATTAATTTAACATCAAGATTATTTGTAAATAGGTATAATTAATTTAAGTGCTGATTTAATACCGCGAAAGCCCCGAGAATGATAATTATTTAATGACTATAGTAATGAATCTACAAATTAAAATGATTTAATGTGAGCAAATTTCTTAAAACATTTACATGCTGCAATATTACACGAAAATATTACTTATTACTATTTGACTAATCTCCGAACTAATTTTTTTTTTAAATACCTTTTCTTGGCTAAAAATTTACAAAACTAGACAGAGTACAATTTTATCAATTATAGCATTATTGCTTGATACATGCTAGACGACGTTTTATCAATTCGTTGAGGCGAAAAATGACACAGAGCAGTATACAGTAAATATACATATTTCATCTATCTACCAGACAGTCCTAGAACTTAAATGACTTTAGATCTGGGTCAATGACCGACGGGTTGTCTCAAATCAGTTACACTGCCGAGATAGGAAACGCTGTCTCTTTATTACTCTATGCTTGATACTGACATATTGAGTCCAAACATGGATATTTTTTGTTCATTTCCATAATGTATAGTAATAAGAAATACTTTTTTTTAAACATTTTTAAATAATACTTGGTATAATAATTATTTAACTTAATTATTATTCCATTTTTATTAAAGTATATAATTAGTTAGTTAAACAATTTGATTTGAAAAAATTATTATAATTTTAGTTTTTATTTTTAATAATTATTAAAAATAATAATAGTAATTAGATGAATTTGTATTTTAATATAATAATGACCAGATTTTATTGAAAGCTTACAATTATACAACATGCTTAAATTTAAATTGTGAGTACCTAATTAAAGTGATAATAGGAATGAAGAACATATTTTATTCTTTATCACAATTAAGTTTTTTTTGCAAAATATTTCTGCCTATTTTAAAGGGTTGTACAAATAAAGTAGTTAAAATGTTAAAACGCTAATGGATATGTTTAATATAACTATTTTGCATAATAAATTAAAATTAAAATATATAACTTAAAACTATACATGAGTAGATTTTCCTTGTCTACTTAAATATTAACATGGAAAAATATGCAATTTTAATGTACAATATTTAGAATTTTTTCAACATTTCATCATACCATATTTAAATTATTAAATTACAAACTTCAACAAATGTATTAGTTAAATTTTTTTAAAAAAAACTATTATCATACATTTTATAACATAAAGGTAGGTACGTAATTTTAAAAGCAGAAGCAGCAAATATACATTAAAAAGCGTATTTGTTGGTAAACCTCCTTATTTCTAAATTATATTCTTTATAATGCATATTAGCTGCTGTAAATTTCAACATAGAATGACATCTGAATTATTTTAAAATCAATGATATTATAAATTGGTAATACAAATCAATTGCCTAGTAAAAATTATACATTTTTTAGTCTTAAATATGCTTTTTTTTTTATTAAAAAAAAATATAAATAAAATTATAATTTTTCATAAACAAACTTTCATCTAGTAAAATTTTAACCGCTCTTTTTCACAGTCCTATTATAAAAATCCTTTTTTTAATTTATAATATATGTCCAAATTAATAAACACGTTTTTACAAACAAACAAAAACACATAACCTATCTAGGTCCAAGATGAAAGCTTCTTCTACGATGGGATTTACGTTCTCGAAGTAATATATACTCTTGTCTTCGTACACTACATCTTAGCTCTAGTATGTTATTGATTTTTTGTACTATTTCTTCAGCTACTCTTTGTTCGGCCTCAAAATCATGATGTTTGAAATTACTCCATAGAGCCGTTTGTTGTCCGTGTGTATTATCTCCAACGCTAGAGCTTAAAGCCGTACTATCATATACCAGCCTTAAAACAGCACGGTTATTACTCTTTGTTTCAGTCAGGTCACACGCAACTACACAGTCCATATCGTAAGTGGCCGGCTTCTGTTTTGTCCATGGAAACTTGGAGGTAGATCTTTGCTTTACGACGGGATCTAACTCTATTTTCTGGCCTGATATCCCTAAAAAGAAAAATAGTAAAGCAAATTAAAAAAACCTTTTATTTTTCTCAATCTAATATAAATGTTTTAAATAAATAAAATTTAGACAACAGTCTTTTAGCTTTATATGGCGTTAATTTCAAATACATTTTAAAAATATACAATTTTATTTTCTAAAAACCATAATAAACCAAATTATTATTTGAATTTATACATTGTTTAAGAATTATATTATGACATAAATAAATATAATAGAGAACTCAATGTCATAGGCGTGGCTATCAACACATTGACCTATAGCAAAGAAAAGTTTATCTACTAGTTGACAAGAAGCAGTTCTGGTCATTAAATAACTGTATAATATTATGCTGGCAAGTATTTTGACACTTTATGACCTTGAGAATTTTGATCCATAGAGAAACAAAGTATAAAATATTTTTGGAACTTTGTTTGAACAAGACATTTTTGTTATTTTAAAATTCATTAACACCAACTTTAAAATGTTTTGTTTTGACTTTTCAAAATGTTATCATACCACATTTTGATCAAAATTTGTTTGTAGTTATAAAATATAATGTACATTTTGTTTTGGAAATTTTTAATACTTTTTAAAAAAACTACATTTAATGTCCTATAGTTTCCTCAATTATTTGTTTCTAAAATTGAATATCAAATCTTACCAGTTCAGCTAAAAAGTTAAGTATAGCTAACGAGTTCTAAAACTACGAGATAAACTATACTTAAATGTTTTATCAAACTGGTGAGAATGACCATAAATAACTATAATAATAACGTATTATATACATATACATTAGACTTACCAAGATGAATTTCTGTTTTCGTTCTGACTTTATTCAGTATATTCACATTATACAGTTGATATAATGGGGCTTCAATAGCTAGAAGTTTGTTTAGTTCTCCTTCCAATTGTTGATGTGCTAAAATAATTTTTAAGTATTAATTTTCTGTTTATAATATTTTCTTAAAAAAAAAATATATATATCATTAATAATTACCCTTTGTGCTTATATTGTCGCACTGAGTTAAATTTCCTTCCCTAAATTGACATACATTTTTTAATAAATTAGTGTTAAAACAAACAATAGTTAAATTACTTGTTTTGACTTACTGAGAAACGGGAGAATTGTTTGAAAGTGCAGGGGCGACTTTATTATCTCGCTCGACAATGGCTAAAAACCCAAATCCAAATTTTGCAACTGTCTCTCTAGAATCTAAACATGGAAAATCAAAGTCTACTTCACCGTCGTCTTCAGCTATGTAAAGAGCATAGCAGTTAACACTATCTCTAGAATGCATTAAGAATTATTACAGTAGATAAAATATTAAGTCTTAACATTTATAGCGAGAACTCACTTTAAGGTACAATCAGGATATTCGATAGTACATTTCCAACAGACTAAACCAATAAGATCGTGCACTTTTGCAGTTGCTATAATAGACACTTGCATTGGGTAATTTCGTCGTTCTAAATTCAGCATAGTAATAAATATACCATATTTTCTAGTAGCTTCTCCTAGTTGAGCCTATTAAAAAATAATATTTTTTTGTTAGTGAATAAAAAGTTATGAATAAAACTTGACCACTTTATACATACATTTCCATCGTATTTAGAATATTCCCGAAATGGATTTAGTGGAAGATATGGGCAAGCTTTTAGTAGTTTAGATAACTCCGAAACGTAAGATTTATTTTGATTACTAATATCTTTTTTTGGAAACATCTCAGCTTTTTCTTCATCTAAAAATTATGTTAATAAGTTATAATTACTTAAACTATAGATAAAGCTGGGCTTTTACGAGTTGCAAATTACTTTTTTCGGTTACTTTTAACATTAATAATAATTGTATGATGTAATAACCTTAATAATTTTGAAGGGGAAACCTGGTTTATATTTTCAAAATTTTTTTTTTTAATTTTAGATTATTTATAGTCTTATAATTTTAATATAATAATAGTCATATTTTTATTATAAATTCTCAATAAAACCTTTTTTTGTCATTTTGAATCTGTAAAAGCCTTAGATTTTATCAATTATGATAATATTCTTAGTTATTTGGAAAAACATAAATAATGAAGAAAAAGCTGATGTAAGAGAGAAGCATAATCATTAATGAAAAAGTTTCTTAAATTTGTGTCTTTTATATGTGTATTGTGGCAAACTATTTTAGAACATTAATAAAGTTAATTAAAATTTAAAAAAATCTAGGTTGGATTTACAGTCTGTTTGTGACCTTATTTATTTTTTACAACAATTTATATTTCATTAACAACAGAAATTTATTTATTATGAAAATTTGACAAAACAATCTAAGTGCAAAAATGATTGATAATTATGAAGACTTCGGTAAAAGAAAAAAAACATCATGTCAATTAAGAACTTAAAAACAGAAATATCTCATTTTTTGATATTACATCAAAACAGTTTTCTCGTATATTGACAATTGTAATGCTATGGCAAAACTCCTTTACAAACAAAAGCTTATTGATGTTTTTCCAAATGTATAGGTTGAATGTGTTAATTATGTCCATAGAAAATGACATATGTAAAAAAATATCATGTTTTGGACACTTTTGCATCAAGCATACCCAGAAAAAATGTGATAAATTCATATTATTCTACCAAGAAATAATAATTATTATTAAGTATCAATTTTTTTGGAATTTGCTCAATATTAAGACAGTATATAATATGAGTTTACAAATAGCATACATGATGATTATAATTTAAGTTAGTTCCAGCTTAAAATATATTATAAAACTTTTATCTAAAATTCTATTATAGATTTTATTTGTTGAGCCATTATATGGATAATAAGCTATAAAAAAACTAATAACTTCTAAGCTATCGCATTGAAGGTATAGCTTATACTCACAATAATTAATTTTTAAGTTTATAAGTAAAAAAGTTACTTTTTTAAAATAACAACTTAAAAAAATATAACTTAAGCCAGCTTAAAATTGTAGATTTTTATTTTCAAAATTACATTTATTATATAAATGTATAATTACCTGTTAAGGAAACAGGTGTAAGTTCCCATTTGACATGCCTTACATTAGCAGACTTGATCATGTTTCTCTGTAAACGTTCCAATTGTACCGATGTATGGGATCGTTGACGGCGGACACCAAACTCTATGTTGGACATTAATAAAGTTTAATATGTACCTATTTTTTAAGTTAATTTAAGTTAACCAATGAAACATACCAGTGTGAATATCTAGTGATTCGGCTACGTCATCTTCTTCATCGTTGTCTTCGATTCCCGGGTAAGTATCATATTTTGTTGTAGGTATTGATTGAAGAACATTATCTCCACCCATAACCACTTCACTAATACCTAAAAATAATGTTAGTATTAAAATCAGTAAATATGTATAAGCATATAATAATTTAAAATAAAACCTCAAATAAAAAAATGTTTGTTATAAAATCGCAGTGTCCACCTCATTACAATATTGCACCTCCAAAACCATAAACCTCTAATACTTTGATTTCGAAATCCTTTCCCGGACAAAGTGGCGGATTATTAAAGGTAGAGCAGCTATCAGACTTTCCAAATCGAATATTCTCGTCCATCCAAATCGCTTGACCGTCACCTCCTCCAATAGTTATCATTTTAGAATCTGCCGCCATAAACAATTCATTTGAGTGACAAACATTATCATTTTCCATGCCGACCCAAGGATATTTTGATCTTTCCGGATATAGGCTGAACAGAAACGTTTCTCCAGTTCCAAAATACGCAGTTCTGTTTCCTCTTTCATCTTTTTTATTTCTTTCTAGCCATTTGGTCGAGCAATATGCCCCAAATACGTCATTACTACACGTTTTAATTATCAACAGGGTTGGCTCATGTTGTTCAACCCGAAAATAAAAAGTTGTTAAACTGCACCCGTGTTCTTCAGTTGTATACAATAAAATTGGCTGATACATTGTAATACGCATCGGTAGCCACGACCATAATGTAAATAGTTCTCGTGTACTAAGTGTATGTGACATTAATTGTATATTAACTTGCGACTGGCTAGTAGGTAAATTTTCGGTAGAGCGAGATCTAATCAGCTGGTGAGAATTTGATAAAACCGCTTTGGTTTTCAATGACATTTCGATTTTCACAAATACCCTTTGTATATACGCTGCACTAAATGCTCGTATATTAAATGCTATTTTCAATAATTTCCTTGGATTCACGGGAATTTGTCGACAAAATTTAATTAATGTAGTTTCTAATCCATTATTTATAGCTTCTTGAGCCCAAGATGAGTTTCTTTTCAATGAATATTTATGGAAAAGTTTTAGTATAGCTATGGCAATTCTATATAATACTTTAATACCTTCGTGTAGATAACAATCCATTAAACGTACAGCATGATAAAACGGAAGACCTTGAAAAATCCACCATATCCATTCGGTATATACATGTTCAACTTTAGATGCTGAACAAAACTTAGTTAAATGGGCTGCAGCACTGCTTGCGTGTTTTTTAGCTATTCGCATTACTGTTCTCCAAGTGACTTCATACAATGATTTTGTTTGAGTCATAAATACTAATTGCTTTGAAGATACTAGACTGGTTATACTGTTATAACATTCTTCTTCAGGCATAAAATGCAAAAATAATGATACTAACGAATATATTGCTGGACTATATGTAATGTCGGGACAGGCAAACCCAAGTACACAAACAACACGGTCCGCTACTTCTTTTCCAATCGCATTGAGATGATGAATATGTCTGTGTTTTGAATCAACAAATGGTGGCAATACACTAGTTTTGTCCGGTAGCTCTTTAGTCCCAAACAATTGTTCAACTAAATCCCAATAAAATCCTTCGCTCATATTATTATTGTTGTGTTGTTTGCATAGAGCCGACCATAGTTGACTTCTAATCATATTATCCGCCGGCCAGTTATGGCTACGTAAGAGTTTTTTTACTTCCTTATACCTTCCATTTGAGATGAGATGTTGAATTTCCAAAAACGTCTTGGTTGGCTGTTTCTTTGTGATTGTACACTCTGGAATGATGAGCGGAATGCTATCAACATTGACGATCGATTGAAAAGGTTGGTAATCTACTTCGTTGTTAAAAACCATACTTGTAATATTCCTTTTTATTGATATATTAATAATAATAAATTATTTAAATTGCTCCCGCATACACAAAATTCAACAAAAATAAATTAAACGGTTTTTATAGTACTAACTACTCGGAATGAATGCAGTGCGATTTTCTTAATCAATTACTTTCAATTACGAATTTTTTTTTTTACAATAAAATGCTGCATCAGCCGATATATATGAATATATATAACAGATTTATGTATATAACAGATTGTTGTTTACTCGCATCGATTGGATTATGTACCTGGGCGGTCCAGAGTTTAAAAAATAGACAATAATAAAACTCGTTTAAAATAATCGAAACGATATCCGTTCGGTCCGATGTCGTTTGCCAGAAATATACGTGAGACGTTACGCGAACATAATGTCGGTTTTCGCGGCTGTTAACACTACGACGATTTTCTATGTAATTGCGGTAAAATATTTTTTCAAATGTGTAAAGAATATTGTACTTTCGTTGAAAAAAAAATTTCTCCAGATAACCATGCCCCACCCTTAAGACACCTTGATAGCACACAGTGTTACCTGTGCAATACTACGTGAAGTGCACGGCGCACGCTCATATTATTGTTATTATCATTCCGACCTCCGTGGAATAAATAGTATTATTTATTTATTTATATTTAGGTATGTATGTACGTATATGGATTTGATAATATGTTCAACGGTCGACTCCAAAGAACGCTCGGCCCGAACACCACGTATGAATTGTAAACTTTACCTGTATCGTCCGAAGAAATAAACGAGTTTCTGATGTGCGACAGAAGCCAATGTTTGCTGTCGTAGAGCGCCATTGTGTTGCGCCGACAATGTGTAGTACCAACGGCGTTTACGGCGGTAGGTTTATACCGGCATCGACCGCCGTTTAGTGTGGTCGACAGTAATGGAAAACGAACAGACGCTAACGTGCAAAATCATTTTCGCCGAAACATCAAACAAAAAACTTTGAAACCGAAATTATTATAGATATTTCGGCTCTATACGTGGTACCTAATTTCAAAATCGTTCTCGCCGTGTGTGTGATAAGCCACCCGTGATAACCGCTATCAGTGCCGACGTTTTGTCATCGTCGAGTAAAAAAAAAAAACCGTACCGCAGAAAAAAACCCGTAGCCTGAACTCGTTGTCCTACACGAGTTCGAAAATGATTGGAATTTGCCGCTGTTAAAAGCGGCCATAAAAATAGAAAAAAAAATACTCTTAAAAGTATTTGCCCGAGTACTGTGACACGCCTAGCGCATGATGCACATACTTAATTTGTATTGTGACTAATAACTATTACACAGGTATGTGCATGCCCAGCGGCCTTCGTGGTGCAACAGTATAGTATTATGTCTGTAAACTGTAATCCATCCAGAGTCAAATGGAAACGTATTTTTTATAAGCCAACGCAGAACACCATTTATAGACCACATTCGTGACACTCTTCTGTGTTTTGCTCAGATTTCTTTCGTTTATTGAAAAATATATGAATTCGCATTACGAATAGGACATTCGATTTGCCTCTTCAACACGCCTTATCTCATAGGCCAGTACTACAAAATCGAAAAAAACCCAACTTGTAAAGCAATTTTATGTTGATTGTTTTAGTGCCTACATCCTAACACTATGTACTACGACCTTAATTATTTAGTTATATTATACACTTACATAATATATCCACTTGAATTCCGATAACGATGTAGCAAAAAATACCTACCTGTTACTAATTGACGAGGACAATTTGCTATATAGAAATGTTGCAATCAACATGATATAATATACAACACAATGAGTAATGAATAGAAGCGCTCCGAGTCAGCATTCGTACAATTGCCATTTTGCCGTTTATTCTAATATATTATTTACCAATTGGCAGTTTTCAAAACGCTGAACTCATCTACATCCTAATTGCCAACTGGCGTTTGGTAATAACCTATATAGGTACTTACAAACTTTTATTTAGTTATTTATATAATAAATGTCGATAACCTAACCTCACGGGAAGTAAACACTGAGACATCAGACATAAATACAATATAATAAATCAGTTCTCACTAGAAATATAAGCAAACCTCAAAAGTTCAAAGTTCACAGTGTATAATGAATTACAAAAACGTACATTACGTTTTTGTTCGGTAGCTTACTAATTAATTAAGTTATCTAACGTCTAACTTACTTAAGTATTATAAGTATAAAAATTGTAAATCTATCGTATCGCCTAAATCTATAAGTCTATAGTCTAACGTATAGATACAGCAAAATTGAAAACTACAATACTGCAATTATGTTTCAAGAAAATGTACCTAAAAACTTAATTAAACTAAGAAATATAATTGATGTATAGTTATTTTGTTGATATTCGATTTTCGTAAATAATAAGTGTTTCGGACTATATTTTCACCTGGGAAAATGCAGATAAAATAGGTGACCAAATGGATTTGTAATATAGTAAGTATAATATAGATCTTGGGCGTGCTTAGCACCTCTAGTTTTGAAATTAGCGCCCCAAATTTGTTTAGTGTTACATACTGTCAGTAGCGAGGAGAGGGCATTTTATTGCCTCTGGATCGTATTGTCTATCTTATTAATTTTAGTTATATAAATATATGAAAGAAACGAGTTAAAAAAAAAAAATAGGCGGATCTACAGTTGTGGACTTATTTTCATCTTGTGTAGTCCGATCATTAAGACGCACGTGACGTAGCGTAGCGTAGAGGGCAGTAAACTGTGTCGTGAACACATGATGCAGGACGACATAGGCTCAGTACTGCTCTGTCCTTCAATATACACTCTTATGTTCAAACCAGTAGACCACAGAAAATTTCACTGTGTGCTGCGCTTACCGCTACGTCGCCCGCGTCCTAATGTGCGCCCGACCTAGTGTTGTCTTATGCATGAACATAAGAAAAAGAAGGGGTTCAGAGGGCAAATGTGTTTTTTTTTAAATCCCCACAAAAGAAAATTGTAAATACTACTTTACTACAGTGGACTGAAATATTAGTCACTATAATATATTTAGATTTTTAATATTATAACTAACAAAATTAGATTATGGGACTTTTGAAAATAAAACATTTGGATTTTGCCCAACTGTAGCCTTCCTAAGGTATATGGGATATGCTAATAATAGATTTAAAGGCCAAAAAGTATTTCACCCGGTGCTCTTTTTTTTTTCTAAGGATTGTTATTAACTTTCAAATTTAAAAGCATAGGTATATGATTTACACAAAAAAGGAATGTTACCATAAAAGTAAAGCCAAAACCCATAACTCAGAACCCTCGATGGTGTTAGGTCGACTTCCAATAACCTAAAAATAAATCTGTTACCCTATTAAAATTCTATTTTACCTGCTCTCAATATGTTTTACATGGGAAAGAGCTCGCGGTAATTTCTGTTGGCTATAATTACTTTTGAGTGTGTACATTATAAGAATTATAGCAATAAAATAAAAACGGTATCTATCGCTACAGAATTTTTAGGTCAAGTAATTTGGATTAAGGGTTGCGTACGTGGACAGGAGACCTTGAGACCTCCTATCTGTAGTAGAAAAATGTTGACCTCTTTGCGAAAAAATGAAACCTATTATGTGTTTTATAACTTTCATACACATCGTTTTGGGCAGCACCTATAAAAATACAATATTTATCGAGAATGCATACATAATTTTTTTATTAGTATTAAAAAATATATATGTACTGTGTGTTTTGCAAGGTCGCGCGTCACTATGGTTACGTACACTACAAATCGGTAAAACTTCAGCATTCTATACGCATTTGTACTATATTGATGACTGTGAGCTCGTTGACCGCAGTGTGGTATTGTTTCTAATTAAAATATAGAAAGGGAAACCAAAAGTAGCCTTTATAAATCCAGGATCCGACGTGTAACATTATATTTTTTTTTATCGTTATATTATAAATATATATATATATATTAGAGTTTACCGTAACTATAAGATTTTCTTGGTCGTTTACATTATAAGTGTTTCGCAATGGAGGATGGCGGGTGGCAAGGAGAAGATATCAAAAACGACATGGTAAATGAGAAGTCTAAAAAATATGGGATGTGCCCCAAGCACTCACGGAAGCATAAGTGTGAGTATTGATATTTAAGGGAATTTTTTTTTTAATATCAGTGTTAATAATTACCATAAACCGCAGGTTGAACAGCGAATTGAAAAAAAATTAATGGTTCATTAAAATTGAGTAGTTCAATCACAAGTTATAAGTTGATGTCCACTAAAAGTGGACAGTCAAACTTTTAACGAACGTTCACCTATTTCAGATTTCTGCCCTTTGTAAATTATATAATAATATTATCATTTTGTATGATATATTTATTTAAAATTTATTTATTATTTATTAAAATGTTGGTATTTTCTTCAAATTTAGTTAGCTAAGGTCGCCAACATCAATTACGAATTAAAATGTTTTAGCGTGGACTTTTGTTTTAGAAGCTAATATTTATTTTTAGAGAAATGCAATAACAATTATGAGTTATTAAATAAGCAATAATAACAGCAGAAGTTTCCACGTTTAAAACCTAGTTATTGCGTAGAAAGTGGATATTTTGATTTTTTAATAGTTTTTAAAGACGTACGTCTGTACTTTTTATTTTTTAAACTGAAATAAAGACTGTTGAGACACTAGTGTTATAAGAATTACTTTTAGTTTTTACTAAAAAAGAGTGATAAGAAATGTAAGTGCGCACTTATTTATTAATTTATCGACTATCTTTGTTTTTCTACACATGCAGGCATTGTTTAAAAATTAAAATTAAAAGCTCATCTTATGCCAGCTCAATGTTACAGCGTCTATTTTCGTAAAATGTAGATGTTCTAATAGTAAATAAATAAATTATAATATAAAATATTCGAAGATAAACAACAATAAATTTAAAAAATGAAATAAAAATAAATTTAATAGAATATAGCAACTAAACTCTATTTGGGACATACATAAACGGTCGCGCTTATGCGTCTGATTTGAAATAATGACTATAGAAATCTAGTTTATCTATTCATGGAAATTGGAATTAACAGTTCAATAACTTGTTTAGATAATTATTATTATTATGCGAAACAATTATTTTCATTTTACTCTGGGTTTTAACGACATTTCATTAATATTTTGATACAAATTAAATGTATTTAATTAATTTAAATAGATGAACTTAGATGGACTCATCTAAGGACTAAGAGTTCAAATGTCGTAAGAGGTAGACCAGTAAATAGAGCGCGGAATTTAAATCTAGGTGAACAAAAAACCGTGAAATTGAAATTTTTGACTAACACACTTTTACTCTGGTTCGGATAGAGATAAAGTATAATCATTTATATTTTATTATACTTTGTACGTTATTTAATAGGAATATTTTCATATTTCATATATTTTAATAAATAGACAATTTCGTATTATAACCCAATTTTCATATTGGACGTTTATTGGACATGATCAACACTGGACAATTTTGTTAATTGGATATTATTTTGCATTGGACGTTAGCACACAATAGACATTTTTGTGTGTTGACTTCAGCTATATATTATTTCATTTTATTTTTGATTGCATTTTCAATGAAGTTAAAAGTTAAATTTAGGTAAATACTTCAATTTTATAAAATTGATTTTGGCTCAACAAGTTTAAATGATAAGCGTTTAACCTTATATTCAATCGTAAAACCAAAGATTTAACTGGTTTAAGTTAACTTATATATGTTATAACCAGTTGCACATGATTAAATTCTAAAAAATGCTTTCTATGTAGGTATTAGTTATTCACGGCATGTACTTTGTAATTAGGTAAATTGCAGGAGTCTTCTTAGTGAACATATTATATATTTTTTATGTTTGTTATTATGTTCTTAGTTGAACATAAATTATACATGCGTAAAAAATGGTAAAACAAAAATCAATTGTTTCAAGTTCATATAATATGACAATGACAGTAATATATAGGTCTAGACGGTAGATTAAAAGTGGAATTTAATGCTGTTATTATTATGACATCGCGTGATAGTAAAATAAATACCTATAACAATCATAACGTTCAATTGAAATGTAAATGTGCTTGTACAAAAACCAAAGAATTACTTTTAATTTTATATATATAGATAATAAACCAATAGTCCATGTAGAAGTATAGTCTATAGACTCTTTGTAGGAAATATATCTATTATGAGATAAATGCTTATTAAAGTTCTTAGTATTACAAATTGCAACTGAACTACATCTAGTTGAAAAAGAGGTATTTTAGTTTATTAAAAAAATTCCAACTAGATTATCGAGAATGAGCGCATATGTAATCACTAATCAGAAATGATCATTTTGGGTCTTGTGTATCGTGCGTAAATTATCAAAAACTAGATGTAATACAATGAAGTATTGTTCGGACTTCGGACAATCAAAAACATAATAATATTGTATAAACGCATTTTATAGTATTTTAGTATAGAATGTTATTTATTCGGTTGCATAAACTATAAGATACCCTATATAATTTGATGTTTATATGTTCCTTGGCAACCACAGGAATTTAATAAAATACATGAATTTATAAAGAAGCAGGTTCGATGCACTCGTGAAAATAATAACTGTTTACTTGAACTTTCAAGGCGAAATCAATCAAAAAACTAATTTCAACATTATGAATATTTGAAAATTATTTAAATTTAATTGCAATACTTCATGTCGAATTTCAGTCCAGCGTATGCCAAATTATGTTTGACAGATTAAAATAACTACTTAAAAAACACATTATTATACAATTAATATATATAGTATTCAAGCTAAACAAAAATTGACCTACAATATAATACCAATTGATTATAAGAGAAACTATATAGGTACGTTTTTAAATATATAAACAAACATGAAAACAAATAATATATAGTTACATCCAAGGTTGTGTTTACAATATATATTCCTTCTTGTATATTATTCATAGATATCGAAATAATACTCGATTGTCCAATGCTATATAAATATATAATCCATATTGTAAAAACTAAAATGTTGAAGCTCTATAATGTAAACTAGGTTGGGATAAATAAAAAGAGAAAGTTTATAGTTTTGTAGAGCAAGACTAAAAAACCATTTCTTATTTAAATATTTTCTAAAATCTTTTTTTTTTAATTATACCCTTATTGTAATAGTGTCGATACGGTACGAACATGATCTAAGTAATCGGTGAAAATAATTAATTGTACTTTTTTTTATATATATATATAGGATAGCATGATGGGCGGTAAAGAATCCAATATCGAAATGTATCAGAAATTGGAACGTGACATCAGCCGTGAAGAACAAACGGCACCAGCTCCTGCCTTAGGGCATGAGATGGCAAAACTGGATCGGTTTGTATCTGACATAGAAAATCTAATGGGTCAGCTGAGTCAAGAACGATCTGCCGACGTCGAAGTCATTTCTAGCGATAGGTTCTCTCAGAAAAATTTTAATCCCAAGTACATACAATCGTTATTCGTTTACACAGGCAAACATTTTACATTGATTTTAATTATATTTGTTTATTTTCCACAGGATTATGGACGAGAGTGACAACGCTATAAAGATCGTAATGACAGAGTTGCAGGTGCACATGAATCAATCGCTCGCGATCGAACACGAAGAATTCATAGCTAATCTTAATAGAAAAGTACATAATATCATAATCATAAATGTAGTTAATGGAAACAGTAAATCTCAACAAAAACACTTCATCGGCTCAGTGTAAATAGTTGCTAAAAACAGAATTCTTTTAACATAACTTTAACAGATGTGAACTAAGCAAGTCATGCAAAAATCTAAATTTAATTTACTAGGTGGAAATAAGTAAGCTATTGTAGAAAAACATACATAAAACTAAACTCTAAATTTAGATTTTTACATGGCTGACTAAGTTCCCATACTACATCACATCTTTTGAATCTTATGTTACATTGTGTTTTTGTTGAGAAATCAGTAGTTTTTTTGTATAAAAGTCAAAATGATACGGAAAATTTACTCCTTATTTCAGAAAGTAGAATTATACGAAATACCCGCGTGACTTACTATTTGTACTCAATAAAAGCGGAAAATGATAATATTATTCGGGATTTTTCTAAAAACCTTAGGGCCTACCGTCTAGGATGTACAAATTGTGTTAGTAAAAGCTGATTAATACACGACAGAAAACTAATATATTTTTTTGAAAAACTATGATTATATATTATTAAAACAAATTACGTAAAAAGTTATGTAAATTATTTATACAAAATAAAAAAATCAGTTCAATTAATATTACGGTTATAAAAAATATGTATTCAATGTTCAAGGGAATGGTAAAATACGACCAATGTGTTTATTGGTTTTTACAGTAGTTTTTTTTTTAGGTAATATTATTTTGTCAATATTTAAAAAAAAACATTTTCGCGTTCTACACGTATGTTTAAGACAACTCCAAATCATTTAATTGTAAGTCGAATATCAATAAAGACTGGGATTATTGTATAATAATAGTTAGTGTGAAAATTAAGAAGTACTGGCATAAGATCATTAAAATAAATAAGGAGTAAATGAAACGGGAACCACGTATTCGATAATGCATTAAAATTGCATAACTAAAGCGCCGTCTTATCGTTCATCTAACACCACTGTGTTCATACACCAACCAATTCCTTTGTCAGTTGTCCCATTGTGTACATTTTATTAAAATAATTCGATTATATTATAATGTTTATATGTTCTGTCCAGAAACTCACCTAATTGATTTATTTGACAGCCACCAACTATAATTAATTGGGAAAATACAATAAACAAAGCAAAGGGTATAAAATGTCTCTGAACTTCGTTTTTAAATACATCAGTCAATAAGTCTATACGTTTTATCTTAATATTTAAGAACTTTATTTTATTTATTGCAATTCCATAAATGTATATAATATAATTCCATGGATCAAGAACAAACTTGCAATTAGATATTAGTAGACAATAAATACACGACATCCAAAATTGTCAACCGATAAAAGTTAAAATGTTCTATAAATGCAAACGAAGTTTTCTATAAATAATTTTTTTAATCTGTATATTTTAAATGAAGACATTTTCTTATAATTTAATACGCATATCAAGTATTATCTACTTTTATGTATTTTTCAGTCATTAAAATTACACCATTTAAACTGGTTAAGCCAAATGCGAGCTAGGAGCGAAGAAGAAATATCAAAACTTAGCGAAAGAGTACAGCATTTACAAAAACTTTACGAGAGCCAAGAGCTGTTAACTAGTAAGTAATTAACAACATTTTAACATTATTCACCTCGTACATTTACTATGTTGACGATCTACCAATACGAGCAACACTTACTTAGTTAAAAAGCCAATGGGGTCGGGGCATAGTGCGGACAAAGTATATTAGGGAGAGGGAGGTCACAGGTCTATATGGATTATTACAACTAGTGATAAAGTCACTTTGAAATAACGCTTCGATGCGAATCTGTAATGGTATAAATATAGATAAAACCATTGTAATTAATGGCAATAATGTGTTCAAAATGTATTTTTGGTATTAGGGTGGATACAATTAGGGCCGATCGTCTGTCTATGATAATTTATTGACACAGTTACCCATTATATATTGTAATTAAATATTAACAATATAATAAAAATATTTTCAAATATACCTGTTAACTGTTGAATAACTTACATACTTTTTTCGGAGGTTTTCTTTAATAAAAAAAAATATTCACTACAAATTTTTAAAATAATTGCATATGTTACTGCGTCATTCTACCTTTCATTTAATTTTCAAACCTTAAACTTCATCTAAAAATCGAAATAAATAAAAAGACATTGGTTCAGCAGATTAGACGATATCGTGGATCCAAACATAAAAACACATTATTGTAAAAGCAATACCTTCTTAGCTCCGCATCTCGGCTAAAGATTGCCTAACATCTATTGTTTTTATTAGACTAGGATTATAAAAATCCTATCCACAAAAATATTTCAATTTAACGCTGCATAAACAGCAGTCTGTAGTGAAATATTTTTGTGAAAATGGTCTTTATTCAATAAGAATAAATTCCACAAGTGACTCTAAGTTTAACTTTGTCTTATTTAATGTTTTTATTTTTATTTTCAGGGGAGTTATCGAAAGGCAAACAGGTAAATACCGATGATCTGGAAAGGGAATTAGACAGGGTTCGGAGTTACCGAGACACGTTGGTCAGCGGCGAACTATCGTGGAAAGACGCCACGCTATTCGCCCAAGATTCGGCGGACTATAGTCTTACGGCGTACAGGAGTTGGCATTCTATGAGAACAGAAATGTTAGTATTTATAAAAAAAAAGGTTACGAACAGTGGAATGCCTAAAGGGGAGGTTTCGAGGTTTGGGATATAAGCTTTGTGAATCGTATGATTCAAAATAAAATACAGTTTCCATTACAATAACCTAATATGCTTTCCACAGAGACGAATCAATAAGATTTCGGCAAGCGTTGAGAACGAGAGATTCGATGCATCAAGCCGCACTGTGTGTTCGTATGGCGCAGACCATGTTGCCCGGTGTGCAATTCCCGTACTGCACGTCAAGAGAAATATTTGCTATTCTTCAAGTAAGTCAACTGAGTATGTTATCATCATTGTGCTTTTTGGGCTTTTGTACGGGGATTAGGCTAATTTTGATTACTCAAGGGGGCTCCATACAGACCATTTTTAAGGAGTTTTGTATAGGCAACATTTAAGAAAAAATTGGCTTAAATAAATTTCGACCATGTCAATAAATTTACCGGTTAATTTGTATAAGCTTCAAGGTATTATTTTTTATTTAAATCATTTTGTCTATGAGTAAACGCCATTTTAGTTAATATAACATACATTTTTTGTTCCATCACACAGGCTCAACCAGTAATCCGATAAGGAATATGAAAACAGATTTGAATTCGTCATGAAACTTACTTGAGATCGGTCGACGTACTTTTTTGATATCTTATTCCTACTATGTATAAAATACGTTTGAACATTTTATAAAATTTCAACATTTTAAAATAAAATTTAGAAAGGGTTAAAATTAAAAATTGAAAAAAGTACCTCGACCGATCTTAAGTAAACTTCATGACGAATTCAAATCTGTTTTTAGATTGCTTATCGAATCACTGGTTAGGCCTGTGTGATGGAATGAAAATGATGTATTTTGACTGAAAAAATGGTCTGTATGGAGCCCACTTAAGTAAAAAAACACATTGATGCATCAACGTTTTTAGCTCAACATTTATTAACTAAACCAGGCTGAATTGAATTTAAGGTAATCGAGTATTTATTCACCGATTTGCAAGTACCCGAGAGATATAGTCATGCACTTGAAGTGTACAAAAGTTTCAATAAAAGAGCTACGGCGTTAACCAATTGGCTGAGACAAGTATGTGTTTTGCTCATAACTGTAGACAACGTTTTTTTTTCCACAACATTTTCCTGATAATAGTATAATTGCCTAATCTGAACACGTCACTCTACACGTCCATTTCAACAAAATCTATTTCCCTAAGTTTATCCCTCTTGTTCAATGTCCAACTCTCATTTCCACGCATCTCTACTGACCTCAGTCCTCACTAAAGATGTATCGCATTTTCATTTCTCTCTGAATGCCACGTTGACACCTCTTTTTGGTCACAAAACACCTCTGTTGTCTCTTTTCCCAGTCACCCAAACATACTTTTTCTCCTCGCACTTTTTCGATTCCTCCATTCTCTTCTTGCATAATTGATTTCTATTCATGTCTACAATATTTACAACTAACTTTCTAAGCAGAACACCCTTCATCTGTAATCATTTCATCACTTTACTCAAATCACGCTAAGCATTATTTTCTCAAACCATTTCCTAAACGATTATCTGCATCTCCAGTTTAACCTCTAACACTTTTGTTCTTGTGCCGTGTTTAGACTACCGACGATACCATACACAAAGACGTGGAAGAAGTCGACGATCGTATCAGCGAGGTAGTCAAGAGATTGCACCGGGAGAGATTGTTCTTGGGGGTAAAACTATTGCTATTAGTCAATATCGTTGTTTATTATATTATTTTCTTAAATTATCGTTTTTTAAAGAGGAATTTCCGTTAGACAGGGCTCAGTGAGACATTTACAAAACGGTACGGCAGCACACCATTAACATCACGGCAACCGATGGCCAACACATGGTTAGAAAACGCCATTGGACCAAAAAAAGAATACATAGAGTTGAACTCTATTTTGCGAAAATGAATTATTTATTGTCTATATTTCATTAGCTATACAGTAATTATTTTTGGCGTTATAAAAATGTACATTTTTCTTATTCTTGTAATTTGGTCATTTATTATTACTACTACTGTATACATAATAGTATAAAACCTTAAACCATTTCTTTTAACTCGCCATTACGTTTAAAACTATTTATACCTCTAACCTTTTACTTTGCCATAATTTATTTCCATTCACACTCGTCAACATAACCGTATTTAAGTATAAATTATGATGCAACACGTTAGGATAATATCTACAATATGATAATTATATCTATTGAAATCAATCTAAAAATAAATATAGTTTGAAATTATCAATAGTTTCAATTTTTTAGTCATGGTATAATATAAAGTCACTTCGTCGAGCTCAGCCGTCTAAATACAATAACTGGAATAACTATTAACTATTTAATCTTTGTAGTTTGTAGTTAAATAGCTACAAAAGAATAAAAACTATTAACAAGGCGACTATCTTTATTTTTTTCAATAAACACTCGATAACAGTTTCAATAAATTATTATAATAAAAATAAAAAATAAATCTACATTTACACAATAAACTTAAAATAATGAGAGATAAAAATGTAATTTTGTCATTTGATAGCTAAACAAAATAAACGAGTACTAAGTTATTGTTACATAATAATTGTTATTTAGTACGACTAAAGTTATTGCGAACCTCCATGTCTAAAAGAAAAGTATTTTTTGAAGCTCTTAAAAACAGCTTAGTCAAATGTATTATATAATAATAAATTAATCTAATATATTTGTCTAATTTAATTTCTATATGTAAAATGAATAATTAACATTACAAGGCAAGCCAGGGAAGCCATAAGTAACGTTACAGAATATAATAAACAATATTATGATTATGAATTATAGTAAATTAACAAAATGTCATACATATATTATAACAAAGTTGCTTCAAATGTCTAATAAACGTGATTTTTAATAAAATTAAAACTAACTTTTGAACGCTACTCAAGTATAAAATGTGAACGAACAAATATTTTTAATAATGTCGATTAATGCTTTAATTGATGAAAACTGCTTACGTTCTAATTTTATATTAGTTAAATACATAATATATATATATATATATATATATATATATGATTATATAGTATATTGCACAATGGTCGTAAAAAAAGATAAACAACAAGAAAACAGTGTCAAGTTTGTTTATAACTACAAAAGTTCTAAACTTAATATTTAAGAAAAATAATAATTATATAATAGTAGCAAAATTAACATTTAACGTAATGAACGTTATGAAGAGGTATTTATTCATTATTAATTTAATTATAATTAATAATTATCGACGTCTAGAGAACATAATTTTTTGGTCTGTGAATGATACTTGATATTATTATATGTACCTACTCAATGTGTGTGTTTTTACAGACGGACAGTCAAAAAATCGTGCATCACTGATTATGAAATTAATACATTTTATTATAGTAGTTGTATCACAGACAGGGGAAATAAAAAATAAAAAGTTATTGTTTCAAGAGATAGTAAAAGGAAAACAATAAGTTTACAAAATAAAGTCTAATATTACACAAGATATCAGGTGATTTAATATTAAAAAAAAAACGCCCCCGATTTTACCAAGGTCTCCACATGCTGTCGTGTTCGTGTTCTCTTTTCACGCTAAAGTCGATGGGCTCTTCGCCTTGGGGTCTTCCTTCTCCTCCTTGGTTTTGCTGACAGTGCACGTAGTGACTTGGCAACAAGAACACGACTTGACCGTCGGGCAGTTGTGAGGGTATCACCTGTAAGTGTCGGAAATTTCAATGAAAATGTCGCCTTTTTTTTTTGGTTACAATCACGCATAATGCAACAGTAAATAATACAATTATTATTATACTATTTGTGTTATAACCTAACCTGTACGACGGACAAGGGTTGTGTAGGATCGTTGGACGGCGCTACGACTACGCTGGCTGTAAGTCCGCTGCGATCGATGGTCGTCTTATCTTCTATGCCGACGGATTTGCTCCGGGTGCGTTTTTTGGGAGGTTCGCACTTGACGCGTTCGTTTTTGCCGTCGTTGGTGCTACAGTTTGATTCATCGTCTCCGCCAATCATGTCCTGATAGAAATTATTCAAATTTCAGGTTGCAGTAAATATTATTCTATAAATCTACTTTAGGAATCATTACACGTCCTAGAATTTTTTATAGCACATAATCGGCATGTTGTATAAGTGTGAAAACCTGTCAAACCCATTGGAAAAAATGTTGTTCTTTTTTAATACTGTAAAATTTAAAGATTGATTCTTAGCTCGATATTCGGACCGAACCTGGCCGAGTTTTAGATTAGCTGGTTATGTAATATTTAGTTGTACTATTATATTATACTTGCAAAAAACTATGGATTTTTTTTTTAACATATATTTTTGTTAAAAAGTCGCGAAAAATAAGCTCAGTGTCAAAGTTGAAATATGAAAATATTCAATTATTGTACTAAGAAGAAATCTTACGTCGGGTATGACTACCGTGGAGTTGCTAAAGTCCAAATCGATTTCCGACGAACAGGTGTCCAAGTGCCTTAAGAGTCGTTGTTTGACGGCCGGTTCAATCACCGTGGCGCCAGGCGTGAGTAGAGTACCCGTACCGGTACTACACATGTGTAGTTCGGGGCACTCTAAAAATCTGGTAACCTAAGATAATCATACGGTTACATGTTTAGAAATAATCAAAAATTAACTAGGGTTTAAGGTAGGCAGACTCAAGATGAGAGTCCCATGCTTGTAATACCTCTCTGGCGCACTCTTGGAAGCCGGCCCGATATTTGTTTCTTACGTCTGAGCTCAGGACTTTCTGTCGTTGCAAATGGCGTACAGTAAGCTCCAATATGTCAGCTTTTTCCAATTTTGAATGTTTGGTGTTCTAAAAAACGACAGCACGTCCAACGGGTTTAGCGTACAATACAAATAACAGAACACACGCGAGCATATTATTATAAAAATGCTCACCTCGGTCCTGGTGGAATCTAAAATGAGAGTTTTCAATAGCGCTAAAGACTGGTTTATCCTCGCTCGTCTTCGTTTCTCCATTAGTGGTTTGTTTGCCTGCAACACACATAACAATTACATTAATTACAAATTTAAGATTATTAATCTAGTGCAAGGAACTGTGTACCTACAGTGTAACTCTGCACAATTATACTAACAAATTTTAAAATAATTATGTCATACCAATTTGGGAATGATGATGTTAAAAATCAATTACCCTTAACGTTGGAACATATTTAGTTTACAATTTGTCTTGTTTTTTTATTATAAGAAAACACATCATCTTAAATGTCATAAAGGTTTCTAAGAATACTTGTTATTTTTATGATTTTTGAACTGGTAGCTAAAGCAAGCCATCATATTTTATTCAATTAGGTTTGTCCCGGTTGTCGGTAGAACCATCTTGAACTTCTAATATCTACGAACCAGCCAAAAGCAAATAAATGGCAGAAGGTAAAAAAAAAAGCTTTACAGTGTTATCCTAAAAAAACCATAGAGGTAAAGCCGTAAAGGCAGTAGGCGGTGGAAGTGAGGTATACTGAGTACGCGACGTGTTTGCGGGGACATAGGCCTGACCATGATTTATGCACGCGAGCACACACACAAAGTGCCGCCTCCCGTGACAGACGGTAAGGTGTGTGTGTGTGTGAGTGCGCGTGTATGCGGCGGCAAAAACGGCCAAGTAGCACGGACAGTGGGAGGGGGGGGGTCCACAAGCCGCCGGGGTAAGGGAGGGTTATCCGTGTCGTGACTGACGTCGCGCTGCCCGCCGTCGACACGTTCCAATGCTATATCACACCGTGACACGGTACCGCACATTGACGCGGCCTCCCAGACGCCTGTAAAAATAAACCGCACACCGGGACGACGCAATTGTTTTCCCTCGGTTTTATCTTCGGTGCCGTAGATAAAACCGGCTTTGCGTTTCCATAATAATAATAATAATAATATTATTATTATTATTATTATTACTGCGCGCCAACGATGGGAAAACGATGCGGCAACATAACGACGGCGCCCGGACGGGTGGCAGTCGTTGCTTTTATAATGTGACCGGGTTTTAACAAGCTGCCGCCTTTAGCTAACGAGCGGACGACTATCCAGTGGTCCGCAAAGCGCGCGTCGTGGCCTCCGCCGGTCTCAAGTAGAGACGGTCGGTCAAGTAATAATAAAAACACAATTTTTAATTTTAACGTAAAAGAACTTAATGCAAAATACGCTGTCGCGATAAAGATTCGAGTGTACACGACAACAGGAAAAACGATCCCGCAGGACAACCGTGGTAAATCAATCATCGAAAAGATACTCGACACTTTGTCGCTTAATATTATGAACTATACCACAGTGCAACGTATTATAATCCATTAAAAAAAATGAAGAAAAATAAGTACTTATTGAAAAAAATCAAGAAAAAGGATATTCGGGAGAGTCAACGAGTATAAAAACAAACGGAAAACCATCAGATCTTTTTGCCGCACCCTGTATTATAATAGACCTCATCATGTGCATAGCAATATACTTTCCCTTAAAAAATTGAAAAATGTCATTAGATCTTCAAAATATTTAAATATTTTATTCTTGAACACGTGCCCCTAACGGGATATACTGATATCGAATGCCAACTATTAATTTTCTAATTATATTTGCCAGATAAATTATGAAATTAGTCTATATTTATACAATTGTAGTAATCTAATAGTACAATTTGAGAATTGAGTGTTTCCAGTGACATATTTTTCTAACGATAAATTGAGTAGGCATTTGCTTGCCTGACGAAAAGCTCATAGGAAAAATTCGATAAATATAAATAACGATTTTTAAACAGCTTTAACTTTAAGTGGAATTTCGAGTGTGACAGCGAAAAAAGTAATTTAACCTTTCAAAAAAAAAAAAAAACCCCGCACTAACGCTTTGGCATCCTAAAGTTAGACATCTCTGATCTCAAGTCAACACAAGGTTTTGCTTTTGGCAGTCCTTTTATCGCCTTAGTTCGATTGTATAAATATAAATATATATAAATAATATAATAAATAATATATTATAAAATATATATATATAACATATATATACAAGTAAAAATAACGTTGAGACACGTTTAGCAACCAATGTCTGTCTAGAATCTAGATGGTCACGGACGAGGGCGTCCTTGCGGATCACGGTGTACAACCGAAGCGACGAAGCACGGGCGGCGGACGGACCATAAAGCCGCCGCCGACGCGACGGTGGACGATGGGGTGTACACTCCGCAACACACTCCGAGTCCCGATTTAGTATAGAAGGTCCGCCGGCGGCGGCGGTGGTGGTGGCGGACGGCGGTAGTAGACACGCAGCAGACAACAACAAACAACGCCGCCGCCGCCACCAAGTATATACGTACACACATAATATATATATATATATATATGTGTATAAATAAGCAGGCACGCTTTCCACCACCGCCCACCGCCGACGAATCCAACATCGCGCAATTATTATTACCGGCAGCACGGGCCGCCGACCAGATATCACACACACATACAAACAAGCGCGCACGCATGGGAGGAGAACGAAAATGTTCACACGCGTAGGCATGCTACACCGGAGGCGGGAGGGCCACCGGGTATACGAGGCTCGCGCACGCAAACCCATCCGACGGGATCGGTTGTATTATTATAACATAATATAATATATACATATATTATACAAACGTTGCGCACCCGATGCCACTGTTTGTCAATGGCAATACGTTTGCTCGGTCTTAATGGGCAAACGACAAATATCGAAGCTAAAACATGTATAGTAGGTACTATCAGTATGTCCAATATGTGAACCTACTTGTTTTTGTTTTTTGTCGCCACTGCAGCCAGAGATGGACTTAGGCACTTTTGCTGTTTGAACTATGAAATACAAAATAGTATGAGAACACATTATGCTCGAAAATCGAAGCACACACGACTGATCAAGAGTTTCAAATTCAAAGTAGACCAGAGGATAAAAAAAATAATTTAAGCACTTAGTCCTGTTTAAAAATGAAGGAAATTGTTTAATAGGAAACGTGCCTATGTTTCTATGTATCTAGTATAGATCTTTGAAATAAATATTGCAGGCTATTAATTTCTGAACTGCCTGTTTATCAGAGTTAGTTTAGCTCAGATCAGCTTAGCCGCCTTAGTTTTACAGATGAAACAAAGCTGTTGGTTGGTCATGGAAGTTGTGTATTCAATGTATGTTTTCTTAAAATTGCAATTCCAACTGCCACGTTAATGGTTAATTAAAATAATATCCATACTTCTCGCTGCTTTTAACGTTATTGCAAACGTATACTTAATGCTTTAATAACGAGTACAGAATACCCACAATAAGTATGTACAGAAACCATAACACTGCGTGCGTACGATACCTTAATAGGTCGAAGACTGAGCCGGAGAGAAAATGCAAAATTATCGCAGTTTGATGGCCGTTGGAAAAGTTTGAATAAGTACAAAATACCCAAACGAAAAAGTTTTGAAAAATAATAAATTTCGATAACGTTCAAAATGCGAGAAATACGAATTCGTGAATAAACGTCGTCTGCTTTATGTAAAATTATTGGGGTTTGAAATACTATTGTTAAAAAGTGTAAACATGGTAAACAAGCAACATTTTTACTAAAAAGGACGTGTTTTAACTTTTAGAGTCTGCGCTCGTACCAATTCTGCCGCAAAATAGTGTAAAGAGTTCAGCTCTTTCAAGACGCCTTACTGAGGTCTGAGAGTAGAGTTTTTAAATCTAATATAATTGTCTACTAAGACAATATTATTGTAGGTATATATCGACTTTGGTAATTTAACACGATATACACAATTGCATCTAGTGTACACTCAATCATATGTCACCGTATTTGATCACATATTCACATCACATCGGTTGAGTGCAATGCAGAGTTCACTTGCTGCGAACATAACATTAATGTTTATAATATTCTACATGCGATGTCGTTGTCACGGATTCTTTTCAGTCAGTCGTAACTAATCAGTGCACGCGTTTTTATACATGAGATATTTTGTCAAGAGTTGTCTACTTGATTTTTGATTTAATTGTTAGATGAGTTTTACATGAGAAAATTAAGTTATACATTTTTGTAGAACCAGTTCAACCGAACATTTCATTCATATTCTTCGTAGAACTAAAATTCAAACACCATTTAAAAAATTATACTATCAAGTTTTGAAACTAAAATATACTAGACAATATTTGTTTGTAAAATAAGCGTTGTTTATACAAGCTCCTACAGTAAAATTTAAATTACTTTGAAATTTTTTTTCAAATTTCAAGTCTTAGCTCTTTTTTTGTATTTTTATAAAAAAACTTATTTTCTAGTAAAAAAATACTCAGGCTACAATCTATTGTTTAATAGTCTAGTTCGCATATACGGTATACCAATAACACATAGACCAAAATGGGGATATATTGCAACCGAATTGGGCAAATTATGTTAATGCAATTTTTTTCTAGAAAAAAACCAACAATGTTTGTATTTTGTTCAAATATAAAGTAAATTAACTTCTTATAATTAAAACAATAATGCAGTTATGGAAAATTGTCAATTACAAATAAATTGTACATATATTTTGTAATTCCTTTACACGATTATAAATTTACCGAGTGTGGGTACTCAAAACATCTACGAATGATCTAGGAAAATCAAAAGACTCCCTTACCCTTTTACCATCCTTTTGATTAGAAGTTTGTGAAAACACCAAAGAAGAACTAGTAACGATGGGTTCCCTCTTGCTGAAGGGATGCACGGTGGCCGTCACAGGGGATACGGCGACGGTGGCAGCGGCGGCGTTGTTGTTGTTGTCGTGGACGCTGCTAGAAGTGGATTCGGACGTCGGAACGGGAAAAGAAGGGTCCGATTCACATTTTCCTGTCATCATCAAACACGCGCGCGTTTTACGACAATCGTTTTTGTAGCCGGACGCCCGTCACATGTTGCGAACGCAACCGACGTGTGACTACTACTATGACTGCGGCACGGCGGCTGGCGGTGCCGCGGCTCGGTTCTCTGACGACGGTAATGAGAGAAGCGAGAACTCGACGCCGCCGGCGGCGGCACGGGTGACCCGACCGCAGTGTCGACACCTCTCTTCCGCCCGCTCGGCGATCCAACCCCACACGCCTCCGGCCCTACGCACGACAGCGCGGTGGTCCCTCCGGCCCGCGTGGCCACACCACCGTCCACCGACAACGACGTCCTCGCGCCATACACACACACACGCGCGCGTACACACTTCCTCTTCGCCACACTAGTCGTTCAACACTCGCGCCGCCGCCCACCCGCCGTCACCGCCGCAAGATCGGTGTAATAGCCGTGACGCCACCGACGACCCGCGCGCGCTTTGGGCGCCTACGGCACGCCCACCACCCTCGCGCGTGATATTAAATTATACGAAAAATCTCCTCGCTACTACCCTCTGTGCTCTTACTGCTATATATAAGTATAAGTATGTATATAATATGTAGGTACAGTAAAAAATACTCCTATCCGAAGGGATTTATATATTATTGCCGAATCCGTAAGCCAAGATTTAAAAATACCTATACATATAATATACTTTCATGAAAAATAGGTTAAGTTTTAGCGGATGTAAAAAGTAAACAAACTATATTTACCCGAAACTTGCGTACCGATAAAAAATTAGAAAAGAACTATCTAACACGGCACAAAAGCTAACCCTATAATTATACAATTTTTAGAGGGTCTCATGTCTCGCATGGTCTGGCGACTGAACTAAACGGGAAAAAAAACCACCAGGGAACAGAAAAAATATAAACAAATAACTTATTTATTATTATCTCGTTATTATCGTCATTATTATCAATCAACTGCTGACGCTTGTCTACTACAGATTACTGTTGGTTGAAGGTGGGGTAGTTAACAATCATACGTTATACGTGACGTATTCGTGTAAGTCATACAGAATAGATAGAGTTAAGATAGAATGCGACCAGATGTCTCACATTAAGGAGGATTTTCCTGATTTTTTTAACTGTCTCCTGCTTTTTAAGTTGTCCAGCTTTTGTTCCCACATTCACTAAAATGTTTAAAATATTTTTGTTTGTTTTTGGAATAAGTTATTTTGATATAAATTATCAGATAAAACTTATTTACAGTAATTTTTAAATTATAACTATGTAGTTGGTAACACAATATTAGTTATTGAAAAACACATACACGTTTTATTCTCTTATTGACCATATACAAATGTTTCATAATATCATTTATAGTTAACAGATTTTAAAAATCATGAAGGAACAATAAACACATAATTCACATTTCACAATATTATTTCATTAAATTTTAAATGTAAAAAAACATTTTTCTACATTTATCATTATATAAAATATACATGTCAAATTCATTTTTAGTTTATTCAAATGTTATCCAATATGTTTGTGCGTAAATTTCTTACAAAAATAAAAATATATTTATACTTCATATTTAATATTGTTATTATCCTTTTTTTTAGTTAATTATAAATGTATTTAAAATATATGTTTTAGGAAATAAGAAAATCAAACCTTACAATTTTGAAAAAAACTTATTCTCTTTCTGGATATATTCGATATTTCCCTCTCTTAAAAAAAAAAGAAATATTAGAGCGAAAACTGGACATGAGCGAATACAACAGCTAACCTAGTATCGACAAGGGAATCCGAGCGACAATAAAAGGCGATAGGGGTTTTTTTTGTCTTCCCAAAAATTATATAGATGATATCATCACACCAGAGAGCAATTAAAACTGTAAAGAATATTTTGCCGTGAATCAGATACACCGTGCGCGACAGACCGTGTCAGCGTTTCTACCGCGTGAGCGGATGCGCGGGGAGCTACGGCGTGTGTAATGAGTACACGCGCCTCGGCACAAAGCTTACCAACGACCACTGCCGCCGCCACCACCGCCTCACCACACCGCCCACTGCTGCTGTAGTACGCCACATTACGCCGTGCGACGTTCGAGGGGATTTTATGGCGCGCGCTGTAATTACACTACGGTGGAACCGCGGCGGTAGTCCCGGTCACAGGTGTCGGACACCGACTATAATTTCCCCTTTCCCTCACTCACACACCCGCAATCCACCTATCCACCGCGGCAGCCTAAAACCACAACTCTCCCCGACGACAACGATAACGGCGGCGATGGCGCATAATATTGTAACGGACCCTATATAATATAACCGGTCGTCCACAACGGATAATGATAGGTCCACATTCTATTCCGAAGCTGATGATGCAAGAACTTGACTTTTTTTTTTAATACAAATCTATACTTATTTGTTTCTACACCAATTATACATATAAATTATAATTATCATTATATACGTATTAAGTCTTATTAAATTCCGATGCGGAGGTGAAGAGTGTGAGGTTATACAACAATGGTTTCCAGTGGTTAGTTATTGAAGTAAAAACTTAAATTTACCTATATTCGTTCCTAGGCTAGTAACGCGATACAATATACTTTTTTGCAAACTAACGAACTGGTTGATAAACTAATATCAACGTAGCTGTCCGTCAAATAGTTAATTGTTTTGAAATTAAGATCAAAAATAGCTACTTTAAAAATTGACTGCCTATTTCACTCATCTCCCCTCCAATTAATATTATGCAATGTAGATATTAATTTCGTGGCAAAAAATGCATTAACAATTTCTAAACTTAGTAACATGTTTTTAAAATTAAGAACATTAAAACTTACAATGATGTTTTTTTGAAAAGTTTTTAATGTTTGTAGTCCAAAAAAACTAAGGTTAGATCCTCAGTAGGCATCGAAGTAACAAATATTAGGTAGATAAATTGAATGTGCGCTACACGAAGAAATACTAAAACTACTAACTCTGAAGGGTGTCGTCTAAAAATAATTTGACACTTACTCAGTACTCATAATTGCGTTGAACTAAAACGTCTGCAAAATAAGACTTAACATAATACTGTACCTAAGCTTCCAATACTTTTTAAATTAAAATTAAAAACGTTCTAAAACGACCATCCAACTTCAATAGACGTCGTTATGATATTGATTCTGGGCGTTAGTTTGTTTAAGATTCAAAACTCATCAATATGGACTTTTCCATAATGCGTCGCCCGTCGGCACGAAAAATATGTATTATAAGGAAGGTGTTTTTCAACGGGTTTTTCGAAATTGCTCACGGAATCTGACGTTTTCCAATACAAACAATTGAGCCTTGAGGGATATTTTACATCATTATGTTCGGATTTTTAGCTTCGATGCGTAGCTGAGAAGGTATTGTTATTACAATGATTTGTCATGTGTTCTAATTTTTTTTTTTGTACCTGGACCCACGGTATCGCATTTAAGAATGCACGAAGATCATAATTAAGCGTGGATTCCTATCAAACGCACTGAAAAAAAATTTGTTTTTCTTTGATACTGTAAAACTTACGGATTAGTTCTTTGCTCGTTATTTGGACCGAACATTTAATTATCGTACAATTTCCTGTCAATAGGAAATTAACCACACCAATAGATGTTTATATTTTACCTATATAATATTATAATAAATTTATATATATAAAAAATATAGAGAGAGATATTCGGTATTTTCTATCTCTCTTTCGGTTTTTTTTTTTTTTTTATCCTACGGGCATTAAGCCTACTGCGGTCCAACTTCCGGTGACTGTTGAAGAGACCGAGCGTGCGGCGAGCGGTGACGGCAGAGGGGGTTACGGGTCTCTAGGGCTTATCCGGAACGGGCGTGACGGGTTTAATAAATGGTTGAAGAGGCACCTCGGGTTCGGGGGCGAACGCGGTGGCGGCGGCAGTGACGGCGATAGCGTGTAGAGTCCGACGTGCGGTCGCGTCGGGGCGGTGCGGACGCGGGGTATCGAACCGCAGCGGTAGTCGCGTGCCATAAACCTCCCGCCAGCAATCATCTACGGGCAACCGTTACCGGGTGGCGCACACACAAATGTTATAACAAAAACAACAACAGTGAACAGCAAGCAGCATCACCAGAATATCGAAGAACGGCGCGATCAGTGTCGATTTGACTATTACGTCATATTTTGTACTTTGAATAAGCGCATTTTTATTTATTACATCAAGACTGATACTGTAACTTTATACGTATACATGTATTTTTTTCTTAAGTATAGAGTAAAATTGCGGCTTAGGGACAAATAACCCCACAAAAAGAAATGTTCTTAATTTTTGGAAGTTGGTACATATCATTGTGCTCTCTGTCCTAAGGTCGTTTAGGTTTCCAAAAAAAAAAAGACCACATGCCTTAGAATTATTATTAACTTGTTAAAGTATTATCAAAAACAAAATAATTATATAAAAAAATAAAGTCCAGGAAAAAAAATTAAAATGGAATTACAAATATCTTGCTAAAATAAATTGCAAATTCAATATTTTTTTATTTTTATAGAGATTTTTTGTGGGTAATTTTTTTTACCGCGTCGTTATCGGCCCTGTTGTAAAAATTTTATTTCACGGCTCACAAAGGGAGACGAGTACTCCAAAAATCGCCCTCGGGTACGCTCTTTATAGAAACCCAGTATTCCAGTTGTGTGAAGTGTCATAGGTATTAAACGCAAACTTTAACGATTTGAATAAATATATTCAGCATAGAATAAATTTATTCAATAATTTATTTTATTGAAGTCCCGCCTGTGTTGATTGGCCAAAAATCATAAATGTGTCGACGCATGAGGCCATAGAAGCAAACTCAGTCATAGGCTTACCCAAACCGTGGTAGGTAAAATAAGTTATGAATTTTGATAATACTTAAGTATAAGAAGTACCAAGTAGACATCAGGTCTCATGTGAATTTAAAGCCAGCAAACCAAGTTATTTTTTATAAGAATTTAAATACTGCCAAAGGAAGACATTATGTTATAATTCAAGATACAATATTATCTAAACTTGGGTAAAATGTTTTTATAATAAATACATAATATGTCTTTTATCCAAAAACCTAATTTTTACATTGTTACGCAAATGGTTGTCATTAGGTCTGTTTCAATTTTCAAATATTTAAGGTATTATGTTAATAGTTACACAACGATCATTGATCAGAGATAAAAATAAAAAATTACTTTTACTAAGATGCATTTTGTTTTAAAAAGGAAATGTTTTTAAATTTACGTTATTTTGTATAAAAAAGTGTTTTGCATTGCATTTTGATAAATTCAACAATCGCATTGTAACTAAACTTACATATTGATACAACTTATGACTTAGAAATTTCTTCAATTTAATAATTTAATTAATACCTACGTCTTATTTATTTATCGTACTTTGATACTTTTATTTTGAGACATCTCTGAATAATGAATATAATACACAATATAGGTGCCAACGTAATATTATTTTTACATACTTTTGAACAAGTATTTTGCGGTTTGCCTAATTAGGCGATATCGATCCACATAAGTTGTCGATAAGAACTAACGCGGAAATACATATTATTAGAATAGCAATTACTAATTAGTAAAGTATTTTGATATTGATAAAAAAAATCAAATTTATATTATACTGTCACATGACCTGACCAAAAATCGAATACAACGCAAACGAGTCGTGTAAGGTTTGTATAGTCGGTGTCGGGCTTACGTTGTCGGCACGGCGCTCACACGCCGGTGGCCGCCAACTGACACCACAGCGTTTCTCGGGTCGGGCGGCGACGGCCGCCAGGCTTGTATATATTCGCGCTATGGGCAAGCCGGCAGTCGGCAGAGGCAAAAGAAGTGTGGAGGAACGACGCGCGGTGGGAGTAGGTCTCAGACAGCTTCGGGCGGCGGCACATTTGTGTCTGAACCACTACCCGCCGCCGCGAATACCACCGCCAGCACCACCGCGGACGTGCGTCTTTACCGGCACAGACTATAAGCGTGTACCACGTTGTATATTTATTATATACACATACCATAGAACGCGGCGGTAAATCTGCTATTAGCCGCCCGAAGCCTAATCGGCAAACCAGCCGTTGGTATTCATCATTCGTAAACGACGACGGCACACCGTAAAGTCCTTCATATCCGTTGTTAACTGCAGCGTAACTTATGCCTAGTTTTTAGGTAAAAATTAAAATTATTTGTTTTATTATAGCCACCCATTCCGTATCGATGTTGCCTCTTTTTATTTTAGCCCCTCGAAATGTATACATAAAATCATATAAACACATTTTTTTATTTTAAGAGTGATAATGAGAGAAAAGGACGAGCAAAAAAAAATTAAAGCTGTATCGTGCGTGCGGTGCGTGGTCCGATCGATCGAGGCGCCATCGACGGTAGCGTGCTTTTGGCCCGTCTGCTGGTCGTCGTGCCGTGTAATTATCAAACGCCGTCGAACCGCTACCGTAGTCCTCTACCTCACCGCACCACCTTCCCGCCACCAACGCAAAAAAATACACGCATAACCGGCCCCGGAGGCACATTGCTTATTGCTCTCCCACAAGTATTATTTAAGCGAACGCCTACGCGACCGTGCGTCTCGTTTGCGTCCTGCGGCTTGAAGTAATCAAAAACTTAACTACGAAGGAAATAAAAAATAAAAATACATGACCACGCATTTCGACGTGAGTAACTTACGCGCATCCCTGAAAAATTGTACTTACTCTCAGCGGCGAAAGCAAATGGGGTCCCCTTGTACCCTCTAATTTAGTATTTAGACGTGTATCAGTTGGCCATTACAAAAGGAATGTACATAGGTAACTAACAAGCCAAACGAACTATTTATTAAGGAGTAAAAACAAGTTTTGATAAACGTTGACCACACGCTATCAATACAATATAAGGCCATAACTTGAAATTTGCCAATTTGAGACAAATGACTTTATAATTTAGAAGGTAGATGATGATGAAGAGTGGCAAAGGTGCATACTTCATCAGATATATTTGTTATATTTATTTAAAAATAATTATAATTTTACGGAAATTACCCTGTAAAAATCAAGAGCCCTATTTAAAAAGCTATGTTTTCAAGTTAGGGCTTTATTGTATAGTACCAAGCCAAATTTAGTACATTCATGTATTAAAAAAACAAAGCTATATTGAATATTGATATTTTTTTTCATCTTTAATATAACAGTCAGGCCCTACTTGTGTGTTATTTTTGTATCCAAAACACGTTTCGAAGAATTTTTCTGGGAAATATAATAATGATTGCTTAGTCAACGATATTCTGTGAGCATTATATAGCAATATATTTTTGTTTTAAACATTTTTTTTATTCCTCGTAACAGATTTTACTAAAGTCTGCAACCACGAAAGAGCATTTACATGTCTCGTTGTAGTACCGAGATAAATTTAGAGTAGTGGTGGAATTATAAATAATGATGTAGTATACTAAGAAGCAGTAACAAGCTAGTATATTAAAACATCAAGTTTCTGGCTAATATTGTAGTGTTTAATATTTGGCTTAAAACAATTCATAGAGAATTTGGGCCCTTAAACTGTTTTGAATTTATTATTTAGTTCTAATTTGAACGTTGAACGTACAACATATCTCTTATCTCTTATCTCCCATATCCTTACCTATCCCCTACCCACTAGCTCCCATCCCCTATCTTCTACCCTTATCTCCCATCCCCTATCTGCCACCGAGATACTGATTCGTTACGCTTTTTTCGGTTATGTGCCAGAGCTAAGACATGTAAATGTCAAAAAACCGAATCAATAACCTTTTTAGCTTTTTCCTTGTTTTATTTTCGGGCTGAAAACAGGTTTTAAACATTTTGGCTTTTAGTTTAAGAACGTTTTTACAATTATTTTTTTTGGTTTTGACTGCTATTAACCAGGTTTAAGCCACTACTGAAGAAAATAATATTTTATTTATTTTACAAATGTAATAATATAAACTTTAAACTCTGTCTGACGACTCGGCACGTTTAAATATAAAACAAATAAAATTAATAATTATACATAACTCATAAGTCTAAAGAAGAAATTGTTATAGTCGAGAGAACGAAAAGTAGCCGCTGATACGCACACCCCTACCGGCGGATTTTCGCCAGTGCACCGCAAATTAGTTAAAAAAAGAGCGGGCATTTTGAATTATATGTTATGCATATATCATTATGCACAATTATTATTTTTTCTTTATCAATTTTTAAACAATAACATTTTAAGCTCACACCTTTTCTTAGCTCTTATCGATGTTTCATATTTGTACCATCTTAAGATTAGCATCAAAGCATTTAATCACTTTTTGTTAAAATAACTCCTTAAGACCTTCCAGTTCGTAATATGCTCCGTCCCCTATGTGCTGGCTTTTTATTTTAATTTGTTATACAATTGTAAATAAAATTATAATATGTAAGTATATATAATATAACTATACAAATTGTATAGTTTCAAGGTGAATTAAAAAATTCACATTTTTTTTCATAGCAATTACAAAAATAAACACTAATTAGTGTTGACTTTTGCTCAACAAAGATTATTTTCATGGTATTATTGTTATTTACTATTTATTAAGTTAATATACATCACCGATTAATAAGTTTTTAGTAATAATTTCGTTTTCAAAATATTTGAACAAATTTGTAATTATCCTGAATTTCTTACTGACAGACTATAAATTTGTGTTTTAAAAGGAAAACCTTGAAAATGGGTAACGCGAGGAGTGACTAAAGCTACTAAATTTAAATTTTAGCCGAGTCAGGCTTTTCCAGGCCTCTAAAATTGTGCAAGTCGACGATCATGGAATATCATCTCAGTGCTCGATGAATTTTGAACAAATTTGATAAAACAAATAATTTTTATAATATCTATTATACTTATTATACGTGTAATTTGTTTTTATATATACACTTATACTTTACTACAACGGTTATTTTTATTTATAGACATTGTCGTAGAGTATCCTTATCGCAGTATATATATAATAAATGGTATAAACAAATATTTTTTTTTGTGTGACAGCTATATATATATTTGAGTTTTATAATAACTTAATTTATTAATTATTTACCATAAAAATAGTTTTAGTAATTGTATTCTTGTTATTGTTACTTATTATTCATTTATACACGTGTATATTATTGTCTATGCAAGCTATTTTGAATTTCTACCTTAAATCTAACATACAATTTTAAATATAGTTCATGTATATTTTATCATCACTGCTCTATTCAGGAAAAAAAATATGTTTGATTTTTAATAAGTTTACTGTAACCAGTGTCAGTCATCTGTGTAATAAATTATCGTTAAAAAAAGTATTTATTTTTATTCTCGTTTTCTTATATATTTTGTGTAAGTAATAACTTCATGAAAGTAACGAGAAAATAAATATCCTATAATGATCTCTTTGTCATTTGTTAAATCAACATTACAACATATATTATATAAGTAATTAGTTGCATTATAATTTAAAATTGTTTGATTTTCATTTAAAAAAAAAAAAGAGTACGCATATAAAAATAGTATAAATATACACTTATATATTTTAATTTAAATTTAATTTAATAGACATCTCATACATCTAACAAAAATAAATCATTGATAGTAAGTACTATTGTTATTAAAATCAATGGTAAAAAATTATAAATACATAAAAAACAGTTAGTTATTTGTACGTAGTTCAAATAAGTTTTAAAATGGTTTTTGAATGTATATAAATAATTTTTCTTTGGGAAATGTTTAAACACATTGAAATGTATTATGGAAATTGTTAAAAACTTAATTTTATACATGAGCTCCAATCAATAAAGTAAAAACTTAACGAATCGCAAAATTCTCGATTAATTTTCCATAAAAAGTGTAAGTTTATATACTGTTATTTTCCGTCTTTATCATACTTTTAATTTAATGGTTAATTTATAAACCCATCAAAATATTACTACTAAATTATTAGAAAAAAAATTGTTACGAATAAAATTTTTTTTTTTTTTAAATACTTAACACTATTAATACCAAGTGTTCCCAGCCTTAACAATGCAAATAAATTGGGGCCAACTGAATAGATGATGGTGTACACATATTCGTTAGTTAGTTTAAGAATGGTTTTTGTCCACAGTGTAACAGTTGTTGGATATCTCGTAGTGTCTAATGAAATTGGTTGAATTGTGATGTATTATCTTGTCATTGTAGACAAACACAAGTATCTGTAGTTTTAGTGGGTTAGAAAATCGTTTAAATTTGTTGTGTGTTCTATGTACTGTCCTGAAATCATAAAGGAAACAAAATGTAAACCCTAAATCACAGTCATTGGAAAAATAAAATTCTACTTGTAACCAATATACTACATTCAATATTATTTCAAGGTATTTAACGTAATAAACAAACCAGTAGATATTTCAATACCTGCATTATATATTTTAAAAGTTTATAACCGAGTTAGTATGTACGAATCGTGAAAACTATTTACTACTTGCTACATCATAACTACACATAGTAAAAAAAAATTAAATATTGAATACTTAAGCCAAGAGAGGAAAATAAACAGTTAACACTTTGAAGATGAATCATGTGTCTAACACGTGATTCTATTCCTTGATTATTCCTTTCTGGAAAAAATTCCTCGACTTCAGTGTTAAAACATTTTTATAAATGCAAATTTGTAAAGTTTAAAAAAATAAAAACTAGTATGTTTTATAATTAGTTGTGATTAGTTGTTTGGTGAATAAATTAGTAGTTAGGTACAAATATTAAATTCAAGTTTAAGTTCGTAAGTAAAAAAAAACAGTTATAACTTATATTAGTGTTAACATAAAAGAAAAACCTTTAAGTAATGTCAAGTATTTGTTAAAAAATAAAAAAATAATTGTTTACATCCAATATAGTCTATTACCATCATTAGAATTAAATAAATAAACATATTTAACAAACATAAGAACCAAAGTTTGAAAAAAACACGTTTATGGAAATCATTCTTTTTTCATTCACCGAGTTCTTGAACATGTTCATAAACAAGCTAAAGAGCTTGTCTAAAATGTTTTAAATGCTTAAAACATTTTTTTTTGATAATCGTTAAATATTTGTGTCTTGTTAATTTTATGTGCCACACAATGATTACATTTAATATCATTATATCATAGTATAAATCTATTATTGGTTTTGATTAAAAAATAAAAAATACTTTTTTAGCTTCTCATCAAAGCTAAAAAATTAACAACTAGATGAATTCGTTAACAAGATCATTTTAAAATTAAGTTACGTAAAAGTAAACGCATTGAACATTTGTTTTTTTTGGATTTAATACGAACGCAAACTTTTACGTTTAATGGACGTTTAAAATGCTATTAAGATTGTTACAATGTTTGACACTAGACCAAAAATGATTACACAAATCCTAATAATTATAAAATATTAAAAAATGCCAGAGTAACTAAACAAATATATAAAAAGTACTTAAAAGCTTTGTAAAATAGTTGGTAATTAAAATAATACTGTTTGTAATGAAATACAATAAATTTGCAACCAACAATAAAGTCAACATGATTCGTGTTCAAACGCGTTCTTACAGAAAATTAAAGATAGGACCTAAACAGAACTCAATTTTTAGGTTCCATTTCTTTACAATCTGAAAATAAAATTTGCCAATCTCTTAACTCAAGCTCTTAAGTTTTTGCTTATCACGAGGAGATATTAGAATTTAAAACATAATTTTAAAACTATACATAGTATAAAACTGTATAAAATTTAATGACTAAAACATTTCTTATTGACATTTTAATTATTTACAGTATGATAAGTGAAATGTACTTACTTCTTTGAATTATACAGTTTCTTGTTTCAATCGTTTACGGTTTGGTTCTCTTGGTTCAGCTTCCATGACTTTCAAACGGCTATTGTATAGTTTATTGTCGTTTAGGTACTACAAAATGATAAAAAAATCAATTTAGACCAAGTCAAAAATGTATAAAGAACTGTTTTTGAATGCATAAAATATTACGTCGATAGCTCGTGTTGCACTTTCCGGGTTGTCATATGTGACATAGCCATAATTCTTGCCGTCGATTACGTTAATATTTCTCAGCCCTTTGAACATTCTAAACGTCTCGTCTAATAACCTCACTGATGGAATAACTGGTTTACATACAAAAAATAATCTGCACAAATACATTTACAAATAAATAGATGTATTAAGGTTATCCTTTTTTAATTTTAGTCAACGTCCCCCAAAAGACTCCAAATTGTAAATAAATATTCCTCTACATATTTGTATTTTGATCTTTTTTAGCGGATTAACAACCGAATCTCAACAATATTTTAAAATATTCTTCATTTAAAAATCTACAGCAAAATGTTAATGAATTTTAGATTATCTCATAAATTAAAAAGTTGTCATAAAAACACATGGCTGCAATATAAGCATTGTGATTCGGTTGTGAATCTACTTAAAAGATATTTTATATCGGCGGAAAAGCTGTAAAGGCTTCTCGTTGGAATAGAAGGGCGAAAGAAGGAAAATAAAAATACAACATATATAGAGGACATTTTTTTCACAATTTGAAGCTTTTCTAGGGGGCGTTGACAAAATAAAGACCACTCTAATATATATATTAGACTGCCTCAGAAAAAAAAAGTTTGCTGCCCTCTGAATCATTTTTATTTAGAGAAGAAATGATTAAAATTGTCATACTTGAAAACTTATAAATTATTTTTCAATTAAAAAAAAAAAATTTCTGAAAGCTGACACTTTCACCTTCAGAATGCTTTAGAGATACATATAAATACATTTTTAGTCATTGTTTATTGTTGAACTGACTAACTTTAAGTGATTGTAACTAGCTAAAATGTTACAAATGTACTACATATTTAAAAGGTACAAATCAGCTTACAGAATCTTTTTTTAAGCTTAAAAAATATTTATAAGTTGAAGTTATGAACATTTTAATGAAGAATGTATTTTTTATGTGTTAATTAAATAGGTAAAATATAACTCTATAGGAATCACTTACAAGTTGTCCTAGAATAATGAAATTTTTAACATTTCATTTTTTTGACAAATAAAAATGATTCATACATATATGATAATCGAAAAAGCTAGCAGACACAATACCTAAATATATTATCGGGCGATTGCAAAAGAGGTATTTCACTTCTTCTTTTAGGTGCTGAAGGTGAATTGTACTCATCTGGTATCTTAAATCTTTCGGCTAAACAACAAGAATATTGTATTTCAATTAAACGTTTTGAGACATTTTATTTTAAATATTTTTCAGCATGTTTACCGGTTTCTTTAATCACAGCTAAAGCTTTATTTACAGTACTAGAGAGTACCTCTATGTCCTTTGTTATCTTACTAGCAACTAATGGATCTACTGCAGACGGAATTGATCTATTTCATAACATATTACCAAATTATAATTATTTTGATATATATTTTTCATAAGGTTGTTTTTTAAACTGATTAATCAAATAGTTTGAATTATCTCAATTATTCAAATCAATTATATGAATAGTTTGGCTTAAGGATGTGCAATATTTTTTTTATCTGATTGATTGTGATTTTAGGTATTTAATCGAAAAATCAATTAGTTGCACAACAACCAATCAGCTGAATGTGTTAAAGAATTCATGGATTGAAATATTATGTGGATAATTTTCTAATGTATCTAATTATTTATGGATTTAAAGGATTCAATAACTGGAGTGATATGTGGCAGAATAGTAGCTTTTTATAAGTGGAGGCAAAATACCGACTACTAAATAAGTTGACATTACTTTGACCGTGATAGCTACCTCCTGATTAAAGGATACTGAGTTTAGGAGACCATTGAAACGTTTCATATTTTTTATGGAACTCCAAAATTGTTAGATTTAAGTGAATTTAAAATATTTCGTAAATAGCAATTGTGATCTTGATTACTACGCAGTTTCTATTGGGCTTGAAAAGAGGAGACATTTTTACAATCAATTGGATATTTAATAGATTAGTTTAATAAGCAATATTATAGATACATCATTACTCTTACTGAAAAAATTACTCCAATTAAATAATTGAAAATAACTTATTATCAATTATCGATAATTTGTATTTAAAAGAAGACTGATAAAGGGGATCTAAAGAATTTGTTTAATCAGTTTTAGAGCACATGATCATACATAATTAATAGTTTCTAATTAGATAATTTATAGTAATTATTCCTTGTTATAAAAATATTCTGTAATCTTTTTTTTTACTTAATAACAACTAATCATTTGTATTATATTAAAAAAAATAAGTCTAATAGTACAGTTTTTTAATAGTTATTCGTAGTGCTACAAAATAAATAAACACTTTAAATTTTGAAACAAAAAAATACTCACAGCGAAGTGCTACTACTAAACTCCAACATTATAGGATGACCAGGGGGATATTCAAATCCGTTTATTCTGTTAACTGCATGATCAGCAGCAGATGCTGTATTATACACTACTTGAAACATTTTTTTTTCATAGCCTTGCTGCAGAAAAAAAATAATTGATCAATATTATTTTTCCTTAGTTGCACAATTTGACTGTGCTCAGAAAAAACGTGCTAATTCAAAAATGGGTTTATTACATATTAGATTAAAAAAAGTCATACAATTTTATTAGTCATTATACTTTTGTCAATTTATATTTTTATTTTATACAGCTTACATTTTTAGTTTTAAATTTTGAATACTAAACATTTAAAATTTCAGACTTTGCACATTTTTCCTAAGCATCTTTGAATTATTTAAAGTCAGGTAAATAACTATAATTTACTTGTCTTGGCAGTTCCTTCACTTGTTCCAATTCAGGTGCAATATTAAGTATTCTATATAATTCATTGTAAGTAACAATTGGTGATGTATATGCATTTAATATAATAGGATCATCCCGGCGAGAAAGAGAAGACGGTGCGAGTAGAGCATAGTTACTTGCTACATCTAAAATTATTAGTTTTATAAATTATTTAATAACATAATAATATTAATTGAAATCACTTTTAGAATCGGAATGTCTATTATAAGTTTGAGTTGGGTATGCAGAAGGACCATCTTCATGTTTTGGTTTGGCAAAAACTGCTTTGTAGTTTGATCCACATTGTTCAATGGCAAGAGCAGCTGATGAAGCTCTATACAATTACACAAAATAATGGTTATTCGAATGGTATTATTTTAGAACAAAAGCTCAGAATTACTTATTAAATGTAATAAAAGCAATCCCTTTAGACTCTCCTGAATCTTTATTAGTGACAATGTGAACTTTGGACACATCTCCGTATTGGCTAAAATAATTTTCTAAATCTGGTTCTTTTTCTGATTTTGGTACAAATACAAACAATCTATTGTATTCCATTTCTGAAGTGCTTCTGGTTTGTCCGGGACTGTAAAGTTATTATACAATTCTAATTTATTAGCTCTATATCAGTTATGTAAAAAACAAAAATATATATTTACCTTGTTGCCATTAATACTTTCATACGACGATGTGTGGACTCCATTTTGTAACCATTCATTTCCTCAATAGCTTTGAAAGCTTCTGACGCTTTTGAATATTTAATATAAGCAACACCTGTTCGAAAAACATCACATAAATCTTTTAATATATTATTTTAGAGATCAGTTAGATTTATACATTAATATAAATATCATGATATTAAACTATTAACTATAAATTGAGATGTAAAAAACTAAAAAATATATAAACATTTGTAAGCCAAAAAAAAAATGAATAAGAATATTACTATTTAATACTAATCAACTATTTAAAAACAAATATAAAAACCAGAAGTTTTAAAAAATCATAATTTAGTGTTATTTTTTAAAAAGTTATTTATAAATAATACATTTATATTTTTTAAATTATTAATTAATGTCTATTATATTTAACAATATAATAATTTTAGAAAACTTAGACTTGGGCACTTTAATGTAGTTTTTAATTTTATTGGCTTTTGACTGATCGTTACTAAAGCATTATATCATACCTTTAACACTGTCATTGTTGCGATCCTTTACTATGTAAATATTTTGCACAACTCCAAATTTGCCAAACATGTCACTGAATTCATTCTCTGATATTGGATTGTTTTTGTCGTATAGAACAAATATTCTTGAATTTTCTGGCTCATTGGTATCATTTTGTTCATCCTTCATTTTAATAATAAGTTAAAAAAATTGTCCACTATTTTAAACAATCATATATCACGAGCAATTTTGAGATCAATAATATATAACGAACGAAATTTATATAAGAGTCCCCAACGCTATCCTGGGACCTGGCTACCGAGTTTTGACTTTCGAGTCTCCAAATATTTTATGTGGCGATTGTCGTCCACTATCATTCTTATCTTAGAAAAAACAGTGTGGCCAAAGTATTGATAGAAGATACGTTGTTATATTTTGTCAAGATCTCTCATCTCACGATTGATAGCGAATTAGTATTTAGGATACAATCAAAGAATAGAAATTAACCAAATTTAATTTTAATATTATTATTGTAATAAATAACAGATTTTATCCAGCTTGTGTCCTGTAAAAAATTTTTTGCTCTTGCCAGTTACTTATTGACGTACCCCAGGGGGGTAGGTTTCAATTATGGATACTAAAATAAAGCCTAGGAGGCAGTGCGGAATAGATTGGAAGCTCATAAGTTAATCGCTGTTATATAGAGGACTATTACAAAGAGGACTGATTTTTTAGTAATTAGGCCAGATTGTATTACAATTGGCCAACATTTTCTAAAATAAGGGTTACCATTCAGTAAATATTTTTATAAGTTGGCATAGGTAAGTAGGAATATCAAGACTTATAAATGTTTTCTCGAAGTTAAAAAAACGTTTTGTTTGTAATTGTTTAATAACAACTAAAAAAGTACGATATTTTATCATACAAATTAAATTTATATTTGCCCCATTTGTTTAAAATATAAGTACAATTATTTTCCTTCAACCGGGTTTCACTCGTTACCAACAATTCATCATCATTCGCATAAGGTCATACTCCATTTACACATCTATATATCACACGTCATCACATCTAAAGATATATCTCATTACAAAAGAATCTCGTCCAATATGTGAACAATGTACACACCTCCACCTCTGCATCTACCACTCTCAATTGCATATGGTCACGTAATGCCCTAAATTTCAAAACTCGAGAACCACACTAAACATAGTACTATTAATGGAAGTAACAAATCCTTATTAATAAAATATAATGTAAATAAATTGTAAAAACAACCTAAAGAAATAAGAAATAGCAGCATTGCAACCGAAGTAATCTTATACGCTAAAAAGCATAGGTATTATTATTTTTTGTGATAAGTTTTTTTTTTAATATTTAAATTTTTTTACCATATATTACGCAACCACGAATGTTGCTGGAGTTTTTTTCTATAAAACAACTTATGTCATAAATATCCTAGGCTAACCTTTGCTGTTGAAGTTTAAAGCCGTATTACAAAACAAACAGTTTTTTAAAAATGATTCCAATTTGAAATAATACGTTTTACTGCAGTGCTATACTTTTAAAAATTACTCGACCCACAACCAAACATTTCGAAAAGTAACTGTTTTTTGTTAATTTAAATTAAAAATAATAAATCAATTAAAGATTAATCTAGGTAAATGCACGCTCGAAATAAATAAATAACCACGTGGATGATTTTCAGATATATCCGTGTCAATGATTTATTCTGAAAACTTAAAAAAAACAATTATACAATTTTTTACTGGAAGATGTTTTATTAAATATTATTATTTAATAAATTATTTTAACAATAAACCGGAAATCGCTATCTCAGGTGTAAAAAAACTATGAGTGGTCTATAAAAGTTAAATAAAACTCAGTTAATTTTTTCGAATAAGTAGTTTCTAAATTAAACAAAAAACCAATAAGAGGGAAGGAATATTGTATATTAACTATCATCATTTATTTTTTAAATAGGAAAGATCAATGCGATTTTTCAAAATGTAAGCATATTTGATCGAAGTTGAATACTCGTAATAACTCATTGTGTTCTAGTGAAACGTATTATTATTATATTTTCAAAAGAAAATAATTTTCTTAATATATTGTATATATGTATCTAAGTTTACAGGTAGAAAAATTGATAGTTCTATTTTTTTTTTTTTAAAGATTTCTACTTACTATTCTCAACCACAATCCGTCGGCGGCTACTTCGATATAATTAACAAAAAATTCGCTGTAACCATTGATTTATATCTAATAGTATAATTTACATAGACAAATAATGTAGGTTTATACCGGTAGATACTTGGAAACGAGAGAGAAAAAAAGCGTTACAGCTCGGTAACGGTTAGAACGGCACTTTGCATTAAACGGAGGAGCCGGGAGCTTATCTAACTTTTCGTGCCATGCGGGAAAATTTGACTGTTTAGTGTTTACTACAATATAATACTACAACATAATTTTAAAATAACTCTTCGACCTGTCGGTCAGCTACCGTGTGAACGGGGCCTTGATTTCATAGATTCATTTCTCACAAAGTAACTCATTATCTCAATACAACGAACACGTTACGGACCAAGCACGCGTGAAGAAACAAATATACCTATATTGTATACTGTGATGTATCATGTAGGGAAGTCTTCGATATCATAATATCACAGTGACGCTTCATGACTAAAATTATTTTATTTTAAGTAAAAATATCTGAGCTATCACATTTGAAATTAATATGTAAAAATGAAGGTATATGATGGTAACGTGTTATGAAACACCGCATATTCGTGTTTTTTTTTTGTTATAACTCAAAAAGTAAATACGGCGGTTAAAACTGATAAACTCATTAGTTTACCTGTTCTGTATTGAAACTGGTATTAGTAATTTTTTTTCCGTGTGCGGTGTGATCCTTGTTTGATCGATGTTGTCGCATTGAGGTAGTACACAAATGACATTTTTAAGTTAGATGTGTATATTATAGTTTTGGTAACTAAAAAAAATGGTACCACCTAATCCGGTATAAAAATGATTAGAAGACGAGTAAATAAAAACGTTAGATCTAAACAATTTACAAAATAATATAATAAATGTGTAAACTGAAAATAATACCGAGATGGATAATGTTGAGGTTAAGTTTTAAGAAACCCACTGATTAGTACCCACTCCAAACAAAATGGTGGTTAAAATGTTACTGCCTCGAAAAATACACGACACATCATTGTAAATGTATTTAGTATTAATTATGCTGACGAAGTATGAAATTTCAACTGAATCATCATTGGTCAACTACAGTTAACAAAATATTTAGTTTTTGTGCATTAAATGATTTGTCACGTTTGCCATTTTTCAAAATAACTTTGGGAGCCTCTATTATTAGTATGAGTATACGTCATCTGAATATGGTATACCTGAGCCTCCCTCAAATTATTACGGACGCCAAACCACCCATTTATTAAGCAGTATAAAATTAGAAATGTATTGCAAAATATTAATTCAGAGTTTGAATGCTAATTTTTTTTTTCAAACTATCAGTAATTTCTTTAGGATAAATCACAATTTTTTTCTCATCATAACTGCTTTGCGCGGGAAAAGTATGTGAGGCTCTCGCCAGAATAAACGTTTTTTCACGTTTCCTCGTTTTAGACGTACCTATAGTCTATTTATTAGTTTTATAGAGTAGAACTTTATCTAAGCCATAGCGTTTTAATTACTTTGATATCTATACTCACTATTTTTTCATAAACAATTGAAAAACAATGATTCTTTAAAAAACGAATAATTTTTATTGTTTATCAAAAAAATTAAAATGCTACTATATTGATAAGTTTTTCTCTATACATTGTAAACATTTTATAAGGCTATTATAAATATTGCACGCACATACCACATACTTGTCCCGCGCACAAGTTACGGCTGAAATACGCATGGTTTCGCGTCCTCAGAATTTTAGTAACTAAACAACATATTAATATATTATCTATGAGCTCAATGATAATACCATGATTCATGAAGACACTTCATGGATTACAACTTAATTATTCTACTATCACAGTTAGGTTTGTTACAATTTTCACAAATGAATTACCCGGACAAACTTTTTTACCTATTGGCTAATAGTCTATTCCTCACAAAAAATGGAATGTCACTTCACAAATTGTATCAAAATTTAAGTGACAAGTCATTACAGTTTTTTTTTTGTAAAATTATTGCTATTGTTGAAGTTTAAATCATCAATTCCCTTATCACAAAAATTTCAACCGTTAACAGATTATTGATAACATTTAAAAAAGTAAACAGTAATAATACATTTTTGTATTTACTATTAAGTAATATGAGAATTGGGATTACATTTATAAAAAAATATAATGTTTACCAATCATTATTATTTTTATGGAGTTGAGAGTATTTTATTTAATTCGACGTTTTAAATCTAAAATTTTGTGAAATAATTTTTTATATTTATCACAGTGTAACAATAAATAGCTCTTTTTTTTTAAATCATTGAATCAATAGTAAGTATTGTTTTTTATCTAAACGTCATACATTGAAAAATAACATGTAAATAAAAGTAATATAAAACAATTGTGTAATTTAAGTAGAGAGAATAAGCTAGGCTAGGAAAGTTTGAGCGTGAAGAGAGAAAAAGATCAAGATAGTACATGGTAGAAATAAGCTAAATTGATCATAAGTAAAGAAATAGCTTCAACATCCCATGTAGGGATTATCTGATGAATTTGAATACCCAAGATTGATGCTTCAGTTTGTCACCAATTCTTTTTCACTAGACGGTTTCCTGGCTTCTGCCCAGTAAACACTCACTTTCGGAAATTTTTACAATATGTCGAAAATGGATCATTTGTCAACATCATCATTTCAAACACATATAAAGAATTTTATTCTAGCTGCTAAAAAGTATTCAAATTGTCGCGATGATCCATCATCAAATGGTCTATTATGTGCTCTAAAAGTAATTCATAAATATTTAATATTACTAGTTTTAATTATTTCATTATTGTTGTGTACATGTTGTTTATTGATTTGTTAGATACTTGGTCAGCCTTCTGATCAATTTTTACTCAATGTTGCTGGTACATTAGAACAAGAATTTTTTATTAACTTGTATGAACTTATGAATGAAATCAATGACAATTCTGAAATAATTTGGGCTGCTATTAATGTTTTACAAGTAATAATCAAGCAGGAATTCACAGAACCTTCAATCATACATAAATACAATTTTACGTTAATTCTGACCAAAGTTCTCAAGGATCAATTATCATTAGATCGAAAAATTAAAGTGCTTAAATTACTGCAAGTAAATGTTTCTTAATTATAAATATATATATATATATAATTTTAATTATTAATAAATGTAATTTTTATTTGTTTCAAGGAATTGACTTACGGTCAGAAAACGCAATGGCAAGAAAGTTACTTGCCTGAATTAATTTCTTTATTGGTAAAGTGGATATCAAATAACGATAAAGATTTGGTATCGTTTTCTTTAGGTGTTCTAGTTAATGTGTGTTGTAAAAACAAGCTTGCAATGTTTACTTTAGTGAAATGCACAGATTCTAAATCTTTTATGCGTTTGCTTTTAAAAATTCAATCCAACAACATTTTTATTAGAGTTCAAGTTTATAAATTATTATTGGTTTTGGAGCAAGTTTCTGGCCAAGTACCACATGTAGATGTCAATCATTTTATTGATGTAACCTTTGCCGTTTTAGAAGAAGGATTGAAATTACAAAATGTCTGTGTTTTACGCCATGTTGTAGATTTTTTTGTTGATATATGTGATCATTCACATTGGAAAGATTCGGTTGTAACATATTCTAAGTAAGATAAAACATAATCTAGTGCAATTAATATTTCAATTATATTACATACTTTGTTCTAGTTACAAATCAAAACTAACAAGTTTATTACAAATTATGAAAAATGCTGAAAATCGTGATAGTTTTCAAAATGGAAACAATACTACTTTGCAATGTGTTCATTTGGTTTTACAATTTATTCATTATGTTATTCAGTTAAAAATTGGAATTGCGGATATTTTATATCCTGATATTATATTGCATATAAGTTACTGGGCTCAATTTGATGAACTCTGTACGATAACATTGCCAATTCTGCAAAGTATCACGTATGATATTCGAAATCGAAACAGTTCAATAGAATTAAATCTTCTGAACAGCGTCAATTCCAAACTCGAGCAAAGCTTAAATGTAATTATTATTTTTAAAATTATTTTTCTATGAGAATAATAATACTTTATTATCTATATTTTTAGGTACTATTTAATTTGTTCGATAATAACAGTAATTTAGAGATTTCGTGCAATAACAAAACATGGGAAAAGTATACAGTATGCTTTCGACTTTTGCAAGAGATGTTAAAGTTACGTAATTTGTATGAAAAAATTGATGATAAACTTAATTGTTCTGTAAGTACTGCTAAATAAAGCATGTGTTAAATTAATTGTTTTAGATTAATTTTTATTATTTTTACAGTCCCTACAATTATTATTTCATTCATTGATGTTAGTTGATATAAAGATTCCGTGCAATTTAGAAAATATTCAATTTGTTTACGTAGAAGCCCTTTGCCTTCTATCAGATTTAGTTAATAAAAATCCAAAATGGATGAGTTTATATTCAGAAGTATTGAATCAAAAACATGTTTATTACATACTAGCGTTTGTTATCTATAACGGTTCCAAAAAAATGAAACAAAGAGTTCTGGATTTAATTACTAAATTTTCACAGCAGAGGTAAATAAAATAGTACTTTTTAATAACATTATAACATATAATTTTATGGGAATAGTACTTTTCAGCATGGCCGTTAAGGGAAAATGACATTTCAGTGCTGGTCATAACGGCATTAGCTATTATCATGCATACATTGTATAAAAGGAGTCCTTTATTCTACAAATACTTAATTTGGAATTAGTATGAATTTGTAAAGCCATTTACAAACTGATATATATATATATATATATATATATATATATATATGGTTAAAAAAACCTTACTTTAGAATTTTGTTTGCAGCACCTCCCCATTTTTTTCTATAATATAAAAAAATAATTTTGTGAAAATTTGGGTTCGATTACTTAACCCTTTCACGTGCTGCATCAAGATTGAAGTTTTTCTAAAGAGGGTCCTGAAAATTTCAACCCCAGTGTGATATATATAAAAATATTAGACTTTATAATAATATTGATATAGTTATGGTTTTGCAATTATTTTAGTACTCTAATGTTGTCTGAATGTCTGGAAGAACTTAATCAAATACCACAAAAACAAATAAACTCATATTCATCAGACATCGAAATGAAACCGTTATGTACTTTAGCTCAAGAAAACCAGATACAAACATACATCAATCAGTTAGATAATATGTTTACTTGTGATAATGTAAGATATTCTATTAAGTTTTAACAATTGAACTATTTCAATACCTAATAAAAAAAGTTTACTTAAAAAAAGGGAATAACTTTTATTTTATTCAACTATAAAAATGTATTATAACTGTTAACTCCTTTAAAATTTAATTTCTGTGTACAATTTTAGATTCAAAATGTAACTACAAGTCGTGTTATACAGTTGTATCAGAGCAAAGTGAATTTGATACAGCATTCAGAAAGTTGGTTAAAGCAAAGCTTAAATAATGCTTCTAAAGAAATTACACATTTAAACCATAAAATAGTAGGCTTACACAATGAGTCTTCACAACTGCACCATATCTTACTAGAAAGCCATCAATCAATTGATGCATTAACTATGGAAAATAATGAACTAAAATATAAGTTTAATAAACTTACCGAACAACTTTCTATTGCCAATAATAATTTAGCAAATGTAATCTAAATACTAGTTAAATTATTATCACATGTTCATTACAAATGCTATTTTTTTGTAGTTGACTCAAAATTATGAATCAAAACGTCAAATGATCAAAGAACAAGATGAAACTATTAAAAAAATTGAAAAACAATTAGAAGAGCTGCATATAGAAAGTACCCGAATGAGAGAGGACTTATTAAATCAGTTGCAAAACGAAAAAATGGGTAAGAACTTTTATTAATTTCTTTTAATGTAAAATAATTTTTAACAAGAAGCCAATTATACTAATGGTTATTAAATTTGAAGTCTTCAATTATTCAACAAAGACAGTTTTACTACACTGGCTGTCACGAATGTGTACATTTTGAGAGTTACTACTTAAGTAATTTTCAATTAATAGGCTACTCTAATTCTCTACTATTTAATTTTGCGATTTTATCTTTTTAGAAACTAAGAAACAAGTCTCGAACTTAGAACAACAGTTGACAGAAAAACAATGTTTCATAAATGAAAAAGTCGAAGTACAAATAATTATTTACTAACTTGAGACTGCATACATTAATTAATTTATCTATTATTTATATTTTGTTGTTTATTATTTCAGGAAATTGATAGTAAGAAATCTCTTATTAAAAATTTGGAAAATAATATCTCTGATCGAGAGAAAGACATAAATGATTTACGTAAGCAACTCGAAGAACAACATAGAGTTCGGGAAATGATTAGTCAGATGTTAGCTGCTACATCCAGTAAACCTTAAATTTGTGTTAAGTGACAATGTAATTTTATTACTATAATTTTTAGTATTATTCATAACTAAAATTCAATTTTTTTTATTGTATAATTTATTTAATTTTAATTAATTATGATGTTTTATAATTGACTTGAATTTTTACTGAATCTTAATAAATTCTTTATATGTAAAGTATATATGATGTATTATATTATATATGAATGTATATTTTAGCCTAAAAATTATTACCTTTTTGGTGTTCTATAGTTAAAAATCATAATATTATTGTTAAGTTATGGGGTATTTCATTTCTTTTGCCAGTTGATAAAAACATCAAATTAATCTTGTCACAATCTAAGCGAAAATTTGTATAATATTTGTATAATTATGTTTTTACAAAGACACCAGAAAATTTTAAATGTCTATTAAATTTTCCCTGCTTTAATTCAGCACAAGTTATAACAATTCATATTATAATGCATACTAAATAAATGCCTCACATTAATCAAAGAGAGAAGTTGTTTTTAGTTTAATATTATATGTGCTAACTATGATAAGACGACATTTCAATAGTAAAATTAAGTGATGGGTAAGTAATCAACTATGTATTAACATACCTATTTTTAAGAATAAATTGCCAAGAAAGTTAACATTTGATTTAACATATTTTTGATAAGTGCTATAAGGTCACTATGTAGTATTGATACTATTGTATATTAATACCAAAGAACGGTTATGAATCAATCTGTAATGTCATACTATATTCAATTGAACATTATTCAAATAAAAACAATTATTTTATGTATTAATTGAAGCTATTTATAGGTATTGTATAATTTATAATTCTTGATTTTTTTTGTTAAGTGGTATATTTAATCTAGGGTATTTTGTATAATATTTATTATTTGGTTATTGGTTGTTCGATTATTGATCAATTTTGTTCCAAAATCTAAATAGAACAAAATAAAAACACATTTTTTTTAGAAAATTATTTTATCTAATGAATATTGAAAAAAAAAATGTTTAGTTATTTTTTATCAATGAATAACGGATCCCTAATTATTATTAGTTTATTATTATACGGAAAAATGAAAATCTTTGGACACCTGAATGTAATAAATGACAATCGGTTAAAATAGAAAAAAAATGTACCTACCAAGTCAAAAATCAGTTTACCAAACTAAAAATGTTACATGAACATTTAAGAAGCCAATGCCCAACACACGGTCTACTTTTTCTGTTCAAAATAAAAACAATATTAAAAATAAAAAAATTTCGGTTAGAAAATTAAAATTTAAAAAAAGTAGAAACAATGTGAAATACAACATCTTAAAAACGTTTAGTCATGGCGACACTGTAACATTCCATATGTTTATTATTTGCTACGCCATTATCAATATCAGTGTGTTGTAACTTGTAATCAATTATCTGAAACATCCTAATTTTTAGACCATAATTTCCATTTCAGTCTTCATAGTTTACTTTTAATACGCAATTTTTGTTTTACATTATTTTTAAATGTAGCTTAAGTGTTTTATATATATTTTTTTATAATGTTTAGAAAATACTTAAATCTTTATAATTTTGTTTGTACGCAATTCAATTAATATCAATTTGATATTGATTTTTTAAAATTTTTTTAAACTAATTATTTAAGGCTATCTCTTTTTAAATGGCGAATGAAATTGTGTATGGAACACAGGATGACAGCCACATCGTCATGTCTGAAAAGGTGCAATCATTGGCAGGCAGCATATATCAAGAGTTCGAGAAGATGATAGCCAAGTACGATGAAGAAGTGGTTAAAAACTTGATGCCTTTGGTAGTCAATGTGTTGGAGTGTTTAGACCTGTCACATACAGAAAATCAAGAACATGAAGTGGAAGTTGAGTTGTTACGTGAAGACAACGAACAACTTGTTACCCAATATGAAAGAGAGAAACAACTACGGAAATCTGCTGAGCAGGTAATGTAACAATGTCATGTAAAAATTCTACTTGTATTTTCATTTATTAGAAAGGCTATTTACTTTGCAGAAATTATTGGAAATGGATTACGAATTGGATGATTTTAAAAAAGAATACCAAAGTAAAATTGAAAGTCTAGAATCGATTGTTAGAATGCTAGAACTAAAAGCTAAGAACGCTTCGGATCATGGTAAGTTTTATCATAACATGCATTTTAGAATGTTTCAATCTTTGATCATTTTTTTCTTTTAATGTTGATGAGTGAATATTTGTTTGTTTCCTTTTGTCATAAATTATGATTAATTAAATAATTTATGATTAAATAATCATTGTTTTTGTGTTTAAATAATATTATTCAATATTGTCTTCTATTCTATGTTTTATATAATTTTATCATGGCGTTGAGGACAAAAAATTCGAACCATGTATTATTTACTTTATTATGACAATGTTAAATGGAAATTTTGACTGTTTAAATTTTAGTGAACATTTTTTTAACACCTAAAATAAAATAATTTTATTATTATAAAAAAAATCTCAATGAACAAGTAAGCACGCCGGCGGCAGAACATAACGTATTTTAGACCTATTACTTCAGTAGATAACACTTAGTATGGTTCATGAAGGTCAACTATATTTTAATTATGGACAGCAATAAAATTATAAACAATTGTGCAGCAGCTGCCGGTTGTACAGGGGTTATATGTTAAGATAAGATTCTAATTGTTAATTCTTGTATAATTTAAAAAAAATACAATTAAATTAATTACTTTGAAGATACAGTTATTGATCACATCCTGTTTTTTTATAGTCTATTATAATTCTTAATATTTTGTTTGAATGTTATTATATGTTGATTACACAAATCTTTACAAAACTAAAATATTTTCATAATAATATGTCCTAACTAGAATATTTTTCTAGGCAGCAGTTAACTAATATTTATATTAACCACTTATTAAAATAATACAATTTGTACTATCCAAAAATATTAAAAATTATTAAATTTTTATTTACTCATATAAATTTGTTTTCTTCTTAAATTGAATTTAGATAGTTTATATTAGATAGCAAAAATATTTTTATTAGCTTACCCATATTAAAGGTGTTTAATCAAATTTTTAAGACTACCCTAGAAAATATAGTTGGTAATTATTGGAAGCAGCTAGCATTAGCTATTTAATTTAAGTAGAGTGCATTTTGAAATAACATTACATTCAGTATATTTTTTAATTGTTTTTGTCATAATATTTGTGTTGTTCTTATTACTTATTCATTATTCTTACAGTTTCTAATTTGTTAACATTTTTAGTTACTTGTAAAAATTGTAAAGTGTTCTTAATATTTATCATTTTTCTTCACAGTCTACAGGTTAGAAGAAAAAGAACAAGACATGAAACAAGAGTACACAAAATTGCATGAACGTTATACGGAATTGTTCAAAACACATATGGATCACATAGAAAGAGCCAAAATGCTAATGGGATCCGGTGATCGCATGGACAGCACTAGAAGCATTCGAATGCCGTTTATGAGCATGGCACACATGAGCCGGTAACTAAAAAAAAAAAAATGCCCATTATTTTATTAAATAGTATTTTTATTACTTATTGAAATGAATGCAGTAATATAATATATATTCTAAATAATAAATACATATTTATAGATCTTCAGGGCCCGTTTCTTTTGGATTCAGTTCTCTCGAAGGACCGTCTACGCTCAAATCAATTGATGTGTCCAATGAATATCCAATAATTGCTTCTAATTCACCACCTGGAAGTATGCAATCTAATTCTAGTCTTAAAAATGAACTGCAAATTCAGGTAATAGTTAATAAAATATTTTTTAAATGACTGTTTACATACTTAAAGTTGTGAACCATATATTATTTTTTAAAAAAGGATCAAGAAAACTCTGAAGCAGAATCTCGTCTTCGTAATGATCCACTATCGGAACGGGGATGGTCTGAAACCTTAAATTCTATGAGCAAAGCGGATAGTAGTCCCGATGAAGTGCCTGAAATAGTAGAAGAAGCTGAAACAACACCTAGAAATTCTGTTTTAATGCAGAGTGGTCGAAGTCATACACAAAGGTGAGTTCATAATGCAGATTTAGTTGTAAAAATATTTGATCTGTAAATTTGGAGGGGTGAGGGGAGTCTAACAATGTGAGCGATAATAGTAGAACTAATATAAATAAGAACAATTATATTTTGCGCTGTTTATCTATTGAATAGTAATTACAAAGCAAATCAGCCTGGAAGTGAATAAATTTAATACAAATTACTTAATTTAACAAGGTGCGTCCGTGCAAGGCAGTCAATCCGGTATTTGATCTGCTTTCCCTTACATGTTTTAACATTAGAGTTATTATTGTGTAGTTTGTAGAGATTGTGTTGAGATAATAATATTGATAAATTAAACATACTTTCTATCTTACATTTAATGCCTGTGGTTTATACAAAACATGTTTAATTTTTAATTTAGAGAACAGAGGACTGCTTCTAATGTTCTATACCAAGAATTTAGTTTTCAAGATAACGAAGGTCAAAATGAAATCGAAGAAATGCCGGATATTACAGGTACATATTGAAAAAAAGGAATTCATTAATATAAATGAAGAAAACAAAAGATTATAAGTCTAATAAAATTAAAAATACATAAAAAAATATAATAATAGTATACACTTTGTCACTAAAAAATAATTATTTTAACTGCCAAAAGAAAAACAACACTTCGGCAATTTTTTTATCCTAACTGAAGTGTTGTTTTTCTAAGGAGTGTCAGCATACTTTTATTATTAATATTAATATTATTTATCATATATATATTATTTATTTTAGGCAATTGGGTACATCCCGGTGATTATGCATCTTCAGGTATGAATTTTTTTTTTTAAGCTGCAAAAACGTTTTGATTTAACTATTTTCATTGCCTTTTTAGCTTGGCTTTGATTTTATTATTTTTTTATTTATGGTGCACAGCCTTTATTATACTTTTTATTTTGCATGGTTTATTTTCATAATTTTTCAACTACAGTCAGCAGTGAGACTGAACCTGAGACTCCGCTCTCAATAGGTATGAGCTTCCTCTATAAACTTATTCATTTAGTTTACTTTTTGATTAGAGACCGGTTTTTTATGGTTTACTTTGTTTTACTAAGGCTAATTTTTCATGAAATCGTCTGTTTAAATATTAATGAATATTTCATAAATTAGACATTTCGGAAATTTTTTTTTGTGTTTATGTAAAATAGAAACATTTGAAAAATAATAACTAAAATGCATAGTACAATATCAAATGAAATTGAGATTTGATTTAGCTAATTATTTCTTAATCAGCCCTTTTATATTACCTTAAATTTTTATTGTTAAAAACATTCTATTTTAACTTTTTTTTGACATAAAAAATCGGTCAAATTGAGTTAGTAATAATCTTTTAACTTTTTAAGTAATGATTCACATTTTTTATTAATTAGTTATAATAGCTTATTGCAAATATACACTTTTAAGTATAAAATGTATAGAAAAAAGTGTTTATCACTTTATTTATTTAACCCTTGGGTGCCCATGCGACTGCACTCCATGCCACATACTGAGACATCTGAGAGAAAGTGTGGGTGCCTGAGGGTTAAGAGTAATATCACTTTACTATATATTTCTTTTCTTCTTTTTCAGAGTTTTTTGAAATGTCTACCTGTTTAAAATAAATATTAACCTACTAAAGAAATTGATTAATAGTAGAGTGCCATAACCAGAGCTGGCAAATTCTTATAAGAATAAAAATAATACATTTTTATTCTTATAGCAAATGAAACATTATTGGAATAACTTTTTAAAAATTTATTCGAATAAAAATTATTTGAATAAAATGTTATTTCAGTAATATTTACACAATTGATTCAAATAATTGAATTGGAATTATTCGAATAATTATTTTTTAAATTATTTCGATAACTTTTACTTGAATATTATTTAGATAACGTTTTATTCGAATGATGCACAACTCTGGCCATGATACATATATTTTATATGAGGCCTCTAGTTTCAAAACCAGCTAAGACATTTTGAAAATAATGTTTTTTTAAGCTACCACACTGTATTACATGGTATGTAAAACTATTATTGAATATCAAATAAAGATTATAACTAACTCAAACTGTGTTAAGAAAATCTTAGTTGGTTTTAAAATCGGCTATTTTAAAAAATTATTTGTTAGTGAACATTTTCTAAAAAATTTTTAGCTGGTTTTGAAACTAGATACCTCATGTAAGAATAATAATAATAACACTACTATAGCTATCAATGATTTTACCTTTTTTTTAAACTTCAAGTGTTGTGTTTTTGCTATTTTAATATACAAGATATACATTTGCTTTTATTAACAATTTTATTTCTTACTATTGAAATCACCTATTTTTTCTATGTGTATAATTTTGTTATATTACAATGTCTAAAAAACAGTATTAATTTTAGAAGTTGGGTGTTGTTTTGAATTTGGAAAATCATAACTAAAAATTGAATTAGTGTTTGCATAAAAAAAGTATTACAATATATTTCACAACATTTTTTGGTTTTATATGCTTAAAAAAAAAACTTTCAAAATTACCTATCTGTATCTCAAAATTAATCCATGTGAAAATCGATTTAAAGTTTTATGTTTAAACAACATGGGAATTTCAACAAGTTATAGACTATAGTTATTATTGTTTTTCAGTTTCACAAAAATTTTATATATTATATGGATAGATAAGGGACCTCAAACATTTGATATTTTACAATAATTTATTCTCATTTTCGTGCATGCGCAATGATTGAATAAAATTTATTTATTGCTTCTATGTGCTAAATGCTCTTATTTGTCACTAAAAATAGTATTTAATAATTTATTGATGTATCTATGTATTTTATGAAGTTTCTCTTCTGCTTATTCTGTGGTATACACCCTTTATTAAAACAGGTTTTCGAACTCTCCTAATTAAACTGTATCACAATCTATATTGAATCCGATTTTTTTAAATATAATAAAAAATTACATCATATTTAACAAGACTGCTTTACAAGGATGGTCGATAATTGATAGCAGAATAAAAAAAGCGACAACACAATGAACATTTAAATCTTTACGATGGCGGTTTGCGCAAAACTTATTTTTACTTATTATTGATAAAAACATATATTATACATTATGCAACCTACCTTTTCAGTTTAAAATTTAAACCGTTTATAAAGAATTCCCTAAAATGTGGCTCATTTATTATAGCCTTGCTTGTTATAAAAAACACCTATTAATTTGTGTGTTTAATTAAACAAACTATGAAAAATATATTTTGACCGTTTTAAATTGAATTGGAAATCTACTTGGTAGTTTTGTTTAAATCTGGTTTTGTTAAATCAATATTAAGAATTTTGGTTACATTGTATTGGAGAACTCTTAGTTTACAAATATAACAAGTAGAAGGTAGATACTATAGGTGAATAGTGTTTGCATTTGTTTTGTAGCTATTACTAACATTTGATTGTTATGGCTTATAGAAAATAATTAAATTACACTTCAGGCAACATTACAACATGTTAATTTTTTTAAATAATTTGCATTCTCTTATACAAGGTCCAGCAGAAATAGCTTCCCGATTATTGTTACTAATAAAAACCAAACGAAATTTGAAACAAAAAGAAAATTTATTTACAAGAACCATACATAATGCGATTTTAAATTATTTAGCTTGAATAAAATATCACTTAAGTTGTGGTTTCTGTTGGCAATACATTGGTTTATGCACTCTCGACAGTTGTCCATCTACAAGGTAGCTGTGTGTTTCTCTGCAGATCTGCGCAATGAAAGCTCTTACAAAGGTCACATGTTTTGGTCCATATACAATAGGACTGATGTGTTGTGGTGAACCGCCATTTTTAATAAACTCTTAGACGACAAAAGCGCAATGCTCTCCTAACCATGCCACGCTGTTTACTAAAAACGGCATGTGTCAACAAAAACAAAGCCGTGGTCCCCACTAATGTACCCTCTTCACACCTAAAGCAACAAGTCATTAAAAACGGGGAGCTTTTTCTGCCGGATCCTGTATTTATTAAATTAATAGTTTAATTTGTGTTGTAAACTAATATAGTATTACTAATTTACCTATAATTAATGTTTAACTAAAATTAACTTTTTCATTTATGTTTTATGGCTGTTACTCAAACAATGCATTCTTGTGTTCGTCCGAAAAATAAAACAGTTAACGATAACTTTTTCGGTAAGACTAACATCTAACATTAACAAATTTAAAAAAGTAATATTTTTTTGTTATTAATTTTTTTTTTGGCAATTGAAGGAATGGGAAAAGAAGTTGAAAATCTCATAAAAGAAAATACAGAGCTGTTGGCAACCAAAAATGCCCTCAATATTGTTAAAGATGATTTAATTATTAAAGTAGATGAATTAACAAGGTAATTTTTTTTCTACTATTACATAGAGATATTTTTATAATTCATCTAGAAAAAACGTGGTTATACATAGTTCAGTAATAAAATATTAAAACTGCCTTTCACCATGATTCACTTTCAAAAATAGTTAATACTCATACTTCGGTAACAATGCTCACAACAGACAGTCTGTTATTATTTTATTACTTAACTATTTTTATAATTATTATTAATATATAGTAATTTCATCATTTAAATATTTAGTGAACAACATATTTTACGTGAACAAGTCAAAGCGTTGCAAACTGTTAATGTTCGCTTAACTCAAAAAGCTGACGAAGCTGAAGAAGATTTGAAAAAAACAAAACAAGAATTAGAACAGCTAAAAGCTAATAAATCCGATTCTGATGTAATTATTATTTTTCAATAATTTACTGCTCTTATTCACAAGCTTGTAATTTGCGTTTTAGGAAGAAAAATCATATGCGGAACGTAAACGTTTTACTCGTGTCGAAATGGCCAGAGTCATTCTGGAGCGTAACAAATTTAAAGAACAGCTTATGGATTTGGAGGAATCACTTCGTTGGCAAGAAACTGTACGTGCAATTCGGTTGGAGCCAAACGAGAAAAAAAAACAGGGTGTGTGGAGACTGTAAGTGTTTTAACATCAGGATTCTGAATGGTGTACGATGTATAGTGTAGATGTATGGCTATCGGTGTTTTGGTATTCTGTTTCTCAGCTTCTAACATTAATCACCTAGTTCAGTTACTATAATAACATTTTGTTTTTTGATTTAAAGGTTTAGCAGCTTGTTTGGAAGTGGTGCCAAACCTAATGATACAGGACTTGGAAGTGGAAGTAGCGGAGGAGGCGTAATGGCACAGCGTCCTAGATCTATTCATTATGACCCATCGTCACATCAGGTGGGACCATCTAGTATAATGAAAAGACGTAGTATGATTGAAGGTGGACGATATGGTCGATACGAAGACGATATGTGAGTTTATATCTAATTTGGGATTTATTTAATTAATATTGTGTTGTCGTTCTCAAGGACTAACTTATGCATGGCCAATGGGGCTGGCGGTTGTGCTATATTTAACATCTGATAATGACAAATGAAATTTAATCAGTGATCCGAAACTTATATAAATACCTACTTACCTCCCTTTTGTATTTGTTCTGGAACAAATAAAATCTATTTGTTTTTTCTGTTATTTTCTCCGGAACTAGTAACAAAAGGAACGAATAGACTTTATTTGGTCTATAAATAGTTCGGAACACTATTGGTGATAGGAGTCAAATAGGTATTGACTTTCGGACCCCTGATTTTAATACTCACTGAAATTTTGGAAAATTAAGATTTTTATTTGTTTTTGTTTTTCATAAATACAAATTATTCGGTTACAGATTGGAATATTATTTTTTAAAACCTTTGTTCAAACAAATTCATATCTGAGCAATTTGAACTTATAAGTGTAAAGTTATGTACATTCATATTAGGTTGGTCCTAGAGAATAATTATCACTCGTTTACTATCAATAATGGTATTCTTGTTTTAATATTCTACAGATATGCAGATAAATCAAAGAGACCTGATAGACGAGTACATTTTAGTCGTATTCGCACTCATATACCTAGGGAGGATAGTTGGTTACAAGCCTACGGGTGGAGTATGCCAGCTGATACGTCAGCAAGCAGACCCATGTTAAACACACCACAACAACCCGACAATTCAGGAACAAGCTACCCAGTTCCGGTTCTAGTTAATTGTTGTTCACCTCTTGCAGACACAGAACCCGGAATGAAAGTAAATTTTATCATTACTTTATGAATGCAAAATATATCATAACTTTTAACCCGCAATCTAACTATAATTTGTTTTATATTTAAGATGTGGTGTGCAACTGGAGTCAATCTCAGTGGTGGTGTTACACGCGACGGTGGATCAATTGTTGGAGCTAGCGTATTTTACAAAGACAATGGTACAGATAAAAATGATAGTAAAGATGACGATAATGAAAAACTAGAGATTACAGACGAAAGTATGGAAATGAAAAAATTAGATGACGAATTAATGGTAAAATTGAAAACTTAATAATATTGGCCTTAAGGCGACTGAAAATAATATTATTAATGATCCAATTCATATTTCCTAGGAAAATAGTAGAACGAATATAGAATCTGAGATGGTGTTGTCTTCACTAATATGGATTTGTACTACGTCCAATAATAACAGCAAAGTAGTTATCATTGATGCAAACAAACCTGATATTGTATTAGAGACGTTCAATATATCTTGTCAGGCTCATATTGGTTGTATAGCTTCAGTACCAGGTATGAATACCACTATAATCGTGCGAATTAAATAGTAATAAAAAAACAAGCACAATATGTGGGTCATTAACTTATTAAATTTGGAATAATCTACTAAAAACTTTAAATCTCAATTGATGATCAAAAAAAGCTCTAAAAAAAACTGCAAAATAGCTATTAGTTTTTAATACTAAAGTGTCATTAAATTAATCATCTTGTACACATGAAAAAAATCTAATATCAGGAAAAATCATAATAAATAAGTATCAACAGATAACAATATAAACTTTTATAAACATTTTGTATTCGACCTTTTAGTTTTTTTCTTTTCATTAATAAAAAATTATATTGATTACAAATGTTTGTGCGTGTTATAGAGCCACGCTAGATTAAACTTCAGTCTATTTTTTAGACCTAAAGTCTTAAAACTTCTGAAAGAAAGGGTTTATGATATTTTCTTGTTATTTCGGTGTATATTGGTGTACTATTTCTAAAGAATATCCCACACAAGTTTGAAAGTAATTAGACTTTTTTTAATACATTTTTAAAGTGTTTTTCCTGATTTTGAAGGAAAGGGTAAACTTTTCCACTTTTTGCCTTATAGAGTTTCTTTGGGTATGATTTCTGATCTGTTATTGTGCTATATGAAGAAATCAGTTTAGCGGATTAGTGATATCCAGCACAAAAATAGAAAAAATAAAAACATTGTAAAACCAATACCTTTCTCCAAGTCCGTTCAAATTTAAACTTTTATTTTAATGATCAAATTATGATAATAATATTTTTATAGGTGCTTTAGAGAGTGATTATACAGATAAAAATGATGTTATAAATTGTGAACTTGAAAAAACTGAAGAGGTTACTGAAAAAGATAAACAAGTACCGGAAGAGAATAAACGCGATGTGGAAATTGGTAAAATAGTTTTTGTCAGCTGTGCAACGGGAAGCGAAGAAAGTAATATAATCAAAGAAAATGAAAACGAAGAACTTCCTCAAAGTGAAGAAAATTCGTCTGGTATAGAAGCTTTATGTGGTAAGAATTAGTTAATTGTAATTTGCTTGTTTTTCAGTGCCTAAATATCACTGCTTTTTGTTTTGTGCTATTGTCTTTTTTTTTGTTATTGTTTGCTCTTAGACGATAGCGTAACAGAGACTGATCAGCCAGATAGTAATAATATCGTACCAAAGAAATCTAGTATTATGAAAGAAGGTATCATAAAGGATGGATTACTCGACCCGCCTAATGGTAAACATACAATTAATTTTTATAAATCAATTTAAAAAAAAATGAATTGACACTTACCTAATTATTAGCATGTGATTTTTATGTCGTTGACTTATATTTTATTGCTGAATTTCTGTTTAAAACAGTTTTTCCAACCTGATCTTATATAAATATCTTTAAATATATTCACCTCATTTTACATTTGTCCATTGTTTTTAACTGCTGAAATAACGGTAAAATTATTATAGTTATGCCTTTCCGTAATTATATCAAATGTGTTCTTAAAATATATGAAAAATTCAACCTAACAAACTGTTAGCTAAATTATTAATTAGAATTATACTCAAGTTACTTTGGTCGTTAATCCTGTAAATTATAACTCAAATAAATTGACATAAGTTGTGTTAAGTGAATGAACAATTGAGAGCAATTAAAATGTTGCAAGAAATAATGAGCTATTGTGTATTTAATACTGACAACTATTTGTGTTACGATGCTTTTTACTATAGTTTTATTACTACTAACTTATTTATACTAACTTAGATTATGCGATAATGGTTTTGGCGTATTAGTTGATTAAAGTGACATTTTTATTTAACCAGATGTTATCATAAGTAATTATATTTAATATATTAGATATTGGAGTGGCTAAAGAAGACTTGGATAAAATGTCTAGCGTTTTACCTACCGTGTGGTTGGGTTTTGAAAACGGTTGTATTTTTGTTCATTCGGCTAAATCGCAATGGAGAAAATGTTTACATTCAGTCAAATTAAAAGACGCCGTTCTTAGCATTGTGTAAGCGTGATCTTTGTTTTAAAAAAGTGTATTCTTATTTATAATAAAAAATAAATGTCTTGTTTCTAATTTTGATAGCATTTATTATGTTGTTCTTTTAGTTATGTCGATAGTCGCGTATTATGTGCTTTGGCCAATGGTACTGTGGTTGTGTTTCAACGTGATGCAGACGGTTGTTGGGATTTAAGTAAATACTACAGCGTCACTTTAGGACCGCCTCAGAATGCAGCGCGGTGTTTAGTATCCGTCAACAGTAAAAGAGTTTGGTGCGGTTATAAAAACAAAATTCACATTTTACATCCTCGATCATTAGTAGTTATTGTATGTAATACATATACAAGTCAAATTTTTTATACTTAACATAATAAATATTTAAATTTACAGCATACTCTAGAAGCTCATCCTCATAAAGAGAGCAAAGTACGCACTATGGTTTGGGTGGGAGATGGTGTATGGGTGTCCATACGTCTGGATTCCACAATACGACTATATCATGCATACAACTATTCCCATTTACAAGATGTGGACGTACAACCATTTATAATAAAAATGCTTGGTAAAATGTTTCATTCAGTCTTATGTTACAGAATATATGTAGTCAGTGTTATGAACGTTCTCTTAAAAGTTAAAATCGTTACATTCACTTTCATTGCCCAAATAAACTATGTTGACATACTAACAAAAAATAAGTCTCGTATTATTTCTAATAATAAAGTTCTTCATTTTATTTTATTTAGGTGCTTGGTACATATTTTTAAATCATTATCAAATATTAAACCTGTACAGGAAATAATGTAAATGTCTAAATTTTGTTTTAAACATTTGAAAAGTTTTTGGCCTATTGGGTTAATGTTTCAAAAATATTTCTAACTATATGGCAATTTTATTCTAAGCAAAATTGTAAAAAACTTAGGACAGTTCCCAAAAAATATTTTTAGTGTTAAAAATTATATTTAAACTAACTTTATGTCATCATGGAAATGAACGATTCAAAAATAATTTATGTTAGATGTAAAGCTGAACAAGTTTGTCAACTCATTCTTATAATTTGTTTATGATTGCATTTTCCAAATAGTGATAAAATAATAATTATTATTTAATAACTAATTCATTATATTAATTTATATTTTTACTTCTAAAGGTTCAGATAAACCTCATTTATCGTGTATTCGCATCACAGCTATGTTAGTTGCTTCAAATAGACTCTGGATCGGTACTGGAATTGGTGTTGTTATATCAGTTCCTCTATTAGATAGTAAGTGTGCAGTTAAAACTCTTAATTTTATAATGAAACACAATTAAACTTAACTTTTTTTCAACAATTAGAAGGTCTATTGGGCTTCTCGATTAATAAAGAAGCAAAAGTTTTTTCTGAGCCTAAAACTCAAGAAGTGACTCCCAGTAGTTTTACACCTTATTGCTCAATGTCTCAAGCTCAATTGTCTGTGCACGGCTTTAGAGATTCAGTAAAATTCTTTGTTTCAGTACCCGGTAAGTGTTATAGTGATGTTGAGTATGAACAGCCGTTAACTAAATTTTATGACTCTTAGGATCCGGAGGTTTTTCAGCCGCAACAGCCATTCAACAGGATGGTCCTATTGTTGAAAGTGTACCAGACGCCGAACATTTGATATCGACTTTAATCATTGCCGGTGGCGAAGGCTACATAGATTTTAGATCTGGTATGTTCTATTTTCCTTTATCTATTTATTAATATTTTTCTTTTATTAAATAAAAAAAAAAAAATTAGAAACTTGTAGGAAAAGAAATATTTTTTAAATGTTTTGTCTGTAGCTGATGGGGAAGAAACCAACGACTCGACTGGCCACTTGCTCGCCTGGTCCATGTTGTCTAGAATTATAGAACAGAACAGTTGTTAATAAAAAAAAACGTTCTAAATATAGTTTCCTTCAAAAGTTAAACTGGTATTTATAATCGTCGGTCCATAATTAGCTTTGGCATTTGATTTTCACTAATAATATACTGTTGCGGCATTTCATTCTTGATTTCTGTCCTAAATTATTGACATAAGCACTAATACAATATTGATATAGTTAAAATTTTTAAAATATAATTAAAAATGGAGAGATTTTTACACTCTTTTAATATAGTTTGGTTGCTCAAGTTACTACAAAAATAGCTTTGTGTAATTAGCAATTTGCTCTATCGTCTACAATATTCATCGTTGTATATTCTATTAAAATATATTTTGTATTTTATATTGTAAAAATAACAGCCATTTAACGTGTCCACACATAAAAGTATATTTTATTTTTTACTAGATTAGTAATTGGAATGTATATATTCACAAATCACAAAATGCTCGATGAAACTATACCTGTTATGTTTTTGTATATCCAACATTTAAAATATGTTAAGTTATACAGCAGAAATAGAAGATAAAACTAAACATTTTAGTAGTTCCACACAATTTATGGACCTTCAATTTAGGACTAATTAAAATATGTTAACCTTGACTCAGTGGCGCATCTAGAGAAAAAGTTTAGATTTTTAGGGCTCACAAATGGCAAGTGGTCACCCATGTTACAAGCGATAAAAAGTACCCGACCATAACTTATTCCATTTTTAATTTTGAACTATTGGTAGTCCGTAGTCCTTTTTCAGTTGTGTATACATTTCTAAAAAATTAAGTAAAAGTAAAACAAACAATTTAAAATGTTCTGTTAATAGTAATAAAAAAGTGAAATAAAAACTTAAAATTATTGAAGAAAAAATAGATAACATTTTTTCTCCACAATAGGGTTGATCTTAAAAAATGACAAATGGTCAATAGTATGACTAAAATGCTGAAAAAAATCGATTACTACATACAAAACACAATTTGATTGTTAAAATCGAAAAAATAATGAAACGTTTTTTTATATAATTCAAAACGAATTTACACATCAAAACGATTAAATGATCCAATTAGGAAGTCAACCAAGTTCTTAGTTGACCCAATATTAGAAATAGTAATTGTGTTTTAAAAAGTCATGTCTCGGGAATGGTTTGAAAAAAATACTTTTGATGGGTGGTATCAAAATAAGCAACTAGCAATAATTTATATTTAGTAGTGTCTTAATTTATTTGAGACTATTTATACTTGTCGAGGAGGGGCATCCAATTTATATAATATGGTTTTAGGTCCTCTAAGTGTCTAGTTGCGCCACCGAATATTGTACATAAATACATTTTTATCTGGTCCGTATTTGTGAACGACATTATTATCGATTGATTTCTCGTAATAATTCAGTACAACTCTATAGTTTAACTAACTTTGTGTGTGAATTTAACGACAAAACACAAACGTATGTTCTAAAAACAACTTGAATATTTTAGATGAACAAGAAGACAGCGACTACCTCGACCGTACAGAAAAACACCAGTTATTCCTCTGGGAAGTTTTATCGGAAATTAAGAATAAATCTAGGACAAAAATGGATTCCATTATCAAATAAAAGATGGTTGACAATTAAAAAAAAAAGATAAATATATATGTTATGGTTTTTTTTTCCATTTTAAAGTGCCATTATTTATTTTAATCTGTTTTTATAAGATTTTTTTCTCATATTATTAACTATTATACATCCTTTTTATATTATGCTAACAGCTATTTTGTTACCTTACATCTTAAATATACCCTTGTTTTTTGTTTTTATTTTATTTATATGCTATCATGTTTGTGCTGTGATTTATATCTCAATAAGTACAATTAACTATGTATTATTGTTTTTGTGACGAAAAATTTTGTTTTTTTTTTATTATATATAATTAGAACGAATTGAATTGTTTTTGAACCAACTTTAAACAATTCAATTCGTTTTAATTATTTATTTTTACTATGAATTAAAAACTATAGTATCACATCCAATGTCTTATGTTTTTAGTGCATGCATATTTGTTAATCTTTTGTTTTATTAGCCTTCATTAAACAATATTACTAATTTTAAGGCAAAAATGTTTATTAATCATAAACATTTTCTATGTACTTATATATTATTATTTATAATATACCTACATAGAAAAATCTAAAATACTCCTTTTAGTTGAATGTTACAACTTTTATTTTATTAATAAATATTTCTAAATTTGTTTACTGACATTATTTTGTACATATATATATATATATATATAAAAATTATTTTATTATACATTTTTGTAATCAAGTTGTATGTATTGTTTTGAGTTATTTTTATTTATTTAGTAATTTATTGTATTATATTATAATTTAGTGAAAGAAAATATATAGTGCAATTTTAATTCCAGGTGTTTTATTATTTTGGTATAACTTTTTAACATAATCACGAAATATAAAATTTGTGACATGCAAAAATTACACAAGACTAAACCAAACCGCTCACCAGAGATTTCCCTCTGGCTGAAGCACAACAAATTTAAAAAAAAAAATTGTTTAGTAGTAGCGTAACTTTTATTTCACAAACATGGATACCCATATCACAGTATATTTGTATTTTGTACGATCTTTTTTAAGGTTTAAACTGAATAATGTGCAAATAATACAAATAAAACGAATTCACCATGTACAATAATAATTAAAATCATATAACACAAAAACAATGCAATAATTCGAAAACATGCACTTAATAACAGAAGATCGAGAGAAAAAAAATACATAAATATATAATCATTTTTAACATGATAAATTAATAATAAGTAAATATTTATACTTGAAGAAGTTGAACATACAAATAAAAAATAATAAGGTGGGTATAAATAAAAGTTACAATTCAATCAAATACTTTTTCAAGATAATAAAAGCATTAATAATTTTTTTTTGAAACTTCTACTTTAGTTATATTATTACAACTTAACAAAAATATCTCTTAAAATAATATTTTTTTTTACAATCCCTGTAATTCATACACTAATTAATTTACCTAATTTAACACAGTAGTTAAAATAATAACGAAGGTAACACAAATTGTCTTTTTGTTTATATAATAAATATATATAAAATTTCATTCAATTATAATTTGTAATGTTGAGGATGTACATAAAAAAACAAAACGGTTAAATATAAAACGGACGGACCTTTAAAAAAAACCAAAACAAAACAAAACATGAAAATGTTTAATCATAATATATATGATAAATAATTAAAATGTTAAAATCGTATTATTATATTTTTTTAAAATTTAAAATTGTATTTACTTTTTCACTTTGCTGTTAAAAAAAAATATATTTCAAAGTATAGTAATGCCACATAATTATTGAATAATTTTATAGCTATATATAAAATAGTATAAATAAATATTATCACTAAATCTTTTATCTATCAACAGACTTCAAACTAGGTTTGTCGGTAATTAAAGGAATATCAGATGTGGTATTAGTTGGCGATGTTACCAACACTTCCGACAATAAATCGTTACTACTACTTAACGGATTAGTAGCATCTTCTTTCAAAGGAGAAACCAATTCTTTAGGCGATAATGGATTTTCTACAATCTCACCATTATTGGAGACAATATTCTGTTGTTCGATTTGAGAATCTATAAACGCACGCAATAAATATACTTATTATTTTTCAATTGCTAAATATTATTAGTAAATTCTTCCTCACGTGATGAATTGTTTACTGGAGACAAAGTTTGGTTTTCTTCGGCAGGTTTGATTGGAGAAGTTATAATATCTTGGACATAGTCGTCGGTCAAATGAGTAAACAATTCTTGATCTATTCCCGATTCTCCGTTGAGCACTATAGGTTCACCAAAACTAGAATCGAAATTAGCCCACCCTGTTTCTAATTTTGGACTTTGCTCTGTGGCGTTTTCTCCCCAAGGACAAGCACAGTCTGAAATAACCACAAATTTATTATGAACTTTATGTCATATATTTCTGTGCCAAAACCAATTTATTGTGAACAAAATTGTAAAAAAACAATTTATCAATTTCACTGTAATAATAAAGTTGAAATATTGTAGAATTTAGTTTTATGAAATATATTGATTTTTCTATGTAAATAAATTAACACAGTCTTTGTAGCGCATCATTCTCTGACTTGTATTACATATTTTAAGACTAAATCTAAAATCTAAATATTTAAAAAAAAATTTGTTTCTCTAAATGAAATCACCTATAATGTTGTAAATAACTTACAAAACAAAAATGGTAATTTTATAATACTCCATTTGAAATGAAAAAAAATATATTGAAAATTCTACATTAATTTTGGGCCTAGTTCTGAATTCAGCAAATAAAATCGAAAAAATAGGTATATTTTAAATGAAAAATACTTGAAATAAAGTTGTTGTTAGTTACTCAGCGTAAGTACTCTAGAAATAATAATTGCTAGTCTAGGACAAATTTCAAAATTATTGATGCATATTGGAGATTTTGAGATGTAAACTAAGTTTTTATAACTATTTTATTAAGTTCTACTTTAAACTCACTGCTTATTGTGTTATCTTTTGATTTCATTTCACTCGTTGCGTGTAATTTTGAATTCATTTTAGCACTAAATGTCTCCCAATCAGTTGTTTCTGGTGACCAATACCTAAAAATGATATATTAAAAATATTGATTTATAACTAGATTGAATTAGTATCATAATAATATAATCTCACAAATCATTTGCCGTAGAGTGTAAACCAGCTGACTTGAAGATATCTGAAGGGAAGTCTGTTTTATTTGATTCGTCTTCTTCTTCATCCTTCCACATTTCGTTATCATCAACATTGAAATCACTAGAAATTATCGCACCTTTAAAACCTGTATCGTCGAGAGTCATTTCAGACGATCGTACGGAACACATGCGATCAAACATTTCCATTGAATTTCTAGTAATGTTAAATGTAAGTAAAATAAACCATACAAAATTTGTTAAATATTTGTAAATTAACAACGCAAGAACTTACTTGTCGTCATCATCGTCTTCATCGTCATCATCAAAATTAATATCTACTCTGGAAACGCCTAGTTGATTGTCATTACTATTAAATTCAATTTCCGGTCGTCCATATATTGCTTCGTCCTCGTCCTTTCTTACATTCATTATCGCTATTTCATCCCTCGGATGTAGCCCGCCCTATTAATTATAAACAAATGTCATTATTAACAGTAAACTAAAAATAAGGTATTATATAGAAAGAGAGAAACACACACACACTATAAAATACAAACATACTTACCAAACATGATGAAATTCGCTCATCATTTTCTTCTAAAGTTGTGGATGTAAACAAATCCCATCTTTCAACAATAGACGAATCTAATGTATTTACAATTATACCTCTAAAATGGTCCGAGTAAAATGCTTCAGTGTTGTGCAAGCTTTTAGCGATTGCTGCTAAATGACCAATGTAGCCCTTTCTCTTTTTTCCTGGCTTAATACTGTTAACATAAAATTAACTTGACCATTTTATTAAGTGCTTAACAAATATGAAAACAATGTCAACTATTAATTTATGCAAACTTACCATTCTTCATTATCAAGTATGGATTCAATTAGTTTACAATCTTTAATAACCTAATAATAACAACATAACATACTAATGTAGTCACAGTTAAAAGTAGTGTATTTTTATTTTTTCTTACGTGAGCAATAAATGTGCTGTTTTCTGCAACCGAATGATTACAACACATGATTTCATGGAAGCATTGCACCACTTGTGTGTGGAGAAAATTATTTAAATCATAATTAAAGAAACAATCCTTAGTAAATAAAAAAAGAAAAATACTAGGTATTAACAAGAAAGTACATTTAAAAATATAAAAAAAGGTTCACAATTTTAAAAGTGTACTTACTAGAAGTATTTTAATGGTGTTGAGTTGAGCAAATCGTTCGTTAATTTGTTGATTATGCATACTTAACAGTGAACTTATCAGTTTGACGATTTGCAATCGAACATTACCGAACGGACTTTTAATTACATCACCCATACAATCCAGACTCTCTATCTGTTTAAAGTACATAATAATATGGATGTACATTCACAGTATTAGTGGACAAAATTAATATTGCCATAAAAAATAAATACCTTAGGGGGAACCAGTAATACGTTGTGAATATGTTCTAAAAATGGTAAAATTGTGATGCATAAAATTTCAGCCATCGATTGTTTTTTAGTATAAACCTCATTGGAATCGTCACCCCTGATAGAAAAGAATGAAAATTATATATTTTAAATAATTGACTTAAAAAAATGGGTTCATACTTAAATTTTGTAGCCATCAACAATGTTTGCAATATTGAGATACCGCCCAATAATGTACTCTCAGTCTTCTCGGGCTGGCCAAACATCTTGACCAACAACCTGTTTACAGTCTCTGGCCTGTACGGCAATAGTAAAAAAAAAATGTTAAAATCATTAGTATAAAATCTAAAAAGTGAATGCTTACGATTCAATTGATGCGACAAGTGGATTTAGTTCCAATGGATGCAGTTCTGACGCGACTTCAATAGCACAAATTATTTCTGCAGCATTTAACTGCCTTACCGGAACGCTGGTAGTATCTAATGTATCCACTAATTTTAATACTAGCTGCTCTTTTTCAAATAACTGCAAATTCATAGAAAGCAATTTAGATAAAGAGTTTGAACAAATTATATAATTAGAAATAACCTTAGAAATAAAAAAGAACCTTACAGTAAAAATGTTACTCCGCAGTGGAGGTCCTTCCAAAAGTGTTGATATCTTTATGATGAGATCCATGATGGCAGATGTGTCGAGATGTTTTAGTAATAAATTTATAAAGTCTCCTTTATCAGACACTTTTTCAAGAGCTTTCAAACAATTAAATTGATATGTATACCAATCCTAGATTAAATTATAAATAACAAAATTAATGTGTAAATTTTTTGGGGGAATAGTTAATTATACAACAAATTATTATTATTAACATTTTTTTTTTAATGAATTTGTACACTAAATAATAATTTTTTAGTTTACAATTTTATCTAGTTTCTAGTTTTTTTTAACCTTATTTTAATAAGATAAGGCAAAGAGTATTTATTAAGTAATAAATATTATTACTTGACAATAGGAAACACTACTTACTTGACTACCAGTTTTTAGAATTAGGCTACATATTGTTCGACTGAAATATGATGCCATCAAAGGGTTAAGAGGAGGTTCATTGTCTTCTAAAAAACTGAAGAAACATTTCCAAATGTCTTCTTCGTGTGAGAGTACATTATACATTGGCTGAATATCACTAGTTAGTATTTCACACGCCAAATTTGGCAAAACAAACCGAGTTTCTGGTTTGGTGTTATCGGTAGGCTCTTGAGTTACCAGACGAACCAACTCCAACGCGATATCTGGCTTAGTTAAGCTACAATAAAATACAAAAAAACATGATGTTTCAGTAAATATTTTTTTATGCAATAATAGTTGATTTATGTCAGATGTTATTGAGTTAGTCTAGAAAAATCTCAAGCAACATTTGTGGTTATATAAAGTTAAGAAATAAAATAATGAAATATTTAAGAAATTTTGATCAAATCGTAAATCATATGGCAGACAAAAAACTTTTGAAATATTTAAATAACTATTTGCATCAGTAAGTCAATTAAAATGAAAGTGATTAAAAAGTTGAAATATAAAATAAAAACAATAAAAAACTGTTGATGATTATAATACTTTTAATTTTGCAATAGGGCAAAATTAATTGCATTTTCCTAAATATACATTAGCTTATGTATAATAGGTGTTTTTCTTGTTTTTGATGAAGGTCAAATAAATTAAACAAATGTTGATGACCAAAACAAATTTCTAGCCTACTAAAGTATTATACAAAAGTATTTAAATATCATGTGATCTGGCAAATTATTTAGACAACATTTAAAGCGATTTATATATTAACACTGTTCAGGACAGATATGAGTTTTTCAAGGGAGCTAACCAATGTAAAATTGAAAAAAAAAAAAACAAAATTGTTTTATATCTATTAAGTACATTTATTAATCATAAATTAGTATTAAGTTAAAATGTTCAAGTAATTAAGTAACTAATAGTTAAATCTCAACTATTTTTAATTTTTCACAAATTATTTGTATGCTAATGGAAAATTTTTTACACACAGTAATATAACTGTCAGGCGTTCTGCAGTACAACTGTAAGTCTGCTTACATTTATTTAAAGCGTACATTAAGATATTAGAGAAATTGGCCATTTCTTAAGCTTTTAACAAGGATTTTCAAGTGTCTTAACATATTGCTGCTCAACAGTTCTTTACAAGTAAACAATTTTATAGTACAATTATATATTTAGCACGTAAATAATATTTAAAGAGACTATAAAACTAATTAAAGTAAATTGACTTAAAGTTTTAAAACTTTTAAATTTATTTATGAGTTAATTATACTTGGATTGATCAAGTTATATAAGCTTCATGGAGATTTATAAAACCATACATTTTTAATGTCCAAACTATGTTTAATAAATTATAATATAGGTACAGTTTGACTGTGTATAAAAAAGTATGTACTGCATTTTTTTATAACGTCAATTATTTTTAAGTAAACATAATGATTTCATTGATATCTATGATAAAATATTATCAAACCAATAATTATTTATCTAACATAAATTTTTAAATATATTGACATTCTTTTGACTTTGTTAATCAATTAAAAGGTCAATGAGTAAATATTTGTTCTTATAGATTACTTTTACGACTTTTAATATATTATATCCATTGTATATATATACACTATAATCCTTAATATACTGCAGCTTTATAGCAAAATATAAAACACAAAAACACTTACAAATCAATCAGTTTCTTGTTTTGACCCTTGAGTTCTTCCAAGAGATTTTGTTCTCTCATGAGATCGTTGAGGCACACATCCTAACACATTGTAAAAATAATGTATTATTATAAATGAGTGAAAAGAACAAAACAAAATTAGGAAAATACAATGTAAATACCTCTCTATCGAATATTGAATCCCAATTAGATGCTGGATTATTTTTCCAGTACATGGTCGAAACGTATCACAGGTCTGGGTAAATTAAAAATAATAATAAAAAAAGTAACTAATTACGGCGTTTTCTAATTGAACGACCGTTTTCGATGAATAATCGAAAATCAACAAAACGGCTATTTGTTCGAACAAAAACAAAAAAATCACTTCCAAAAAAATGTTGGTTATCACATCTGGAAAACCCTGAACGTCTAATGTAGACAAAGTTTTACAGCATAAACACTTTAACATACAATTATTGTAATTAATATTATTATTCACGTCTAAATTGCATTTACCTACATAATATCAACATTAAAGAAAAACAAATGCAGAATATTATATCTAATAAAAAAAACATGTAGAAAAATTGTATAGAAACAAATACTTATTACCTACGTCGTATCGTATCGACTATCACGAAATGGCGGTCGGTAAATTTGTAAACAGTGTGGTCTTATGTAATAAACTAATCACCGACGTTTCTTCGACATCACTGCTTATTTCAAATTCCAAACATTTTTTTATTAAATGAAATAATGTAACATTTCAATAAAACTTATTTGTCAATTTTACATAGGCATTAAGCTAACCTAACCGCCAAATTTCGATTCTTCACGCTCAAAGTACACCGTAGCGATACTTTTAAAGTCGCAAAGATATTATTGTCCGCATGGATCTAAAATCATTGACAGTAATGACAGTAACTTGTTAATACTTTTAAAAATATAAATTATGTACACTTGAAATACAAATGCTGTTTAAAAAAAAATTTTAAATCAGGGATCAAATAAAATAAAACTTTTACATTATAAAATAAGTTTAAGTGTATAAACTTTTATTTATTCTTAAGCTTCTATTACAACTCATAACTCTTTTATATGAACTTTTTAATAATAAAAAAAAAAAAATTGTTATTACTTTTTGAATAAACGTTTTATAACTGTTTGTTTTTAATTATGTTTATTAGATGTAAGTATTTACAAAAAAATTTTTCGAAATCAAGTATTAAAATACTTTTAAGGACTTAGGTAATAATGCTAAGTTGAAAAGTTTACTCTTTCAAAAAAAAAGCAATACAAACTCGCATGTTATTTAACCTAAAACAGCATATTGTGCGCCAAGTTTCCAAAAACTAGTTTTTTTGGTACTCAGGTATAATCCTACACCGATCTAGATAAGTTGTTTATTTTTGTTAGCATATATTCATGGTTATAGCTTTTACATTCGAGTATCGGACAATTCATATGAGAAAGCCCATAACCTACAATAAGATAAACAACATAGTGCAGACAAATAAAGATGTCGATGCTAAAACTGCGTGTAATATCATCAAAACAACTAATAACATATTTTTGGCCTATTATTTTAAAAGAAATCATGGATATCAATTTAACATGTAAAATTTTACATTTATTTTCAAATATAAAATGTCTGTTACAACAGTACAATTTAGTTAACACAAATAGAGCATGGGTTACAAGAACGTTGTATGATAATGACATTTACTTATATATATTGTAATTAAAGCAATTAAAAAAACAATCAAAATATTAATTATATATTAAAAACAATAGGATTGTAATTTAATAACAGCTATGAAAATATTTCAACTTCAAATAAAATGTTAATAACAACAAATTTAACTTAACATTGATTTTATTGTAAAAATGTTATTTGTTTTATCTCACAATATTTGACAAATTAACTTTTTTTAATTAAAAAGAACTTGAAGTATTTTCTTTTAAAACAACATAAGTAATATAAACATCAAAACAAATTAAATACTTAATATTTGGAATAATGTAACGGCAAAATGAATAATAAAGGAAGAGTCATAACATAATGTAAGAAATAAAAAACATGTAGTATGCTTTAATAAAGCTAAATTTCATTAAATAGTCTTCCCTGGTCTTCCGGTAAAACTAAAGCCATACATTTTTCAGGAAAATCTCTCTTGTACATTTGCAGAAGTTTGATGATTTCTCCTTTGACTTCTATAATTTTTTAAAAATGGTATAACTAATATAATACTTATTAAAATGCATTTTGTGTACTTAAACAATGTTTTTTTATCATTCAAAATTATTATATATAAAAAAAATAAACAGAGCTGTTGAGGGTACTAAAAGTTTAAAAATAGTAATTAATTTAAAAGTTAGTTGTGTTAATTAGTGTTAAAGTTAGTAAAAAACGCCCAAAAACGAATCTATAGTGAGGGTTATACTATTTAGAATTAAAATATACTTTGGGTGGCATTAATTAACTCTACCATGCATACTTACATTAATGAGCCAACAGCAAAATAATTAATTACAATATATAACTTCAGTGTAAGTTCCCGTTAATTTTCTTGTTAAAATTATTTTACAAAACATTCTAAGTAATGTGTATTTTATTTAAAATTATCTTACCCTCATCACAATATTTCCGTTTATCGCTTAGTGTGACTAGTGATGCTTTAACAACGGTCTCGGAGAGAGATACCATATACTGATTACCAATTTCATATAAATATACTAAACAACGAAACACGGTCAGGTTTTCCACAAAATCTTCATGCAACGGTAAATAATTAATCATTACAGGCACCACCTAATAAAAACATAAATAATAAAAAGTTATAGACTGCTGTAATTTTAAGTTTAAAAATATGTAAATTTTTTGGGTATAAATGATTTTGAAGGGAAGAGATGAAACTTATTAAATTCTTGGCCCAATAAAGTACCTAATAGATACAATTTCTGATCTAACTCTATAGATCAGAAATTGTACCTATTGAAGAAATTCGTTTAGTGGTTTAAAAGATAGCACAAAAAAATGTTAAAAAAAATTAAATGAAAACTCATCATTGTAGATACAATACCTTCTCAGATCCGTATCAAAGCTAAAAACAATCAAGTTGAAAGTAAAATATAAGTAAATTAAAATAATTACATGATCCAAAGGTACTCCTTCAATATTTGTAATAATCATTCTTGCCAGTGCTCCATACACATTGTCCAAGACTTTGGAACGTTGCTCTGTTGCAACAACTTGAGAAAATGTGCTTAATATTGTTGGATAATATCTAAAATAATGGTAATTGTTTTCATAATGTTTTCATTTTTTCTTTTATTTCTAAATAAATGTAAGACAAACTTATAGATGGCTCCTTTTCCGTAAAATGCAATTTCGCCCAAAGCAAATACAGCGTTATTTCTAACCGAATCATCGTTAGTTTCGATAAGTGGCAACACAAGAGGAAGCATAAGTTCTGATATCTCTCCAGCGTTTTCTCCCAAACCTTTCACAGACTCTCCAATAGTCGCTAATCCACTAGCTCGCAATATATCCGAAGACTCCTTTGACTATAAATAAAAAAAATATAAATAATTTTTTTTTAATTTTAATAATAGTCTTAATGTTGCCTGTTGTCCTAATCTTATCTATCCTAATACTAAAAATATAGATTTTAGCACAATATTGTCATTAGGTACAATGCTTTTATCGATATTTGTATTTCTACCATTTCAGATTCATATCAAAGCATTTATTTAAAAGTGATTTTATTTTATTCATATAGACTTGTGACCTCCCATGCCCCAAAATGCTCCGTCAGCACTGTACTTTTTTATTCACCCTTCAATCTTTAGTAAAAAAAAAATGATTGATCAGAACACTATGTTTTTGCTGTAATCATTTCTCACCAACACAATGGCTATGACATAAAGAAAAATTTGTCTACATTATAGATATACTCCAATGCTTTACAAATTAACACAAATAAATTGACACTGAAACAATTTTTTCAAATAGTGCCTTACTAAAATTTTACCCTTAACAAATATCCACAACAAGGCACTTAACGATTGAATATTTGTATTTTTTGGGTTAACAAACGATCAACAAACTCACCAGTAGTTTCTTCAATAACGGTACCAATGAAATAAAATAAGTCGTAAACGTTTGAGGGGGAACAACGTAACTTAAATTTGAAATGACATTTCCAGCATATTCTATTGGTATTTCATTATTCTCACTATCTAACTCGTCTAACTCACCCGGGCTGCTAGCATCTCCAATCTACAAAAAAATATATAAATATACTATATTAATTATAAAATTATAATTTTATTTTATTGATGAAATTTTACGGCACAACTTTGTTTTCAAACACTAATAATAAATAAGAATTATAATTAAAAAAAAAGAAAAAATAATTTTATTACTAACCTTTAAAGCCAAAATATTTTTAGAAAGCATCATAATTGGCTCTGCGTATTTTGACATCCGGCTTTTAATTTCTTTTAGCATTTCGGCTAATACTTCAAAAAATGTCATATCTAAAGATTCCAATCCATCATCTTGTACTTTCTTTTGTCCGTAACTTAAGAAACCTTCTAAAGCTTTTTCTAAAACTAAAAAAAAAAAAAGGACAAGTATTAATTTTGTTTATTTAGATAATAACATTTCGTTTTTAATATTAAAATAAAAAACTTACGTTCTTGACTAGCAGGATCAGATAATCTCGAAAAATTAATGCATAATTGCCCGTATGCTTCAAGTGCTGAATCAATAGTGTCTTCATCGTCTTCTTCCAATAGCTTTGATATTATATTGTAACTATCTTTCAAGTAAGGTAAAAACTTATCGCTAAAATTAAAACAACAAACACCAATATTATGATTATTAATTCGATAATCTAAAATTTTCTACACAAAATTATGAGTAAAACTCATGTTCATACAAAATTGTGATAAGATTATAAGTGAAACTGTTGATGTGAGCTGTTGAGAGTCAAAGTAGTATAAGTCACGTTTACACACAATCTGAAAAAACACAACCAGGCATTATCATTCTACCTACAATCTATTGCCTGCGAAAGTAGTGCGAGTCCTGCTTTGTTTGTTTTTACGTTAGATGGCAGAACTTTTACATTCTCGTAAAAAATGTACAGCATTTTGATTTTAACCTTTCATTTCTCAACTATGAACTTCTGTGACTTACAAAACTTTTGCTCTCGACAGCTTATAAGTCAATTTTTCTTGTATGTCCTTCTCTCCCTTCTGTCAACATATTATGTTAACCAAAAATCAATTTTGAAAAACTATATTAGAATTTAAATAACAATTAACTTGCACTTTCCCAAAAGTTAGAAAAAAGTGACATATTAAAGTTTACCATCCAAACACAGAAATAATGTAATTACCCAGTAACATTTGCTATTTGAGCTATTGTTCTACAAGCATTATCCTTTTCCTCAGTTACGTGGGCATCGACGTAGACAACTAAAATAAATATAAAATAATTAAAAAAAAAAAATCAATAAAAACAAAGTCAAGTTCTACAAACATTGTTCGCTGTCATCGTCACTGTTGTCAGCAATATCAATTTGTTCATCGGTATCCAATGACTCATCTAGATCTTCTTCGTCTTCTTCATTGTTATCGTAAGCATTGTAGCTGTTTTTCTAAGTTTTAAAGATTTATGTAATGACCACTGTATAAACTGTGATTTTATTTTATTACTATATATTAACCTCAGTATATTCACTGTCGATTGAATTTTCCAAGCTTTTCATTATGTGCTGCATGACAACATCCATGTAAGGTACTAAATGATCAACCGAAACTTTGGCAACAGTACTGAAAAGACCATAGCACACAGCTCTGACTTCTGGTTGATCATCCTTAGCTTCTTGTAGCAGCGCTAGTCCACATTTTAAACTTGCATCTAAATAGGGCTCGAAAAGTTTGGGGTCAAGTGCGTCCACAAATTCAGAAAGTAACTCTGAAAATACAATTTAAACATTTGTTAAGAAGATTTAATGCATCTAGGCGATAAAAAAACTTACGAATCACCATAATCTGAATACTTTCTAGATTTTCATTAATTCCTGGTTTCAAATAATCATTTAGAAGTTCCATTATGGGGATAAAGTATGGGGCCACTAAATGTCCACCAGCTTTAACTATAGCATAATATAAAAATAACTTGTATTAATCAGCATTTTATTACGAGATAAATTAATTAAAAATAAACAAGAGAGCCAAAACTGGTCTAAATTTGTTGGGTTTTAGGTAGACATGGTTAATGTTTTGGGAATCTAACAGAAAAATTGTCTTTTAATTTTTCTAGGTTAGTTTTCAGATCAAAAGATATTTTTTACTCCGTTTAAGTTATTGCATTTTTTGATCCATTTTGACTATCTAAATTTATTTAATAAAATCCGCATGTTAGTTCATTATGTACCAATGCTACACATTATAGTGATAGCTTTATCCTTCAGCTCAATACAACATTGTTCATTTCTTAATATGTCCATAACAATCCCAGTCATTTCTGGTATATACTCTTCAATTCCATTTTCCATACTATCGATGTACTTATCAAGAGCGAAAAATATCATGCGAACTTCCGAACTACACTCCGGCTGAGTATATTCCTTGATTAATTTTTCTTTAAACATTTTCATTAACTCAGGCAACACTTCCGATGCGTATGTACTAACTTGAGGCTAAAAAAAGAAATATACATAAATATTTACAATTTTTAATTACTTTCAAATTACAATTAAATTACTAACTTGAACGTATTGAGAAACTTCACCCAGCGCATACATGGCTGCCGATTTTACTGTTTCGTTGGAACTGTTTAATCCCATTTTAATGGCCGTTACAAATTGCTTTAAATAACTCTTTTTTAAATATTCAGAACAACCGTCAGAGACATAAGCCATGGTCATATATGATGCTTTTAACGCATTTGGATCTTGTGAGCTATACGCAGCATCTATCAATTTAATCTAAATAATAAATAAAAAATATTAATAGTAATTAAATTAAGACAACAATTTTGACATTAATAGTTTTAATATAAGCTCATTAATTCTATATTATTATTTGATACTCTATTCAACTTAAGAAACGTAGCGTGCAGGAGCCAAAACGCATATAGACAACGTGCATTAGGACACACAGCACTGCGGACTGCAGTAGACACACACAACAGCACAAGCTACTCATCCCGTAAGAAAGCATTGAAAAATGTAAATGTATTTTAGTTTCGGCACACTGTGTTTCTTAAGAGGACGTAATACCCCTTATCTATTAAGGAGTTAGGTATAGACAATTTGTCAGCGAAATCTTAATTAAAAGCTTAGACTGTAATTTTTAATTATTAGTTTACTAATTATAACTCTATTTTGGTAGTTAATTTATTTTTCGGACTATCACAGCATTAATGTCAGCAGTTTTAAATATTTGTTTTCATCTAAACATAGTAACGCAAAAATGCGGTTTTACCAAGTACATAGCTGTTTAAGAGCAAAAACGCCTATTATGAAATCGAAAAATAACAATATTTTGGAGACAATGTCATATCCGATTTTGAAAAAAGCATGAAAAGAAGTTAAAGCTATTTTAAAAAGTAAAAAAATGTGATTTTAAATGTTAAATATAAAGTTTATCAAAAAAAGGATATGACATTGTCTCCAAAATATTGTCATCTAAGTTGAGTAGAGTATATTATATTACATATACCACCTCTGTTCTTTCTCAATATTTCTAGTTAAAATGGTTTTTAAAAATCTAAATCATACCATTATTGGCATAAAAGCAGCTGCAGATATTTCATCAGCAATCGCTGCCATACAGTCACCAGCCGAATTCATGGGATTTAACGCATACTCTTCTAAGAACCAAGTGTCATCGTCAGTTTCTTCACTCAGTATACTGAACATCAATTCTATTATCGGTTGTAACAGATTTAATTTGACTAAAATCTAAAATAATAATTTTATATAAGACTTTATTAACTGTTATATTGTTTTCGTGTTAAAAATTATTACTTACTTTTTTTTTGCTTCTGATTATAGTAGAAATAAGGTTTATACTGTTGCACCTTAAAGTTTCATCCAAGTCTTTGTTACCAGCCAGTTGTGCAGAAACTTGGACAACCGGTTTCAAATGTGGTAATAAGGCTTGAATAGAAAACTCACACATTGACGCAAGTAATTGGTAACAATCACAAGCGTGATCAGGGTTGGTTGTTGAAAGTGCAATTATCACATCTAATACACGAGGCACAGAATTTGAATATACTTGTATAACCTAAAATATGCAACAATTTTATAGATGAACAAAAATTTCCAAGAAGTAATACTACTTACCTCAGGAACTTGAACTGCTAATTCCAAGATATTGTTCATTGCTGATATAGCATCATAAACAGTAGATGACGTGCAATCTTCAACGGAGCACAACATGGTAGTGAAATAATTCACAAACGTTACAATATGAGATTCAAACATTTGTGGAATATAATCTGACAAGTTTCTGATGACAAACATTCCAAACTATGTAAAAATAAATAAATTAAATTAATTATTTATTTTATACTTTTTTTTTTTATAAAATTGTCAGTCATCAACATCATCAGCTTAATGGGCCTTTAAGGAGGCCTTCAGATGGTGTTAGTTTCTAGACGAATTCGCTGTCTGACACGGGTCGTCAGTCCGCCGCTGGAGAGGAGGATGGCGGCTCCTTTTTAATGGGCTGCTCGCCCGACAAACAAAGTGCCCATGACAGGAGTATGGGAACCGGCGACGGTGAGTGCTAACACATTATCGCGCCTTATCCAAAATATTATATTTAAAAGAATCAGATGGGTCAGAAGGGCAAATTTATATTATTATATATTTTTTTTAATTTATTATTTGCGTTCAATAGCAATTTTATAATTTTACTATTTTGTTTATTTATTCAAATTTTCCCTCACACATCTTACACACTTCGCATCACGGTATCTGCTAGTTTTGAGCAGGTGATCCTTTCCACTTTCTTTGACGTACCTTCACGACATCACTATTTTAAAGACAAATTAGTTGAGTAAAAAGGTAGCGCACAATCGTTTATCAGTTAGGTGGTATAACGTTGTCTGCCCCTGAACCTAACAATATTTACCTGTCTTTCGGCAATATCATTGCTCTTGATGTACGTTTCAATGAAGCTGAACAATTCATTCCATGTACCTCTCATGAGTTCATGTTTTGCAATTACTGCAATCAACTGAAGAATATGTTTTTTCACATGAAGACTAGGTTCATCGATGATAACTTTCAACAAAAATTGCTTCATTCTATAGATTGTAAAATTAATAATAAAAAAAAATTAACAACAGTTCAACAAACAATATGTTTTTTAATTATAATAAATCATTAATACTGTTGGCGGATTTCTTGAGATATATTCATCCATGCATTGCGTTTATGTAATTTTTTTCTAATTACGAGAGCTGCATATTCTTTTAGCCTGTCTTCTTTGCTAGAACTTAAGACTGAACACAATACTACGTAAGCCTGAGGATTTTTCAATGCTGCTGTTAGTTCATCTGTGGCCTACAAATGTACGATCAAACAATGTATTAAAAAACACATTAATAATGTCTAATTATTAAATTATATTTAAAAATCTCTTCTGAGGAATCACAACGACTTATTCTAATACTTAAATCATGCTAATAAGCTTGACATTATTCTCATAAAAGTTAGATACCTGTTTAATGACTTCGTTGTCCGGTTCCAGCAAGCATTTTAAAATGCGTTCCATTTCCGCAATATCCGTCATTGTAATAATATCTATGCCTTAACGAAAATTAAAAATATAAATATCAAAATTACTCGTGTACAATTGACAACCGAAAAGAAAGAAAGAAAATACGGTAGATGGCGGAAATCACATGGCGCGGTCGGCGGTTCTTCCTTATCATCGGCAACCTTATCAGATATCAGCAAACAAGTCATTGGCTGAGAATTCCACATTGACATAACAAAATCCAGTGAGACCAACACAGTTAAATGATCAACAAAATAAATACATTTTTTTTTACTCTAGTCTCCATTGTTGTTAAACAATAAATTTAACATAATTTTAATTTAATAATCTTAACAGAAATTAATTTAATATTTTACTTAAGTACAACCGACAGCTGGTATCCCCTAGGATTTCTACTGAACTGCGTCTTTGGAACACGTATTAACATCGGCCAATTGTGTACCTTTGTAGTTGTGGCGGCAATTAAGATTTTTAGATATACATAACTTTAGATAATAAAAGTAATATCTAAAAACCCTTGATTTTATACAGTGTTATTATGATCTAAGCTAAAAATCTTGGGCGGCAATAGCCGCTGTTATCAGAATTTAACATAATATCGCAGGACACTCAACGACTATCTTAAATCGTTCGAATAGAAAAATCACGCTGTTGTGGTGCTGGTTAATGACTGGGATGAATATAGTACTATGAGATGCAGCATGACTTTCTACACGAATAAATCGATTATGGCGGTTTAGGAAATATTGTAGGTCCAATTTATTGTCCAAACACAAAAATAGAAACACATCATTGTAAAATTAATAGCTTCTCAGATTTGCATCAAAGCTAAAATATTGCTATAAGTTCAATTGAATATGTATGGCCTTGAACATAGTTAACCAAACCATGTATTCCCTATTTATAATTTATAGGGGGAATCACTCTTAAAAAGCCATACAACTATCGCGGTTTTAAAAATATTCAATATTTTTTCATTTTGGGTTTTTAAATACTAACAAGTTTTACAAAAAGCCCTACTAAATAAACTTAAGTTTTGGAAAATTGCATCGTTTTTACAAAAAAAACGGATTCCAATAATATTGAAGTTGAATTTTCCAGCGCCCCCTAGAGGTCGCCAGCACGGATCTGAGCACAAGTGTCGCTTAAGTATTTTTCTAGATCATATTTTATAATTTATAACCTAGTTATTATTTTCTTTGTACTTAGTTCAATTTTTACATTTTCTGGATCACTGCGCATTGTGCATGTACCTTTAAGTATATAGTTTAATAGTATTCTCAATAAAATAATATATAATTACATTTTTATTAAAACATATATTTTATTCATTGGTCAACAAAAGTAAACATATAATTGCTTTTGTGTTTTTACCACTTCACTCATAAGTCATAACAATAATAAATGTAAACGTTTGATATAATTTATAAATTGCATAATGATCATGATCATAACTAATCGTAACACTAACATTTGCAAGTAAACACTAAATAATAATTAGTCGGCAGTTATCAATAAGATTGAGATGTATGGTATGATATTCTACATGCTATGGATAGTTTATTGGTGTACATACCAATTATTGGCCGACCCGTTTCGTGGGTAGGTACACTATTATCATTTATTATACCTAACGCAAACTTAACATTTACAAAACGTTGTAACTTGCATCTATATTGGTTTTGAACTCTACAGGCTACACGCGTCGTACAATACTAGTAATGACTGTATTCTAATTTCTAGACCTTTATGGTTTATCCGTTTACACGTAAATCAGAAACAATACAATCTAGAAAGATATTAAATTGTTTACAAGTGTCGTTTATGTATTTTTGTTGCGTTTAGGGGTTATTATTTGAGTTTGTGCCGTACAAATGTAGATTTTTCCCAAGTCTGTACAGTAATATTATACATAAGTACGAGTACATCGATCACAGCCAAATGCGTCCAGCCGTGCATGGACTCCGATACGATGAAGCGATTATTTTGGTAGATTAGCCGCGCTCAGTACCAGCTCTTGCGGGTCGACTGTTGCAGGCCCCCCGCCGCCGCTACCGCCGGGCAAGGAAGACGTGTCGTGCAGCTCCTCAAACGACTTGACCATCATTTCGGTGCCCACGTTCAGCGAGTCCTCGAACGTGATGGTCGATTTCAGACTCGACAGATTCTTCTTGGAGTCCATTTCGTCCTTGGTGTACAAATGGTCGTCTTCTTCGATCAGGTGCTCTAGGCTGCTTTCCAGACTGGCCTCAGGCGTGGCCATGGGAAACGGCCGCATGACCTACACAAAAAAAAAAAAACTGATGAGTAAAACCGATTAGAACTAGCGACGTTTGTGTCCACAAATGATATGCGCGTGTGTATACGTAATATATATTATTATACATATGCGGAGTATATCTGAATTCAATATACTGTACAATCCTAACTAGCAAGTCCGAATAGCTTTATTTCGAGATTTATTTAACCAAAAAAAAATGTATTTTTTATACTCTACCATGTACACGTATATGCTTATTTACCGACTGTTGGCACTTTTGTAAGTGTTGGCTGTTAGCTGTCGTGGTAGGGGCCGTGGAAGTTACCGCCGCATCACACGTACGTTTGAGCGCCGGCTTTAGGACGGTCATAGGCACCGCTTCGGTAGCCGGGGCGGCCGCCAGTGGGTGATTGCGGAACGGCATGTACTTGTAGAACTCGGCCATCTTACCGGATGGGCCCTTGTGCCTCCGCCGCTTGAAACAAAAAGCCGGGCAGAAGCACAACATGATGCGGACGGCGCAACAGCATACGCCGATGACAATCATGCCGGGCCCGATGAACCTTAGTTGAACGGTCTTGAAGCCCTTCTCGCCGGTGCCAACGAACGATATGATCAGCCCTAGCGCCACCGAGCACAGGCCCACGTACAACAACGTGTTGGCCGCCGCTCCTTGTTGCAGCTCGTACAGGCGACGGTCGCCACTGCTGTCGCCGAACGACAACGCGTCGTGGATCTACACGACAGCGACATGGTGTAATTAAAAAATAATTTTACAACGATATTGCATTATAGTTATAAATTATAATTAAAAAACCGATCGCAGGCCAGCTCACCATACCACATTCCCGCTGCGGTTAAGTATAATGAGTTTTTAAACGACCGCGTTCCGCAAAGTTTTTGTCGTGAAACTTTCGGCTCGGTGCGGTGCACATGACATAACAACAATAATTACTCAATCAGCCGATATGAGAAACCTCGTAACACCCACATACAATTTTCTGTGTGTTACTCGGAAGCTCGTAGGAGCACTATTGTTTTGCTATACGGTCGTATTAATTAGCATTGGAGCAACAAAACAAGTGCATTAAAAAAATCTAGTTCTTAAAATACTACAAAAGTTTCTGGATTTATGATTCTTGCGGCCAATTACACTTGAGAAGACCATTTTACCTAACTCATATGGCACAATGAATAGTATAGGGAAATTTGTTTTTCAAAATTAAGTTTTTATATTTTACATTAAGTATTTTTCGCTTATTAGTCGAACTGTCGAAGTAATAAGAACCAATATTGTTCCTAGTTGTATTTAAATCCTGTTCTTGAAAATGTTGACTTTTTATCAAGACTCCTATTTTTTCCAACAGCGTTAATTTATTACTACAATGTAGTACATGTATCCATTTTATTATAGACTTTCCTTAGAAAAAGTTTTTCGTTTTAAATAAAGTACCTCCTCTTTAACACGCCGTTACTTTTGACGTGGCTCGGACAGGTTGAAAATCTAAGCTAAAGCACGTCATTTCCTCTTTCTCATAACGGAAATAATATTGCACCACTGAATCTACATTTAAAAATAATGTCACGTACCCACTGATTTTTTCCAAACACCCACACCACACACACACACACACATGCGCTGGGTTATTATGCGAATGGCGTGACTTTTTTTTTTTAAGTACCTACAAAAACACTACGTCTATTCTTTATAAAGGCTTTACGTTTAACGGTCCACAATTCACATACTTATAATATTATTTAATATGCAGTAAACGAAAAAGCGCCGATATCGATTTCGTGGCCGTTATTAAAAAATGCCAAACATCAGTTATAAAGGACGTGTGACCGAGATAATATTAAACGTCAACGTCTAAGGCATATTGTACTTATAAAATTCGGAACGTTTGCATTGTGGAACGACGTGCGATGAGAAAATCGACAATGGAATTCATTTGCGGGCACGGTTAGAAAACAGTACTCAAAAACAGCCTGCAAAATAAGGCATGCGAACCATTTTATCTCGGGGTGCGAAATATTGAATCGACGGAAAAAAAAGTGATTAACTCTTTTTAAATACTACCTATAATTATGTAATTTTGTATATGTTAACCGGTTAAAAAAAAACATTTTATTACTTGGATTTTTATGCCTATGGATATTTTTTTTTTACCGAATATTTTTATCTATATTCTTTTTGGACAGTTCTATATACCTTACTCCAAGAGTAGTGTACACTGTAAGAGTAAACCACCTCGTTACTTTTTGTTCGAAGCCATTTGTTTAATCTTCGGAGATTGTTGTTATGTTCGTTTAGTTATTTTTTACTTGCCTTGTTTTTTTTCGTCCATTTCTTTTGCGGATCGCCAGGTAAGGGAAGAAGTATGGAACCGTCCGGTGCAGTACCTAGTTCGCTGTCCGGAGTCTGACCAACGGGTCCCGGCCAAGCCACGGACGCCCCTGCTGTTTTATTCTGCGAAAACCATAATAAACAACAACATTACAGCTAGTTCATATTACAGTGCAAGTTGCAACGATTGACCGCCGAGTAAGGATTGAAGGCAGTAGCGTACTCAGATATTTGTTTTTTAGGGGAAGGGGTTATAATCTCTAAGCCAACTGGCACGGGGCTTCAGCTGTCTACTTTGAACGATACACATATTAGTAGTTTCCGCTATCCTTGCACTGAAATCTATAAAAAAAAAATTTGAAAAATATGATAATTTTTAAAGTTTATTTCTAGATTTCGTTCGATGGAAAACATTTTTTACCAATTCATTCTCAGCTCTGCTGAGTACACCATTAAGAGTAAAGATACATGTATACATATGACCACCAGACTGATTAGGTTAAACCTTTTTTTATGTGGGAAAATGAAAACCATGTAGAATTGCAACAATCACAATTAAGTTTAGTATGAAATTAGTTATTATGTTAGCAAAAGAATATGTTCTGTTTCCAGCTCACACTGGCAATTCAACTAATTATAGGAATCAAATTTACATAAAATTAATAATTGGTCACGAATGCTAGCGAGGAAATCAAAAATGTTTACACATATTTAAATAACCGCGCTCGTGCTAATTGGACTTAACGGTAACTGTATTTGAATATAATTATATAGTTTCAGAGGTATTTTTATTGCATTTCGGTAGAGAACAGCTAGGAATGTGTCGAGTACGGGTATAGTGGTGGGCGTTCCATCAAAGTTTTATTAGACACGAGCTTATCCGAAATGCACACAAAATAATAAATATTATGCCACAGTATGTTTTATAAGAACATACTTATTTTGAAGCATAATTTCCGTATAGGTTTTGCAAAATCTTTTTTATTATGTATAATTTTTGTGCTTCGGTTTGATGGAAAAGAAAATTAAGAGACTAGTTGAAGTCTTAAAGAAAACAAGAAAAAAATACCACTTGATCTGAGCTCATGACATTCGATAAGTATTACGTGACTCACCTTGCATTTCCCAATCTTAACTATGCTTAACTTATGGTTTTATTCAGAGAATTTAAACGTATTTTGAAGTTTTATTCATTAGATAAGTATTAAGAGTAAGAAATGGAAAAATAAGAACTATAAAATAATAGGTCTTGTGTTTTTTACTAGTTGTCAACAATATAATATTTGAAAATGTCGTTGGCAAATTAATAATTTCTATTGAATACAATTATTAATTTACACGCGATTTGTACTAAATTTTCAAAATAAGGATACAAATTTTGTTCTAGCTATTGCAAATTGTGGAATTAATTTGGTGGCCCTTTTATCGCCTACGACTAAGCCGAGCTTAACGCGACGGCATTATAGGCACTCGCAATGCATTTAGTGTGATAGTATAGTAGTTTAACTAGGAATTTCAAACAATGTAATTATATCGAGTATGCTTTGGGAATTCGGAGCGAACGCGAGGTATGTATGTACAACAAATACGAATTAAATTATAGAAGAAAAAACAGAGGTTAATGGCGTCTAATAGTTGGAGACGAATTGTTCGTTAAAACATTTCACATAATGGGAAAAAAAAACCTTCGGTAGTTTTGGTGATGCTTTTTTAGAAGGAACAATAAGAGTTTCGTTTCTGATTTAACATAATATGGTTGATCTTTTATTAAATTTGTAACAACGCAATTTCGACAGGCCTTGCTATAACGTATTAGAATACGTTTATTCGATAGAACGAAATAACTTTGGTTTTCTATTTCGATGAATAAAAAGCGATCCAAGGCCCAAAAAAAAAGCAGTTTTACCGTTTGAAACGGTCTACTGCCTAGACGAATACCTCGAAACAAGTGATTTCGATAATCGGGTAATTTACCGTAAAACACAAAAGACCTTCCCGCCAGAACACGATCAGTTTCTGTAATTAGCTCAAGTGTTTTTCGAATTTTTTTCTTCTTCTACATAGAAAGGCTAAAGCAATGATCATCATAGGACATAGCATGTGTTAAAAGTTATTGCGATGAAAAATGTATATAGCAGTCGGTTGTTTTTGATCATGTCACTATTACCCTAAATATTTTGGATTAATTCTGCGATCATCTGTCAAGGTACACGTGCTATTTTTAAATTACTATATTTTATCCGTTAATTGCCTTTGACGAAAGACTGTGCGTTTATCAACCTAACCGCGATCGGTTAGGTTCATAAAGGTACGATACCAACTTGGTTTAAATGACCGAGAACGTTTTTTCATGGACGTTCCTCCTTCTTCTCTACTCTATTTCTCTTCACTTCTCTGGATGTTTATCCGAAGGATGACTTGGGGACACAAGGGGTACAACAGGCGGAGAGGGAGGGGGAGAAGAGCCACGGAGAGGGGGTAGAACGATGGGACAGGAGAAGCTGGTGGCAGCGGTAGAACCTGCGGCAGTGAAAGACAAACAATAAGGTATGTAACAAGAAAAGAATAGTGGGGATAGAACATGCATCGGATATATATGAACTACGCCCGAGGACAAGATCGCTTCAGTCTATAGGCAGCAGAGGAGCGAACTACATTGTAACCGGCACGCAACAAAGCCCTGAAGAAGGAAGATGAAAAGCTTCCAGATAATTTGTAAAATATATAGGCGTAGTCCATGTAGTTAACCATGTACATATTTCAAAAAAAAACTCTATACGAACTCCAATCAATTTATAAAAAAAACTTATGCTAAAATTCTGAAAAACATCCAAATAAAATTAGAGTGAAATTGTATACTTCAAAACAGTAATGAAGAAAATAGTGTAACAGTTTATGAAAATAATAAATAAAATTCAAATCAGAGAAGTTGGAAAAATATGGTAATTTTGAGTTCGAAGAGAAGTTGGATTAATAGGATAGAACGAAATAATATGCGAAATATGCGAAACATGTTATTACCTCGAAGTATAAATGTAAGCTTTAAATATTTTTAAGCAGTGTAGATTTTTTTAGTTTGTTCAATACTTACCCACGTGGTAGGTGGGAATTCTGGGAACCGAGCAATGTTTTTGGTTGCCACATGACTCGGCAACTGAAATCTATCCCGGCGGATCTTTTTCACGCGGATCTTCTGCCTCTCTCGTATGTAAAGTGCGGCCTGCATACCAGAGCTGGCCATCACTAGTACACACAAGCGGGTAACATGGCTTCCACCGTTTCGCCGGTCGGCATGTTACTGCGGTGCGGCGTTTAACCCTTTGCGCGTCTAAGACATTTTTGGTGTTTGTCGCGCGCTACACGTTGATACTGGTTATTTTTTGTTTGTATTATTTTTTGGACCGTAGTATGACGCTAAGTTAAATTTTGATTGACAGACAGATAAGGACGACTGAACAACGACATCACCTAGTTGTTTGTAAATCACACGGTATCACATTAAAGGTGGAACACAACAGGCTAAAAAATCAAGATTGATGTTATCTTTCTGACAATAAGAGGATGTTGGCGCGCTACAATCAGAACGCTCGTCCGAGTGCAGATCTTTTGGCATAAAACATTTTGCTAATGTTTTACACAAATATTTAAAACAATTTGAGTAACTGGAAAATACTTTTAAAAATAATACTTTGATCTTGGGGGAAACGTGTTGGTGATATGAAAGTCAAAATGAAATTTTTCGAATGTAGCAAATTTTTTGAAGGTACTGGCATGACCTATAAGAATTATCATAGGTACTCTATAGGTTAACGTGTGTGGCACGGCGCCAAAATCCTCTTAAAAATACCATGAAATCTATTCAGATTTAGCTATAATTGTAAATAATATAAAAAAGAACCCATTTTGCGCTTTATATATGTTTTGCCAACGTTCTTCAACGCTTTTTGATTTTAAACAAAAAGCTCACCTACATAGACAGTATGATATTATTTTCAGAACCTGTTTGATGGTACGTTAATTATAATATTATAAAAAAAAAAAAGTGTAGAGCCCCGATAAAAGGTTATTTGAATGTCACAGCACAAAATATTGTAATAGCATTTATAATAACATGTAATAATGATTGTAGAAAATACAGTGTGCCTATACACTATAAGCGGGCATATTGCATATTTTAATACTATAATAGTAGTGTGTGATAGTGTGCACAGTGTGACAGTAGGAAAAAAGTCTGCGGGAGAGTGTTAGTTACTCGCCTCGACGTTATTTTTTTTAATGCATTTATGTTTTTTTTGCCGCTCACTGGAATACAATTACAGTACAAATCTTTACCTAATTATCGGCGGTTGCGTCTCAAGAATTTTCCCACTAGGCATTTTTGCATTTAGAGACGGTATCAATTAATTACTATTGTTGTTTTGTACTCCGCTGTCGACTCGGTGCATATTTCAATAAATAATTTTAATAATAAGTTTAATACCGACAATAATAACATGTTTACCGTGTCGAGTGTTCGAGGAAGATTCCCTATAAAATATGGATGCCTATTTAAATATTCTCATCGATCAATAACGCTAACAACAATAACCCAACCGGATAGATGTGGTGTAATGATTTGGTTTTTAATGGCTTAGGTACATGAATATTTTATCGGCGTAAATGACAACATAAAAAACTACTTTAGCACACTTAAACCAGCGCGTATTGATTTCGATCAATTTGCCTACTATCTCAATAGAAAAATCTTAACGTGTTTTTAGAAATTATTTTTTGAAAATAATATGCGTTTGCTTGCTTGTAATGTCTCAAAATTAAAAATGATGCCCTAATGTTTTTCTACAAGTAGAATTCATTTATTTGTACGATTTTGAAAATAATAATTATAAGTAAGTACAATAGCAGACATGCAACACAATTATTGCGTAGCAACATACTATTAACGTTCATTACACCACAGTACCAACATTGCCTATTCGTTTCGCCGTTTTGATTTTTCCCATAATAATAACCCAAATAGTATATAAAACTCAATTTAGTTGTTTTGATGAAGTTATGTAATGATTAATTTAAACTTTTGATTGAAGTAAATGTTTCAAATAAAAAATGTACATTGTATAAAAGAGAAATTTAAGTGAGACGGCATTTTTATTGTTAAAGAATCATTTGGTATTTCCAGTTTGTTTTCAAACGATCACTGTCCTGGCACTGTGTTCATAAAAATATTTGTTGGCAATACGGAAATTTTGATCATGACTTGTTGATGAGTTATTTTAGTTAAAATATAGGTCACAACACAATGTACTGTTGCGGCATTGCAGTAAGCACGCAACGCCAAACCTGTGTGGTCATAAGCCAATGAGTACATTACGCGAAATAATAATTATCGTGTAAAATAATAAAAACAAAGCAACTCTTTTAAGTAATTATTTAAAATGCAATCACTTATGCATTGTATTTGAATTACTAACAAATGTCCATAACGCGCGGCGTGTGTTATAATTTGATTGCATGCTAATATACAGCGGTGGTCGCTTGGGGTAGCTAATGCACAGATTACATAATGAATACCGATAGAATTGTGTGGAGAAAAGTGCACCCCTTTAACTCTACGGGTAAACAGAATAATTGAAGTCAGTCACAACGTCGAACACTGCATTGAATGCAAACAGTTGTGAAATAATTTTATTCTATTTGATGCCGCTGAGTTATTATTCTACGCGAATAAATTATCCATGTATTGTTGTTATTTATACATAATACAATAAATTGCTACGCTAAAGAATGGTAAAAATGTTTGTAATAATTATAATTTGTTAATCGACCTATCGTGCGCCGTTGATACCCTCTGAAGTGCCATTACTTCCGAGCAGATAACCAAGGAACCATCGTGGCGACTAGCTCGAGTTTCAAAACAAATGAGACGGATTTCAATGTTCAATTATTAATGTATATTATTATATACGCTTGCCCGAACCGTTTCAATTAAACCGTAATTAGTATATGGTCCAGTCGAGTGTCTCAAAGGTATTAGGTCCACGGTTGTCAGTCTGTGATAAATCAGCTCTGTTCGGGAATTTTTCTTCGACTTTTTTATCGACGCGTAAGTATGTACATTGAAATATGCATTTCATCAATTCATAGAAAATTATCTGACACATTTGAGAGTACTTACGCCGGCCGAATTTGTATTCACTGTCGCGCGTGCAAAAAATGTCGATTTTGCTAATATATCCGGAACTGTACTCTAAGTTTGGCGTTGTTTTAAGCATGTATAAGGTGAGGTCGAACGTCGTTTCGCCGGAAACTACATAACAAAATGTCAAGCTCCAACGAAAAGAAAAGTATATTATAAGCAAACCGAAAACGATCTATCAATTTTGACATTTTACCGTAAACGCGATTGACTATCAAAACCCATTCACCTTACACTTAACGCCCGTTCGAATTGATCGATTTTGAAAAATTCAACATATCATACTGTTGTACATTTTTAGGCGACTTTTTGTATAATACTAGGAAAATCCGAAAAATAATGAGATTTTTATTTATTAGGTATTTTTTAAAAATATTTAAAAATAATTTGTGTTTTTTTTTTTTTAACAAAAACAGTAAACATATTTTTTAGTCGCTTCTACCAATATATATGTGTATGCAAAAACAATTGTGAATTACATATTTGCGAGGATGACATAATTTCAGCACCCCCAATATTTGAGCTCTAGTCGCGCCTATGATTTAAACGCCACTGAAAGGGTCTGGCTTTTGGACTAATCGGCATTAACCTTTCATAAAGGAAAAGAAGAATTATAAATTTAAAATGCCGTTTTCAACGATTTTGTAGCTATTACTCGATGCGTTATCCTTTTGAATACTTACAACTGTATAGTGTAAACGATAGTAAAGAGCAAAACTTGGACGTCAAAGATAAGAAAGAGCACCCGCGTTGTATTTTATGTCTTTGCTGTGATCGCGTGGGTTGAAAAATGTTGTACAAAACCTTATGTGACCTAAGTCGGACAGTTAAATGCGAATAATCGGTTTCACGTGACTGAAGGTTCGTAGTGGACAATGAGTATACGACATTTTGTACATAAATGTACTGACTTTCTCCTTCCCACGTGTTGTACTTAAGTATAAAACGTAAGCCTGTGCGATCGTTTACCATGGCAATTTTTATCTTGATTTTGTACTATATGATCGTTGCGTTGTTGCTTCTGAAGTGCTCGTCAAATATTAAACCCATTACCGACAACCGTAAAAGCGTACAAAAAATGATATGTTGTATACAATATTATTCAAACGTCACGAAACTTTCACTATCTATACTATCTTTACTCTTATATATCTATAGTGCCTATAGTACACGATATACGTACTACAACGTTAGCAGGTCTTCGCAAGTGTTCGCAAACACGAAACACGCGGTCTTCCATACAAAAATAAAGTGACCAAATCCATAAAAATTATGGTTTGGGGGGACACTTAAAATAATAATTAAGAGATTTTGTTTGCAAAACGTGACGATTGTCAAAACCGAAACACTTGCAGGGTTGAAAATTTAGTGAGAAAAATGTATGGAATATGCGCTAATTAATGAAGGTTCATTGTACTGGCAGTCGATTATTTTTAGCATTGATACAATGTAGTATACGTACATAATAACGGCGATCGATTTTATGTGATTGTATGGGTTTCTCGCTTTCCACGGTGGAGATGCCTCGTCATGGGCGGATGTGATGGTGTCACTTGAATTCCACCCGTCTAAGCAATAACGAGGCAACTTTATCGTTGAAAGTGGAAATTCCGCGTTGAAATTTGTCGCCATTTTCGTGCAAGGAGTGACATAAGAATATTATGGAAAAAGCGTTCGTTTGCTGCAACCACTCAACCTCCCAATCTAGTAACTTGTCAGGGGGACCCTGACTCTTAACCCCTTCCCAAAAACAAATGCCGGTTAAGCCACTACATCGGGTGTTACCTCGGCGGGATCGAACGGACCCGGCAGCCGGACTTGACCGAATGGCGTTATGGGCGTGGACGGAGTAAGCGTTGAAGAGGCGCGCAGGTGATGGTCCATCGAGGCGGGTGCATACTGTTGCTGGTGCTGTTGGAACCGTTTTTGGAACTGCTGATGTATCAAAGCATCCGTATCAGCCGTGTTTCGCTGTTTGTGCTTATGCCGCCTGCTGGCCAGCGACGCACCTCCCGCTGCCGCATACATGGTGGCCGGGTCGAGTTCAACTCAGGTTGAGGATGTTTTCACTTAGGGCTTTACTTTTGAAACTTTTTCACTCTGGAAAATAACAGAATCTGAACGAAAAAAAACATCATTATAAAACCAATACCTTCTCAACTATCGCACTGAAGCTAAAACAACACATGTCTTTGGCATTTTTTTTTTCGCTGGACAAAACATAACTAGCTTTTGTATTCTGAATTTACAGCTAGTACGTCATTTCCGAACTCAAAAAACACCCTATACGCTGTATTGACATTTGACGAACTTAGTGTTTAATAGGTACGGGTAATAAGACTAACGCACGGGCTTATGCATTAGTCCCTTAATAATTATATATTCCATAACGATCTTTCGATAAGATTATATTGTCCGAAATCCCTGTAATGTACACGGAGTTTGTGTAATTTAATAAAAAAAAAAAAACAAATATCATAATCTATTATGTTATTGTGTCATCATCGCGCTTCGCAAACGACCTATAAGATATGCACGTTGCATAATGTCATATACCATTATATGTTAACAGTTCGCCTAGTACGTTAGTGTCTGAATATACATAATATATGCTCCAGTTACTGGTGTTTATGGTAAAGAAAAACTTAGATAAGAATCATTTAATACTCAATTCAAATTTGTTTTATATGTTCGAAAAGTCTTGGGTTTCAAGGCTTTACTGACACCAAAAACAATACCGTTTATGTTATATAATATATCATATTTTTATTTTTATTATGTACATAATAAAATTGGTAAAACCCCAAGAGGTTACATTTTGTAATACTTGATAGCTTTTCTATTTCTATTTTTATGTATTTTCAATTCTCAACTCGTCAAATATAGAGGTGTGTAATATTAAAATAGTTGCTACTTTTAATAACCCATGTTTATACAACCCATAGCTGGTATTTAAAAAAAGTTTTATTTTTTGTTGAAAACATCAGTTACTTACTTTTAAAGGTAACAATAGTTCATTCAATTTTTCTAGGTATTCACGGACCTTAAGTTGTAACGATATGCCTATAAATTTACAAAAGTACTTTCCTGAAGTCTGTTTGCACTAAGTAAATTTCACGAAGAAGTACACTTCAACAGTGCGTGCTTATCCATGCAAAAGTGTTGCCAACGAACATGTTGGCAATTTGATACTTGCTAGACGCTAGTTTTCGTAAGGAGCGAATATATTCAAATATATTGGGTATATCAAGATTATTATCAATCACTTAATAACATGATGTATTATTTATGTAAATCCATCATATATAACCGTAATACACCAATCCTTGTTTTCCATAGTAGAAATGAGGTATCGGCTGTCCACCATAAAAAGCGAATAAAAGAAACTAGTAACGATAAGGCAGCAAATCTGGAAGTAATTTAGTACTAAAAATAGCACAGCTATGTGAAAAGTATGAGGAAACCACCAAATAAATGATAACCTTAGTGATAGGTAAATGAAATCATCTCAATTACGAGAAAACTAGTATAGGAATGACATAACCCAATTTAAGAGTTGATAACAAATAAAGAAAACACCAACTGACGAATGTGAAGTTAAATATAATAGTATGTATTTTTGAAAAATGTATCAATCTAAATCCACTCAACAAGTTTTAGACAACTAAGATATGTAGTAACATTATATCATATTGTTAGAAATAATACTATTTCGTTAAAAAAAAAAAGTTTCAGATAAATAATTTTTAAATGTTGATCTAAATAATGGTTATAATAGTTTACTATATGATAGGTATACCAAATTCCAAGTCTACAAATCTGACATTTTCAATTCTTCGATTTGAGGTATTTTACATCGAAAAATAACATTTGTATCCAATAGTTTTATTTCTTTTATCAACTATTTTTCATTACCTATAATCAAAATATTAATATTTGCGTTTTAAAAACATTTTACAACGAAATTCAATGTTTCGAAAACTTTATTTACAAAATATTGTTTAAATATCATTTAAATATTATAATATATTATACTAGAAAATATTTAAAATGTTATGCGTTATGGTATTGCGTAATTAAGCGATGTCAATTCAAATTTATTGTGTATTCCACAAATGCAAAACGATAGGACAAGACGTAACACTTGCTTTTAGAACTAGATATTTTCAATTAGATGAAAATGACTTTTCTGTCGTTTTATTATCTTGCACTAGCCCAGTTTCCTCGCCCTCGATGGCAATCGTGTCATTAGGTGCTTAGAAAAGTCCGTTTTACGCGTGCCGTTAATGTATATAGGCGTATATATAAACACTCGCCTATCTATATGAAATTGCCTTATAAACAGAGCACTTAATAGTAGCTTTTAATTTCTAAAAATCCATTAGGCAAAAGACCGTGTGCAAATACCCGGCCAATAATATACAGCCGTAACCTACACGTATAAAATAACATTTACTTGTAAAATATGATTTTAATTTTGCGGTGTTTATTATGTAACATTTTGACAGGCGTATAATAGGGACGTAAACACAACTTTTGATCCGCATCGACTGTAATATGTACTCGTTAATAATTCAAAACGTTAATGCGCGTTATTGAAAATTCACTCACTTGATTTCGATGGACATAAAGAAAAAACCGGCGTTTACCAAATTAAATACCAATTGCGAATTATTTTTTTTTTCTTTTTCGAAAATCGTTTTCGACGAGCGTCCAAGAACGTTGGCAAAACATTGTCGCGGCTTTCGGGTTCCTAATAGCGGTCGAACCCTGCGGCCTGAACTTATGATCGCTTAGATCCATAACTATTAAGTACAATGTTAATATAATATGTATGCGAGAGTATAGAACAAACGTAATAATTCTGTACGACGAAACGGGCACGAAGGCGGTCAACAGGTTGTCTCATGCCACACGATTCCGGTCATTCTGTATTTGAGGGTGTGTGTGTTTTAAAAGAGTGCAAGTAATACGCCCAGACTGTAGTATATTATAATTTACAATGTCTAATACACATTTCGTATACTAATGCGGTGCAGACGGAAGGAAAGCGACGAGCACGAGGGCCCCAACGTATACTGAACAACTGCGGGGTTGTTAAACGCTATTATACCAACGCGGCACTGTTTCTACTTAGCTGTCGTCTATGGTCGCCAGGCGTGTTATGTGGAAAAGCCCGAACGAGCGCATGTCCCTTTTGGCCGGCCGTTGGCGATCAACAGTTTTTGAGAAGACAACCGACAAAGTATTATACATAAGTAATTGTACGTATATAAGTGTTATTAATCGTTTTGTACACTAATCAAGTCTGGGCGTATCACGTTGTCGTTATTGACTCTCGTCGTCAGGACAATATTATCATTGAACAAAAAATATGTAGACAAGCGGTCTGCATACTTACATCTGCTACATCTGCACATAGGCAAGACGTCGTTGGTTTTTTAGCTCGCCCAGTAAACCGTTATATCTCCATAACAATGTATTTAAAGCGTGTGCTCTTATGAAAAAAATAATATTTTAGGTTTTATGTAAGACGTACTTAAAGTGCGCTAAAGACTGAAATTGTATAAATGTATAATACGCTAGGTATATAGTGGATCAGTTATTAATTAAAACACTATTTTTTTTCCAGACCGCTAATTGAGAATTATACGACGAAAATGTATTCATTAGGAAATTTGTAGACTTGACACGTGCAGTAAAATATGTTTATTATAAATGAAAATTCCAAGTTTTTTCGTATATGGAAGGATAATTTATTTTTAAGATATTTTGAATTATGAACATGACTTTTATTTTGAGGATAGCCGCAAATATCAACCAAGCCAAGTTTTATTTTGAAAATGGTTTTTTCCTTTTTATCTTAAATTTATTCAAAATGAGTGGTAGTTATATTTAGATGTTAATATTTTTGTGGAATATGTGTTCTGCAACCTAATATCTTAAAGTATTTTTGAAATCTATTATTTTTTATTGTTATCCTTACCATTCACCCATTCCGGGTAGAAAGTGTATAGTAATTATTAGTATGTTGGTGCATTTGAATATATCACAATTTAGAGCGGGTAACCCGATTACGTTTTTGATCGAAACGTGAGATTTGTCGTCTTCCAAGTATAGGTCTGCGGCCTACACGCTTTTCGCTCTTTCCTTAGGAACATAGACTTCGTATACTTCAAGCGGTTATAATAGGGTTATTGATGTAGGACCTTCATTATTATTATTTGTCCCCAGACCACCCTTTATGCTACCGGCAGACGTGACGGGAAAACTGAAAATCCTTAGTCTGCGCCTGGCTTATCGTCGTCGACACAAAAATAACCTCTGGCGGTTTTATTCATCATAATACTTCGCCCTCTATACTTTCCGGCGAGGATCATATTTTTTTTTTAATAAAATACCTAGCAGATGACGGTGTGAAAGCTGGGACTAGTTCCGGCGTAACGGATTACCTGGCCGTAAGGTGGGCGTCATCGTTTTTGCGTTTTTCGCTTCCCACTAAACCGCTGTCGTCATAAAAACAATAAAACGAAATTGGGTTAAACGGTTGACGGCCATTCGACACAGACGACACTCCATCACCGTCTTCGAATGCCAAACTTTAAACAATGAACGCCTCCTCGGTTCGACGACAAGGCTTCAGGGTACTCGATATAGGCACTTTGTCTATGTCGTGTCTCAAAAGATTTAATCGAAAGTAGTATACGCATGTACATGTAGCAACTCTGGGTGGTATATGTTATTCATTCGACTGTGAACACTATAATGAAATTAAACCAAACGCTCATCGACTCAAGACTTCTACAAACATTTGTTATAGATAGAAAACCGCCGTAAACACCGTGTATTATACAAAGGTAAGACACTAGCAATATGT